TCAGGCGCAAAGAGTGTAAAGAGATTACCGTCTTGGCAGCCGACAGAGAACTGTCCCCGATGGGGCAATGCGAAATGGTCCATCCAATGGGAGGCTATATTACGTCCAGACTATCCCTAGAGTAGGCTAGCGCAACTCGTCTATCAGGCAGACATCGAAGACGACTCAGCCCGGATGAACAGCCTCAGTCTCCCTTACCTTCCAAGTGCCATGATCCATACTTGACCCCATCCTTTTCCTTCCACGTTCTATTATCTCCGCTATCCGTATTCATTATTCATTCATCTCCCCCCAACCCTCCCGTATAGCGTCCATTTTAGGCCATTCATAAGCCCAGATCCATTCTCGTTGCTAGGTTCCATCGTAAGGGGTTGTTGATTGCTTTCACCATAAGCCGCCCGGGGCCTCCCGTCAACCCCCTTCTCCCTTCACCGTGAGCGTTCGATCCTCGAGATACCACCTTTGGTCAGAACGAAGCCCCTTGAGCCCCGGTCCTAGTGAGTTTCTCCGACTTTCAACCCCAGCTCCCATCATATACCCCCTTTCCATGCTCCTGGACGGTGCAGAAAGCAACTGACCTTTTGTCTTTTTGAATCAGCCCATCGCCAGCACCGTACGTCATTAGAGCCGCATCGACAGTGTACATTCATCGACCTTCCCAGTTTCTGTCCGCAAACATACCGGACAAGTGAGTCACCGCGGCAATAGGGGTGCGCCATACTCAGTAACGTGCCTTGGGACCACTACTCCGCTACTCGCCCACCATGAATACCATTCGCAATCCAGACGCCATGAAGTCTCAAAACCCCCGCCGGGGACGCCACGTCGCACGACCTCCATCACTCGCCTCCACGGCCGACGTTCATGCATCACGATCGCGCTATCAGTTGAAGAAGCATCAAACATTTCACTCGAAAAGCCCCTCTTCGTCCGATGATGAGGACCCCCTAGCGGACCTAGCCTGTTCACCTCGTCGCTCCTCGACCTCTCCTGCCGCTCTTCAGGCCATTCTCGCCGGTCAGCAGCGTATGAACAAGCTCTTGAGCCGCTTCGACCTGGATTCAAGTGACTCGGCGCCTCGAAAAGAGCATGACGGCCTGCCAGTTCCCAGGGGCTATCTAGAGATCCATTTCGAGCGCTCACAATCCGGCAAAGGAGACTCCTTCCATTACGATCTACGCAGAGGCTCCTCGAGGAAGGATTCGCAGACGAAGGTCAGAAAGGTGCACTGCCACCCTTCTGACAGTGGTCTTGGAACATCAATCAGCAGCTGTGAGACCGCGTCCGCACGCCAAGGTGAGCTATTAAAACTACAGACTCCTGGCATGCAGTTTTATCTAATTCTGCCCGCAGCCAAAGAAAGCCGCTCAAAGACAGTCACGCGCACACAGTCGGCTATTACTAGCTCGTTGATGGCAGTTGAGCCTGATTCTGCTTCAAAGCAGAATCTTAGCCTTGGCGCCAGCCAGGAGATTGAAAAGCGAATCCTCACCCCTCTACTCGGACAGGAGCTTTGCAAGCCCTTCCATCACCTCGTCGAAAGCGCTCGCGAGCAGATCGAGAAGAAGCAGATTGGCACTCTTCGTGATCTCGAGAAGTCTCTTCTCCACGGAGCTGCTGTAAGTACAATTTTAACGTGAGCTTAAATTTGTGTGCGACTAACAAAACTGCAGGACGTGGAAGCGGAGGTTGGCTCTTACTACCAGTTCTGTAGTTCTACCATCTTGTGTCTGAGTGAGACCTACACTCACCTGGATCCTCGGGATCTGTGCATTCCCACGGATAAGAGCTACAGCAACTCGTACTTCTTGGACCTCACTGCCCAGGTCCACCGTTTTAAGGCCATGCGTGATGAGGCTCGCAAGAACAAGAAGGAGGCATCGTATGTTTACCCCTTTGACAATGGGCAAGGACCAGAAACTGACCATCTCAGTGAGCTCAAGCTGACCCTGGAGGGCGGCATGAGCCAAACTGGACGTCCTCTTGAGCTTGTCGCACAAAAGGAAGGCCAGGCGGTCTCGATGCAGACTGGCGAGGCTTATGATGCCCACGCTCCTCCCTTGGTGAAGCGTACACTTAGTCTGAATGAAGCGGACGAGGGAGCCAGGCGGTCTATGGCTCGCCGCAAGAAGAACGCTCCTCCCATGAACATCAACACGAAGTGCTCTCACTGTGACAAGATCTTCCAGAGACCTTGTGATTTGACGTGAGTATTTGTTCAGATCCAACTTTCATGGCTGCTAACGATTCTACAGGAAACACGAGAAGACGCACTCCCGTCCATTCAAGTGCCCCTTCGAAGGATGCAAGTACCACGAGCTTGGATGGCCTACCGAGAAGGAGAACGAGCGTCACGTCAACGATCGTCATTCGACAACACCCCGCATGTATGCCTGCACATTCAACGGCTGCGCATACAAGTCGAAGAGAGAGAGCAACTGCAAGCAGCACATGGAGAAGGCCCACGGTTGGAACTATGTGCGTGCCAAGAACAACGGACGCAATGCTAAGCGACGGGCTACTTCGGCTCGCGCCAGTCCAGCTGAAGAGAGCACGGCTCACTCGAGCCCACTGCACATGAGCCCTGACCAAGTCAGCCCTGTTCAGCTGGCTCCCGCTCAGTTGGCTTCCCTTCAAATGGCTTCGGATCAGCTCAGCACTCTGCAGATGACTCCGGACCAGGTTAGTTTGCTGCAGATGAATGCCGACCATATGAGCCCACTTCAACTGAGTCCGGACCATATGAGTCCGCTCCAAATGACCCCCGACCGTGCCAGCCCCGCCGAGATGCTCTCCCTTCAGATGAGCCCGGATCAGGGCAGCTCGGTTCAAATGAGCCCACCCCAAGTCAGTCCCGCTCAGCTCAGCACGCCGGCAACGGGCCCTCTTCAATCCCCGGGGTTTGTCAACAACTATTCCCAGAACCCGATGCTACCGCTCCAGGACCCGTACTCCCAGCTGAAGCACGAAGACTGTGTCTTGTACACCGACAATGACTTTGCCCCTCTCAACGGGACGACTGACTTCTTCGAGGACGCCTCCTTCGGGTACGGTGAGCATATGTACCAGCCTGGACAGATGGACTTTAGCTCCATTGGAGCCTTTTACGATGACTCTATCATGAACAGCATGCTCTTCGACAGTACTGCCACCGGCAACAACAACAACTTCCCCGATGAAAGCATGTACATGTTCAACCAAACGCAGATGCCACCGTTCTAGGTAGCTCACTAATGCTGCAAATGAAATGTCGAGCCTCTGTTGGATTTGTTTTCGGACACTCGTTTCAATTGGCGTTGTTTCTCTAGCGGATTTAAGGACTGGGATCTCAAATTTATCAAAAGAATGGCCGCTCTTTACCCAAAGGCTGCAGTAGTAGCCTATGTTTATTACACTTCTATCATTCGAGTTGTATGTATCACCTGAGGATAGATTGCCCTCTCACTAGTCACGACCATAGTCGAGAGCCTTCAGAAGCGCAACATCCTTTTTTTCTCACGATTGGACCATTCATTCTTTGCCTGTGGCTTGGTGGCGGCACAGTGCAGGCCGAGCTACAGGTCATGGGACTTTGGACGAAGCGAATCTTATTTTCATTTTCATGAGCTACTCATTTCAAATGTTATCTCCATTCAAAGTATCCACTGCGAAAATGGCTTTCCATGCTGCATTGTAGGCCCATCATCATTGAACATAGTCTACGCACTGAGACGCTTAGCCCTACCTGATTCGCTCGAGCGGTCTCTGCGAGCCGCGCGTCGGTATAATGTACGCATACGACCTAACACAACACATATGGATGATTCATATCATGTAAACATGCATTCTATGAGGTATACAAGATAGATACAGCACCTCCGTCGACCAAACCACCTCCCTCCAACTCGTTCGGCTTGGATCAGTTCATCGTAGTGTTCAACGAACGTATACCTCACAAGCTTCAAACTGGTCTCATGGTCCGCGTACTGGGGGCAAGGGTTGTATGCTTTTCTCGGCAATTGTTTGACCCTTAGTGGTCGTGTATTTCCAAAGTGCGCGGCCCATCTCTGATTTGAAGAATATGGGTTCAAATCCTTGATAGATCATCAAGTCACTACCGAGTTTGTCGGTCAGGTTTGTTGTCCATCCGACTTGTTAGCCGTCGGTCTGCATTATCCTCATTTCTGTCTGAGGAGTCTTATCACTCCCCTCCTCTCATTTCGTCTTGCCCTTGGCATGATATCTCCATCCTCAGTACTACCCTCGATGACCATAGCTTTGATCTGCTCAACGGTCTTCGGTGTGGCCAGCAAGCAAGCCTATGGTAATCTTGACGAACCGCTAGAAGGGTTCAAGGATATTGAAACTGCTGCTTTCCCAGCTTAGCACAATCTTCTTAGCTGCGCTCAGAGCTTCTTCCTCCCATGGCTCCAGGCATGCCGGGCTCGGGCTCGGGCTCTCTCGGTTTCTCTTCCAGTCCCTCTTATGCACGTCTTTTGGCCGAGCTTGTTCTCGCTTCTTTTTCTGCCTTTCTGTTATTAGTCACACGCGTTCCTCGGGTCAGCTGGAACACTTTCTCCTACCGCCGATTTCGCCAAGTTGCATTAACTCCTGCACCTGACGGAGTCCGATTCCTCTCTTCTTCTCTTGATCTGCTGAATCTTTGTCCCGAAGAGGGCGGTGCCAATCACCTTTTCTGCCAATTTAAGAAGGTGTAGGGAGCACTTCAATCCGTGGATCTACTCTGCTTAGGGGGGGGTTTTGTGCGTCTGACGGTTCATGAATGATGTAGTTCGCGATTGTATTCGATTTGAAATGAATTAAGCACAGATATGCATCGCTAGGTACTGCATTTGACGCTCGCCCATCAGAGTTCATATTTGTGTGCTCTATTGGATGGTTGCTAGCTTCGACCAGGTGTTTGGATATTGAGAGTAGTCAGTGATAAATCGAGTCAAGTAATCCGTCTCTTTCGGCCACAGTGGGCCCAAGTAACTTCACGAATAATGCCATGACCTTCCTCATTTAAGGGAATCTTCCAGGATGTTTCCACGTGACACCTTCAGGATGCCTTTATCCTCCTTTTTGAGCTTTTTCTTCTCCACGGGATTACCTTTTTGCGGGGACCAGCCCCGGAGAAGCTGCCGGCCAGAAATACAGCCTTATGGATGATCTATTTGAGGCGCCAACGTTAATATCATATATTATAATGTAGGTCTTCTCACTAATGGGCAGAACATACCTGAGTGGGATTTTCCATTATGAGCAAGGAAAGGAGCGGTAATCTTTTTATAATGATATATGTGAACGAAAGGGGAGCGAAGATAAAAAAGATGATGAGCGTGCAATACCCTGACAGCTACCTTTCAATGGTAGAGATGTCCCTATGACTTTGAGTTGAAACATTTCCCACATGGATCAATGATTTGAACCCATCTACTGCGTGCTAGCCCTAAAACGCAGAACGTAAGATGTCCTTTGGTTGGCGAGGTTTTCCATACTTTGACGGAACAGTGACAAGACTTGCTGAATCATTTGGCTTGGGTTGAAGTCAATATTGTTCGACACCAGTACGCGAAGCTTCTTGCTTGATATCTTGCCCACTGTTTGAGGCGATGTTCTCGATGATGGGAAGACTTTCCTTAAGAGAAGAGTTTCCATGCCGGTATAAGCTTCTAGATGTTACATGTGCTACCTCGACTGGTCGTGTTGGTGCCATCTTGCAGTATAGTTATCAATTAGTTTTGCTGCCTCATCCTCTGAGAATAACTTGTTCATCAGAAATTCTCAGAAAGAACCTAGAACTCTGCCATAAAACAATATATGTCTTCCGGCAGGCTCCTATTATGCGGTATTAGGTGTGAAGCCGAGCCACGAGGACATAGCTTCTCGTTCGGCTCAGTGTCTGATGCTCTGCTTCATGTCTGGGGCCACTCACATCTCCTGTCATGTGTCCTTATTGAAGTTACCTTTATCGGTCTATTAGCGGCCACTGGATTCTAAATGCATGAACTTTATCTCTTTCATCAGGTCTCTTTGATGGTCAAGGAGACAGCCCAATGACTTCAGACAGCTGCATATTCGCTCTTACCGAGCATTTTTGCATAGTAGTGTTTTGTCCAAATGCTGACCTTCAACGCCCTGGAGTAGCACCACGTCTGTAGTACATATCCAGTGCAAACTCAGTGTAGAGGCTATCCAGTAAGAAGCATATACAGAATACTAAGACCGGGTTATAGGCAAGTGTTTCATAAATTAAGAATGTAAGACTATTAGGCAAGCCCCCCCACCCCAACAATGCGCTTTGTTGTCCTCCACCATGGGCGTTGGCTTAAGAAAAAGATATAGAGACGATTTTGCAGATATCTTCAAAGGTCAAAAGAATGGAAGTGATATAGGAAAGAACGTATAAGCTGTTGATGGGACGCATGTAAAATTTTTATAAGGTTGCGTATTTCTTGAGTAGAATCCACCATTCAAAGCTCGAGTCCTATATGCCAGAATAATAAAAGTACAGTACCAATGTATATTTCCTCTGCTGTGATCAGAATATTGAAAGGGTATTTAATTTCCTTCATAGAATAGATTCATTGGTCAAGATTTGTATACCACCAATTGAGGCTAAGACAGTAGGAGCATTCAGTGCATATAAAATGACCGGCAGTAGAGATGACCAACAAGAAAGATAGAGGAGAGAAGAAGAGAAGAAAGAGGGAAGAAGCTGGAAATTTATAGGCAAACGCCAGGCCACTAATTCACCCATAAATGGCACAGTGACTGTGGCAGTGGTGGGTGGGAGTGACAAGCCCCAGTCACCTTCACTTGTTCCACCTTCAGCCTCATTCAACCAGGCCTCTCCCAATTCAATCTATCTCTCCCATCTCCATCCATCACCTGTCCATATTCATAGTGCATCCAACTACTATCTATCCCATTCATCTCATCGTACTACCATCAATACTGCGATCACGATGCCTGAGGTACCCATGCCAGACTTGTCTGATGAGTCTAGTTTCTACGGCCTGTACTCCCCTCCACCCAAACGAACCCCAGCACCAGCTAACAAACCCCACAGGTTCAGAAGGGGAGACTGCACGCCTCGAGGAGGAAGTGGCCAACTTCGACACCGAGCATTATTGGAGCACCGTACACCCGTTTTCCTATAACACCATAAAATATAATGTCCTTGCAGCCCGAGAAACCGTGCCCTCAGCATCATCCCCAGCCCCAGAACCAGAGGCATCAGACGCAGTCCAACCAATGGACGTATCAACCTCCGAAATCTCGAGTGTACCCCCATCAACACCGATCCCCACCCACGACTTTGACGTTCCCATCTCAAGCACAGACACAACCCCAGTCAGACCCAACCGCCCTTCACCCAACGAACCCATCTCATCTTTTCTGGCCCGTCTACGCCCCTCATCTACCCTCTCCACATCCCCCACGGGATCCTGGATTTACACCACAAGTTACAGTTATGAGCAGCCACAAGCAGATCTCAAAAAGCTAGTAGCAGACGGGACGAAGGCACTCAAAGCCCACAAAGAAGCAATCGCCCAGGTGCGGGCCGAACACGCTAAAAAGCCAAAGAAGAAGCAGACGCCGGCTGCGCTGACGCGCGAACTCACCCAACATCGTAAAGACCTCGAAAACACACTCTTCAGTCTGGCCAGGCAGACGAATGTCGTTTCAGGCAAGTGGCTGTTGTTCGTCTTACCAGAGAAGGTCGATGAGGTGTGGGGGATAGTGGCTGAGGCTACAGCGAAAGGGGAGTTGGGGTTCGGGGTTAAGGTTGCTACTGCTGCTGTCGCCGCCGATGGTGATGATGATGCGAAGAAGGCGAGGTTGATTGCTATCTATACGAAGGATTATGAGGACAGAGCAGATGTGGAGAGAGTATTGAGGAAGATGGCGGCGTTGAAGCTGGTGGATTTGGATGGACGACCTGTTTATTATAAGTGTGATGCATATACGCATTTGGATATTAGGGGGGGTAATGAGTGGGGGTTGAGGGCAAGTATGTACTCGAGTCGGGATTTTGGAAAGAAGTAGAGTGATATTTTGGGTTTGGTTTTGGTGCTGGTTTGGATATTCTGGTTTGTGCTTGGATATTATATGGTGTGATGCTTGGTATGGTAGGTATGCATGTTTTGGGTATATGGTTTCATTAATCTATGTTGCTTTGTCAATGGCTTGGAGAAGATAGGTGGTAGCTCAGAGACCAGCTCGAGCTGTGTAGACTGCCTCGGTGGATGATAGGATGTCTGCTAGCTGGGAAGTGGCCGATAGGTGATATCGAGGCACGCCATCGCGATCCCGAGCTCGTTGTCAGGAGCTGGCTTGATTGAAGCTCGATGGCACTTATGGGTACCAACTCCACAAAGTCACTTTCATGTTTCTCGTGAAGCATCGGTTTTCCAGACTGTTGGCAAATCCCTCATGGTTTCAGAAGATAAAGAAGCCCCCAACTCAAGCTTCTCTCCCCTCCATAACATTCTCACAAGCCTCTCTTACCTCCTTCACACCCTTAACCCCCTCCCACTTATCCAACAACTTCCGTACCTCATCCCAGTCCTTCTCCGCCTCATCCCCCTTCCCCTCCTCCAGCAACTTCTCCAACCTCCCCGGCGCCGCAAGCACCCACCTAACGGTCCCCTTCTCAGCCCTCCTCCTCTCACCTCCCTCACTCTCCTTAGCCTCCTTCATGCGTCTCTGCTGCTCCTCTCCCTCCTGGATCAACCCGCCCGCCGTCTCCGCCACAAACGCAATGGCCGGCCCCAGCGTCTTCGTCATCGTCAACGGCGCGCCCCGATCATCCATCGTCCGCCGCATCTTCCCAATCGTTTCGACGGCCCTAATCAACTTCGAGTAATTGTCATACACCAACGCTTTGCGCTCACTATCCAGCGTGCGGATATCCCCGACGAGCGTGTTCTCCGCTTTCAGGACGGTTGATAGGGACGATGAAGCGAGGAGCTGGTTCACGTAGCGTTGGGGGTCGAAGTCCGGGCTGTCGAGCTCGGTGCCTGTTGTGGAAAGGATAGATGGGCCACCGGCGACAGTGCCACTACTGCTGCTGGAGATGTCCCCTGCGTCGGTATGTCGGGGGATGCTGCGTGAGCGCCGCCCGTCATTGTTGGGATCGGCTGCGGAGGAGGGTTTGAGATTGTAGTAGTCGCGGAGGGCGGCGCGGTTGCGGCGGGGGTGTAGGGACGGCGAGACGGCGCGGGCAGTGGATGGGGTTGAGGAGGCGCTGAGGTTGTTGAGGTTGTAGCTGGTGTTGAGGGTGTCGAGGGAGGGTCGGTGCGAGGATGTTGGTGTAGGAGAGTGTGCGCGGGATGAGGCGATTGAGGGGCGGGGGGAGGAGAGGGTTGACATGTCGATTTGAGATCGATATCTGCGATCTATATTTGATGGGATGAAGTAGACGAAAGGAAAAGTAAAATATAGGCGTGGGAAGTAGTGATTAGCGGAAGTAGAATCGGAGTGTTCAAAGATCAAGCTGATAAGGAGAGTTTAGATGGAATGAGGTCCAGCTTGGCTGGTCCGTTCCCCGGATTCGCTCCGCTCCGCATCGGAGCTACAGCAAACATTTTCCACCAGAACTATCTACATCGGCAGAACCAACAACACCTCACAATTATGCACCTACACTCACTTTCCACCTCCCAGAACACGATCTAACAATTAATACAATGACAACAAATCCTCACGACCATATAGCCACCCACCTCCTGACCACAAAATCCCTCCCCGTCTCCCCCACCTGGCTCACCACCTTCCTCTCCTCAACATCAACCTCACGCACCATCCCCCTCAGCGCCCTTACCCAAACCGCCCTCTTCCGCATCCTCACCTCCGACATCCGCGACTCCCTCAGCACCAGCAGCCCCTCAACCCTCCTCCCAACCGACATCTTCAACCCCACCATCCAAGAACGCCGTCTCAATGGCCCCATCCCACTCCAAGTCCTCGACATCGAAGACATCGGCACAAGCCTCTGGAGCCAAGTGGAGGCTATTGAGCGCGTGGAAAGGGGGGAGGCGATCCGGGGGAGGGAAATCGTGAGGACGGTTAATGTGGGGGAGGATAGTGAGGCTGCGGACAACAATAATGCAGCTGGTGGGGGTGAGAGTAATGGTCCGCATCGGTTGATTCTGCAGGATGCGGCGGGGACGAGGGCCGTTGGGTTGGAGTTTGCGAGGGTCAGTGGGATTGGGTTGGGGAAGTTGGCTATTGGGGCGAAGGTCGTCGTAAAGGATGTTACGGTTGCGAGAGGGATGGTGATGCTTACGCCGGAGTCGTGTGTGGTCTTGGGAGGGAAGATTGAGGGGTTGGATATACAGTGGAGGGAGGGGAGGAAGAAGAGGTTGTTGGAGAGGATTAATGGGGAGAATGAGGGGTCTTAGGTTTGTTAAGATGGTAGGTAGGTTATTTCTTGCGGTTATCGTGGACGATGGATTGTCTAATGCATGCATGCATCTATACTAATGTGTGCGCGTGACAGTTAACTACAACACGTCTAGCTGGTCGTTGAGACCGCGTGGTTCAACTCCTCCCATCCAGTCTGCTTCCATGGCGCAACCATGATCGCCCGCAGCGCGTCGCTTGCCTTTCCGGTCTGTGCGTATGCTGCGGACAAATCGATGGCTTCCAGGTTGCTCCGGGGAGGAACGCTCCTCGATGCCCGTTTGGTCGCCATCTCCGCAGGGTACAGTTCCTGGGTGGCAGACGCCAATTCTACCCAGCCTTGAGGTTCGTACGGCGATCTCATCACTGCTGCTGTGGCCTCGCCGACGCGTCGGACATCCTCGGGTACGCCAGAGTTGTCGGTGAATCCAAGGGTTGAGATGGCGGTCAAGAGCTTGATCAGCTTGCCGCGTTCGTGGATCTCAATGTCATCTCGAGTGATCATATTCTGCAGATCGGATTCAACCGCTTCAATGGCATCCGCATCGGCGTCAAGGAGCGCAATGGCTCCTAGGAGGGTTACAGCCCCAATGTGCTCTGGGTTCTCCTCAACACAGTCGAATAGTTGCTGGCGTGCCACAGCGCGCTCCTCCTCTCCGCCCTTGGCCCACAGAACCTGTGCTAGGAGGCACACCACTTCCGGAGCGTTGTCCGCTTCTTGAAGGGCGTCACGGAACATGTCGATGGCGTTATCCATGGACTTCATGTAGTAGTGTGCTAGACCCGCTGTCAAATGGGCGGACAGGCGCAACTTGCGGTTCGTCTCTGGGTCGAACTTCTCTGCATCTTCCTCGCCCGACAGCATAAGAGCTGTCTCCGCCTTCTCGGCAGCTTCTTCGAAGTCATGGCGCGCAAGCAGAACACGAGCAATGTCTGCATTGGCCTGTCCATACCGGGAAAGGGACGATGCCGATTCCGTGACTTCGTATTCACTTTCCATGCCTGCGCAAACTAACCGCAGACTAGCCTCGGCGTCTGTGTGCTCGCCGATTCTTTCCGCCAGGAGAGCAGAAAGATGCACGAACGGAAGATCGGACGGGTCCTGGCTGGATAGTTGGTGCAGAGCAAAGAAGGGCTGGATGAGTTGTGATATTTCATTCGACAGGGACGAATCCGACAGGAGGTGGTCGAACAAGCTCATCGTATACTGCTTCTTCGACAAGCGGGTCGACGAGGTGGAAATATCAAAAGCATGTTCAAACAGACCTCTAGCTTCCTGAGGGTCTCCGAATAAAAGAGCCAAGAATCCTTGGCCAACCCAAGCCGGGGAGTAGTCGGGGTCAGTGGACTGTGCCCGGGTAAAAGCTTCGTTGGCGAGCTGGATATCATTGTGGATGAGATAAAGCGTTCCCAGGTTCGTCCAGACTTGGGCGCTCCTGTCGTTGAGGTGAAGACTGCGGACGAATGCATGCTGCGCGACTTTGGGACTCATGCTCGTGGTGACTACTCCAAGGGCGTTCCAGAACTCCGAGTTTCCCGCTTCGAGCTCAATGGCTCTCTTAAAGCAACGCATGGCTGCCTTCAGGAGCTTACGTGACTGCTTCTTGTTCTCGGTGTTTACGATAGTCTGCAAACACCGGTAGGCTCGGTATTCTGCCCAGCCCAGGTTGTACCAAGCGACTGCTTGGGCATGGCTGTCCCGCAGGGAGACCTGAATGGCACGCTTGTAAGCCAGGATGGCGGCGTAGAGACATTGACTCGTCCGATTGGCGGTCTCATCATCGGCTGTTAACGAAGATAGATAATCGTGACCAACATTATCAACTTCCGTCAGGATATCTAGGGCTGTAGGTTCCAGCTGAGTCTCGAGTAGGTCTCGTAGCTCATCAATCGGCAACCTACCCGCTTTCGATTGGACGTAGGAGAAGAGCGTACAGGCGTCTCCGATCCCTTTCCAAAGGTTGAAAACGTCAACCCTCTCCAGAGCAAGCGACTTGGCCACTAGTAGGGCCTTTCGTGCCAGCTCAATACAATCATTGTAAAGACCCTGGTCCAGACTCTTCCAGGAGCTCTCAGTAAGCGTTTGAAGCAGCGCAATCGCCACTCCAAATTCATTAGGCCGCACCTGCAAGACGTTTTCATATCTCGCAATAGCATCCTCGTACTCGCCAAGTTCTCGCTTGACATTAGCAAGCATGTACCTTGCAAACCAAATCTGTTCCTTGTCGGAAAGGTTATCTTCCAGCTGCTGTGCGTGCTCAAACGCCTTTGTAGCGGCAATGAATCTGCCAGAGTGGTGGTAGCTTTCACCTAGACCGACCCACGAATGGTAATCGTTGGGAGAAATTCTGAGCGCTGCCTGGAAAGAGACGATACTCTTAGGGTACTGCTGCTTGTTGATTTGCACTGTGCCCAGAGCTGCATAGGGCCAGCTGTAGCCTTTGCGCTTCGAGCCTGGCGCAGGCTTGGCTTTCCCTGAATCAACAACTCGCTGGGACACGGCTTCGACGAGATCCCATTCCCTCTGATCGGCGAATGTCTTGGCAAGACGCTCAGCTGCTTCGATCTCTGATGCCGACAGCTCGAATGCTTTGTGGAAGCACCTGCGTGCCCGCGTCTTGTCCTTCTTGTAGTCTGCATAGTAGAGACCGAGGCTTGTATAGGCGGGAGCAAAGTTCATGTTAGACTGGATAGACGCGAGGAAGCTAGCGTATGCTCCAGTCCGGTCTTTGCGCGCTGCCGGCGATGGGTCAATCTCCCACTGGCAGTATCCCACACGGTAGAGGATCTCAGCTTTGAATTCTCTATTGTCGGTTTCCGCTTCCTGAAGTTCTTCGAGAACGTCTTGCAGGCCCTCTAAGCCAGATGCAATATCGCCGTTGAGTGCTCTACACCATGACAGCTCACCGCGGACTTTAATGTTCGTTGGGTCCCGCTCTAGAGCGCGCTCCAAGAAATTGACGGCTTCGGAGTAATCCTCATCAACCTTTAGAATTAGACCGATACCCAACAAGCAGCTTGTGGACTTCGGCTCTCTCGCCAAGATCTCTTCGAAAATCCGCTTAGCTTCGGGGTGATGCCGGGGAGACTGGTAATAAATAAGCGAGTTGGCGAGCATTATGTTGAGTGCATCGGTGGTGTTTTGCAGACTGATGCCAGTCCTCCTGACAAGGTCCTGGACGTTGCGAAGGCCTTTGCGACAGACATCCACTGTGCTGTCGTACTCTTCAAGTGAGAGATATAGTTCGGCCACAACCCGGTGAGCGACGATCGACGCCGAAGAACCTTCGAGGCCTTCCACCATCAAGAGTAGGTTATCCTGGACACCTAGCTCATTGCTCTCGCCATTGTTGTTCTCGGTCTCTTCATCCTTCTTTGCAGCTTCTTTGGGCTCTTTGTCTTTCGGGAACGGTGACAAGTCGCTAGCCAAGAAGCCCTTCAGCAGCTTAGAGAGACCGTCCTCAGGGAAAAATTCGATGAAGTCGTCTAGGAAGTTACGGTCCCACTCTGAGAAGTTCTGAATATCCTGCCATTCTAGCACGATCTTCCACGCAAGCTCGTAAGGGTGTTTAATGATCACCATATCGTGGGCAGCCTGTAACACTTCTGCTCGCTTGGCGTCCTTTTCATTCGCCGGTAGCACAGAGAGAATGTCGTTCGCCCGCTGTAACAACTTCTCTTCGTAGGTACGCCGAACTTGATCATCATGAGACCAGTTGATAATTCCACGGTAAAGCTCCTCTAGCTCGCTTCGTTTGAAGGCCTCCCTCTTGACCTCCAGTGTAACCTGATCAATCTTTGCACCCAGTCGCGTACGCCGTTCACCGATTTCCCTGTTGATGAACTCCTTTTCCTCCGCCTCGGTCATTTCTATCAGTCGGAGGTATGTGTGCGAAGGATGGGGAACTCTCCCCTCGAGGAAATCGTAGAGCGGGCATGACGGCAGGTGTAATTCGAGGGCTTTCTTGTACTGCGACCGAGATCCGTTCTTCTTCGCGAACCCGACGTACTTGTCGACCAAATCTTGGCAGCGATTTTTATCATCTCTGCACCCATTTAGTGATAACTCGGTTTTACTGAAGGATAAGGAATGAGAACACACGTTTCGGCATATACTTGACCAAGTCGGATGACTGCGTCGCGATATGAATCTAGCTTATGAGTTCCCTGCTTCTCGAAGAGGTTGATGAGTCCCTGCCACGCTGTCTTGTCGTTCTCTTTGACCCGGATTGCCGAAAGATAGGCTCTTTCAGCTTCGGTGTTTTTGTTGAGCTTGTCTAAAGCTAGACCAAGGAAGACATTCCTACAAAATGATTAGACGGAGCAGCAGCGCAATGGGTACGGCGGGGTCGGGGAAACACACGCATGGTAGATCTGAGGATCTTGCTGCACAATAGCTTTGGCTTTCTCAGCTGCAAGCTCGAAATCCTTTGCGTCGAGTGCTGTTCGCACCGCTTTCAGAGCGGATTTGCTTGACATTCTAGAGCAATTGCTTCATGGCCCGGCCAGTCGAGGTGGTATTCTGGATAGACGGAGTGGAGGAGCTGAGCGCCGGTCGAGAAAAGGCTGGCTATGTGGGGAAGCCCAAGCGGGTATGGATCGTATGGTACGTCAGAGGCCTGGTCGCTTCCCGTTATCTCCAAGCAACGGCGACACTCTCTCCGCAGTAACTGGATTCACTCTGATAACGGATTCTCCAGGCACCAGGGAAATTTTTGCTATGGTTGATTGGTGTCTTGGATGATAAGTGCATTCATTCATTGTTCATATGTGCCTTCACTCTCGTTGACACTCCCTTTGATGGTTGGACAGCCTGCTCCTGCAAGGTTAGCGCGGATCCCCGATCGACACCTCATTCGATCCCCCGGCTATCCTGCTGTACACCATACTGACTCTCAGCTCCCAGAATAACATATCTGTCACTTGACCTGTCTCGTTTACTTTAGGCTGCGTTAGATATTCTCCGAGAGGTTGTGGACATCTGTGTCTACACCCCATTTATCATATCTGGAGCGTCACCGCCGGTTCCTTGTCGCCCACTCCCTACCTTGTTACTGGCAATCATGGGCCCTCTACGACTCCGCATTGAGGGACGAACTTTCAAGGACTCGCACAATAGAGAGATTACACTAAGAGGAATAAACGTGGCTGGGGAATGCAAATATCCTAAGAACCCTGATACACCGTCCTACGTTTCTGATAATTTCTTTGACGCCGATAACGTTTCCTTCGTCGGTCGCCCTTTTTCACTTGACGACGCTCATACACACTTTGCTAGGCTACGCAAATGGGGTTACAATACTCTGCGATACATCTTCACTTGGGAAGCGATTGAACATGAGGGGCCCGGAAAGTACGATGATGAATGGATAGCATTCACTATTGAAGTCCTGCGTATCGCCAAGCAATACCAATTCTATGTCTTTTTGGATCCTCACCAAGATGTGGTATGTCTCCAATGAATATGCTGGATTGGTGATACGAGCCCTTACTGAACAAGACCAGTGGTCTAGACTATCGGGAGGCTCCGGTGCGCCAGCCTGGACACTCTACGCAGCAGGCTTAAACCCCCGGACGTTCAAGAAGACCGAAGCTGCCCTTGTTCAGAATACTTATGATATTCCGGCTGAATTTCCTAAAATGATTTGGAGTACGAATTATACCCGTCTTGTCTGTCAAACAATGTTTACACTGTTTTGGGGAGGTCGGGATTTCGCTCCGAAGGCGATAATCAACGGCATGAACATACAGGACTATCTGCAAGGGCACTTCATTGCAGCGTGTCGATATTTCGCCCAGAAGATTCATGAAGCTGGCGACATTGAGAATGACGTCGTTATCGGGTGGGAGAGCATGAATGAGCCTCATCGCGGACTCATTGGAGTACAGGACATATCCGTGATCCCACCGGAGCAACAGCTTCAGCTCGGCACATCGCCCACCGCTTTCCAAGCCATGCTTACTGGTTCGGGACGAGCGTGCGAGCAAACAACCTGGAATTTCGGCAGCTTTGGCCCTCACCAGACCGGCAGAGAACTTGTAGACCCTGAGGGTGAATCTGCATGGCTGCCAGCTGATTATGACGATCAGAAATACGGCTGGAAGCGCGATCCCGATTGGAAATTAGGCAAGTGTCTTTGGGCTCAACATGGAGTTTGGGATCCGTCAACGGACCAACTTCTCCGGAAAGATTACTTTTCAAAAGTGCCACAGACTGGAGAACCCCTGAACTATGATAGGTTCACCAATACGTATTTTATGGAACATTACAGGGCTTACAGGGATGCCCTCCGAAGCGTCTGGCCGGGGGCCATCATGTTGTGCCAACCGCCGGTTATGGAAATCCCCCCAGACTTGAAGGGAACAGCCGATGATGATCCTAACATGGTCCATGCGGTACATTATTACGATGGACTGACACTTCTGACGAAACATTGGTAGGTAACTACTCAAACGTACACATCCTACGGTGCTGACAGCCACAGGAACCGGCTATACAACGTGGACGTGATCGGTGTTCTTCGAGGAAAGTATCTCACTCCGGCATTTGCCGTCAAGATCGGAGAGACAGCCATTCGAAATTGCCTGCGAGATCAGCTCAAATTCCTCCGGGATGAAAGTCTGACGTACATGGGGGATCATCCGCTGATTTTCACAGAGATTGGTATTCCCTATGACATGGACGACAAACATGCCTACAGAACCGGTGATTATAGCAGCCAAGTCAGTGCGATGGATGCGAACCACTTCGCTCTAGAAGGAAGCACAGGCAATGGTTTCACGCTGTGGCTCTACACCACCACGGTAAGCACCGCCAACATGACCATTTCGAAGAGGAATCCTGTCTAATAAGTTACTTCTTATCATTTCACAGAACAACCACGAGTGGGGCGATAACTGGAACGGCGAAGATCTGTCAATCTACTCCCTCGATGATCTGGAGCTGCCAAGTGGGAAGCTTCTAGCACTGGAGGGCGAGTCCCGAACGGACCCCGACCCTCATTCTCCCGCCTACTCGGAAAGTCAAGGCAATCCAGAGCATCATCAGGTTAGACCCGATAATCTGAAGGACGCGCTGGCCACACCGTCCATTACGTCAGAATACACCCAATCCAATGCAGACAAACTGGGCTTTCGAGCTGGAGAGGCATTCATCCGACCCAGCCCGATCTATACCTATGGAGATGTCTCGAAGTATCTTTTTGACCTTCGCAACTGCACGTTCACCCTATCGCTGGTCGGCAGTAAGAGGATCCTGGGAGATGAGGTGGCCACGGAGATCTACTTGCCCGAATTCCATTTCCCTGATACCCAAACCGTGGTCTCGGTCAGTAGTGGAGAATGGAGGATCGATTACACAGAGATCAACTCGATCAAGGTGCAGCGGCTCCGCTGGTGGCATATGGAAGGGGAGCAGGATATTAAGATCCAAGGTGTGAAGCGGAAACCCGGCGACCTGAGCAGTGTGTCGGCGGATGATCTGAGCTATCTCGAGCAGTGCCAGAAAGGTGGATGCACGGTGATGTAGATGGCTGGACCATCGCTGTTGCGTACTGGTACAGCATATGTCATGACAATATTTCCTCAGATGTTGGGTGGAGTTTTCGGCCATACTATAGTTTACGGGTCACGCTTATTAGTCTACGGCAATTGTTCACCTGTCCTTAGTATATCCTGTCATAGAACTTAGCAACGTAGATGTAAGCACGGTCACTACGAGTAGACTGAAGCCGGCTATGCTTTAAGGGGTAAATAAACTCTCCTTTTTCTGTATGGCGACGGAGAGGGGAAGATCGAGGGCTGATCCAGGCCTTATCGATAAGGCCAACCCCGGGAAGCGGTGAAGGGCAGGGCGTAATGTGAGTGGTGCAAGCCCCTCCCTGACCGCCTAGTCGGTGTGGTGATTGGAGCAGCGGCGCGTGGAAAATTCACAGTGAGCTATTTATGATTGATTATGGTTCACCATTCTATTGTTGTTCCCGATCCTCTTCTTCCCTTAAGGTACTTTTCTTACTACTGCTACTTACTTCCTATCCCATTTCTGCACACTCTCTTCTTCCCCCCTCAGTCCAGCTATCGGACGTGATAGATTCGGGTTCCCCCGCTCCCCCTCAACCCAAACAAGCACCAAGAGGAGAAACAATTCCTCATTTCCCGTCGTACTCGGAACATTCCTAGTTTCCCCGTGGTTCCCTCCCCCTCATAAACCCTTTCTTTAGGCAGAAACCACATCCCCCAATTCATTCCAGAACACCCACTGCACCGCCGAGCCGCAACTGCCTCGGAGGCGGTTGCCGTGTGTCGCCCACCTTTTTCTGGAAGGCTGATTGCGGCAGCGTTTGTTATTTGCCCAACGCAGTGCTACCTGACCCGCAACGACGGATCTCTCTCATCGGGAAGAGTGACCAAGGCTTTGCAAGGGCCTAGATCATGCCGGCATTGGTGCTGCCACTGGAGAAAGTCTTGAGTTAAAATCATTCCGCTATACTTATCCATCACTCGTCCCCCGGCGGCACTAGTCCCGTCAGATCCTATCCATGGCGGCCGAGGCAGATCTATCGGAGGGCCGCATGGCCGACATCATCCGTGCCCTTGAGCTCATCCATAGCCCCTCCTCGACAAATGAGCTGCGCAGGGAGGCCTTGACCTTTGTGGAAGCTCAGAAAGAAAGCAAATCTGCTGCTCGTAATGGTTTCCTGCTGGCTTCCCCAGAACAGAGCAACCCCTTGGTTCGCTACTTCGGCTTGGGTCTGCTAGATCACGTCTTGCGTCACACCTCCTTTGAGGCTTCAGAACAGATTGACGCCCTTAGGGGTCTGGTCCTCAAGCTGGCAGAATCAGTACGCCCAGAAGATCCTCCGTATATACGCAACAAAATCACTCAATTATGGGCCGAAGTCGCCAAACGGAGCTGGGGCTTGGACTGGAACGACATGGACGCCACGCTCGTTCAGTTCTGGGGTGCTAGTCTTGTTCACAAGGAATTAGTCCTGTCAATTCTGGAAACCCTGTCCGAGGATATATTCTACCGTGAAGACACCGTTTCTTCCCTGCGCGGCACGGATCTCAATCGGGCTCTGGTGGAGATTTGCACTCCCCTGTCTGTCTTCGAGGAGATTCACCCAAAGAAGGATAGTGTTGAACTGCGCTGTGGACCGGAAGGTTGGCTTTCCCGCATCTGTGGCTTCCTTGCCGATTGTATCGGGAACATCCAAAACTCGAAGCAAGCAAAAGACTCCGCCCTCAAAGCTCTCGCGACTCTCAAGTCCGTCCTTGCATGGTCTATCCCCAAGGCAATTCTCTCTGCCAACTGCGTTCCTTCAATTGCGAGGGCCTTCACCTGTAACGACGAATATGTGTTGCTGGTAAGTCTCCACCCAACCTGTGAAAGTCGTGCGAGGAGCAGCACGTGCTAATATCAACAAAATTAGGCCGCGGTTGAAGCTCTGCATGCCTTGTACAGTCGTTCCAATGTCGACATCGAGGGTTTCCAACCACTTGTCCACGTCATGTACGAAACGGAGTCCTTGAATGTGCTGCAGAAACTTTATGAATGGTCCGTCGTTGGGCCTGACGATGTCGACGATCTACGGTACACCATATGTAAGAAGCTGTCTGAGGTATGGAAGAGAACTACACTTGTTGGGAGGCATATACTAACGTATCATGGATAGGTATTATCGTATGTTGCGGGGTTCCTTGAGGAAAAGTCTTTTGCCCTGGAAAGCGTACAGGGTCTTAACCTTCCGTTCTTCTTCCACCTCACCGTCAGCGTTATTCAGAACCAAAGTCTTACTGTTTCGATTCCCGTTCTTCATGTGTGGTCTAAGTTAATCGCATCGGAGAGGATCGGAAATACAGACTTGGTCACTGGCCTTGTGCCTTCGCTGCTGAGTATTTGTACCGAACGATTGATTCGTTGGGAGTCTTTTCCATCTGATTCAGAAAATGCCACGGTTGTTTTCCTGAACGAGGACATCGACACTATTCCCGAGAGACATGCTTTCGTTGGTAATTACAGGCGCTACTGCTCATCTATCATTGAGAGCATCGTACAGAAGAGACCACAGGAAGCAATTCTTCATATCTTATCCGAAGTTGACTCTAACCTAGACAATCTCTACGCCGGAGTGGAGCCTTTTAGCGGTATGTATTTCTTGTCTGACTTCGAGTTGCTAGCTAAATCCTGCCTTAGTCAAGTCGTTTTCGAAGAACTCGATGCCCCTGATGCGTGCCGACACGCAGTTTGCAGTCGTTGAGGCAACGTTGAAGGGATACAATAAATGGGTATCTGCGCATGGAAGGATGCCCCAGCAGGATGTGCGCAACATGGGTCCAATTGCCTTTCTTCAGCTAACGTCAATGTAGGAACAGAAGCGTAGCGAGCTAGAACAGATGTTGGAGGCGTGGGCTTTTAAGCTGATGCAGCGGCACTTTGAGGTTCGACTGACTTGCCCTCGGATGTTAAGTTTCAAGTCACCTAACTTACATTACACTACAGGATCCCATCCTCAAGCAGCGAGTCATCAAGCTTGTTGTTGATATATCATCCAAGGCTCTGGATAAAACCCCCAGCTTTGCACTCAAGGCCCTAGAGTATATTCTCATGACACGTCTACCTGACCAGCCGGAATACCCAGTGTACTCCGAGTCTGTCAAGGAACTTCACGGCTTGACCAGCCATGAACTCCGGAGGTTGGCTATGCGTTATGCTGACTACTTTGCTGTAAGCTAGTTCGGCCATGGCTTTAGGCACTGCTAACTGTTCTGTCACAGACCTTCTATGACATACTCGAGCCTAAAATCAAGGAGATCAGCATGGCTAACCGGGTAGACGATAAGCTCCAAATGGAGCTTACCTCGATCCTGCTCATCATCATGTATGGCTTAATCACGTCTGCTCAAGCTTTCTAGTGCTGACCTTGCAGGCAACGTGCAAACAACGTCGAACCATATCTCCGCCAATCTCGACTTGTGTCTTTCGTGGAGCCCATCAAAAATGCTTGGCAGGAAGAGGAGTTCCGTAACATGAGCTCAACCTTTGAAGGCTTCTGCGTAATGCTCGGACTGCAGAGTGTCGGTCCATACATGCAAGCACGACAGGCGCCGAAGCTTGAGGACTGGTCATCGGTGCCTCTGGATAGCGAGGGAAAGCTCATCCAGGAAGAAATGACCAGGAAGTTCCAAGTAATTATAACTGCGAATTCTTGACCAATGGATGCTAACTACTGGATAGCAACTGCCTTTGAGAGGCACCAAGACTATGTTGGCTGTTTCCTCGGACAAGCTGAAAAAGACAGATCAGGCGTACGAACTGGCCTGCAATATCTGGCATGACATCATTCCAACAATTCTGCCAACGTTACTGCAGCTTGTCAGGTAAGCATTCTGCCCATCAGCACTGTATCTCCGGCTAACCCACACACAGTAATGCACATGCCTTCCACAATCCGGAGAACTGGGGTGGTTTGCCTCATGACATGCGCGGTGTCGTCGAGCGTATCCTAACCGATAGATTTTGGCAAGCTGGAATCTCCACTGGAAGCCGGGATGAATTCTATGCTAAGATCACGGCCTCGAGAGCCTCGCTTGAGGGATTTGCATCCTCAGTAAGAGGCAAGATTCGGGCAGTTAGAGAATCCTGCTATTCCATGTTGTTCAGCATGAGTAGGCTGCGAGAGCATTTCTATGGGTTTGCAGAACTTCCCGGCCCCCTTGCCCAGGCGCTGTTCAAAGACTCTCCCCATCTTTCCTCTCATCAATTCTCCGTCCTTCTCAACATCTCAAGATGCTTAATTGATGACTGCCCCGTCCGCTTCCGGGCCCAATTCCTGCCTCCAATGCTCTCCACTCTCTTCACAAACATTGACAAGAAAGTGACATCTGAGTGGGACGCCATTGAACGCCAGAAGGAAGGCCTTGGAGAAGGGGATCTAACCGATGAAATGAAATCGGAGAGTATTCTACGGCAGTTGACGTACTCCGCAGTGATCTTTGTGGCTAGCCTCCTTGACCCGCAGAGAGGGGGTAAGTTTCCGGTGACATCCTGATATTGTGATCTTTATAATATGCTAACTCCTTGTCACAGACCCCGACGACGAGCCAGTAGATCCCAGTGTGCCACAGGCGGCACCGGCGCTCTCTGACTCCATCCGGCACTTTGTCCTCTCTTCTCCGGAGATCTTCGAGCCGGTGATGCTCTTCTGCACTCATGCCCTCCGTATGCGTGATACGCGGTGCTGCAGCATCATCACTCGGGTCATTCGCTCCATCCTTCAAGACTTTGCGCCTCCCAATGATACAGCAACAACCGTAACGATCCGCGAGTTCATCTCTTCCGAGGTGCTCAAGGCCTGCATCACATCTGTGCATGAACCTTACTTCGTTGACATGCAAAAAGATCTCGCCCAGCTCATTGCTTCTATCTGGATACTGTATGGATCGTCCAGCCCCACCCCGCGGGCTGTGATGCTCAGTCTTCCAGGCTTGGATGAACAACGGGTTGCCAACGCAGAGGCCGCACTTATCCGTTCTTCGGCGGCGCGACAGCAGCGTGCCTTGATTTTGGATCTTCTGGAAGGCCTGAGGGGTGTGAGTATTGCCGAGCAGGGTAAGATCCTGGGCTCTCGTGAAGAACGCCGGAAGGCCAGGAGTGCGCTACAAGAAAGGTACATGAGTACTGGTGAGATGGAGGGCCAACAGAATCACAAGGTTGATATCAACGATGGCCCGGACCTTGCCGGTGTCGCGGACTTGTTCGGTTAAAAATCTCCCACAGATTTGGTGCGGCGGCCGCTCATACCCAGGTCTTCCCTTGTATAGTATGGTGGCTTTGGTTTCATGCCTACTTTCCGACGTCACAGCCACCTTTTTGCGGTTTTGACTTTTTATTTTCACATATATAAGCACATAGACGCCTAGCCACGCAGCATAGTCTAATGTAGCAGCGATCGATAGACGCCACTGGCAAAGAAAAACAAAAGAAAGAAATACAAAACACTGAAAACGCATTGCGGAACTGGCCGGTCTCTTTGGTTTGGTATATCTACAACATACAATAGTAGCTCATCTTGACTATCCCGGTGCACCTGTTGATTCTCACGGAACCGCAGCCTACACGCCCATAACTGAATACTCCGAACCCATCATTTACCTGCACATGAACCCCCCGATCAGATCATGCGCAAGGCACACGCCCCCAAAAAGGGACGATCTGGGCAAACAGAAGACAACATAATCGAACGCACATAAATTTTATTATCTTCCAAGCGCTTATTGAGTGACCTTGCTGGGGGTATACGTGAAGGTAGGGCGGACAAAGCTGTTTTCGGTAGGGATCTTGATTAGCCTTTCCCAGCCCAATTGACATCCAAATACGGGTGGAGAGAACATACCGGTCCGAGTTGTAGATCTTGGCGTCCGTACCAAGGAGCTCCTTCTCACGAGCCTTGTCGGCGAAGTACCGACGAGCCTGGTCACGGTCCTCCTCGGCCTGGAGAAGAGGCATGATGTGTATACGGCCCCACATCTTCTCACGAGCGAGTTCACTGTTCATTCCCCTTTCGTCAATATCCATTCCTTGTTTGCCGGGATTTCTGGTTTGTAGAGACGTACTATTGTTCACGAACACCGTAGAAGAGCTTGTAGTATCCGTAACCCATGATCAGGTGCATACCGATAAGGTAGTAGATGGGGCGGAAGCCACGGGCAGGGATGTTGCGCTATACATGAGGGCAGATTCATTAGCAATTGGCTCGTGCCTCCGGACGTAGGGATCGAAATCATAGAAAGTAAGGTAGGGTGTGGTTGCTCGTGAATCGGATCCGATGGAACGTTGTTTCGTGTGGTTAACGCACCTTGTACTGCACGGGCAAGTAGCCCCCCTGCGGGGGCATATCCTGAGGCATGGTGACTGAGGAGAAAAAGACTGGCGAGACAGAGAGGAGGGGGGTGCCGCAGCCTTTCAATTGAGGGTGGTGCTGGGAGATATGATGCGGTTGCGGATGGGAACTTGGGATGTTGTGTCACGTGAGACATGCATGGTTTGGTAATGGGCGCTGAGGGGGTTTTGATTGGTGGGTGTGCGGGGGGGCATTTTGGGTGATCTTCTTTACTTAGCCGCTGGGTGGGCTTCACTTACGTTCTACCGATTGCTGATTGTCTATTCACTTTCTTTTCTTTGTCTCTGTAAGGGATTGGTTATTGGTATTTTGACGGGGAAGAAAAAGAAGCCATTGCTAATTGAGCATTCTAACTACGCCATGGAGGAAGACAACGATCGGCCTAGAAAGCTTCCAAAGCTTGATCACGACGAGTCTCAGGATTCCGAACCCAGAATGACCGGTGCGCTGCAGGTCACGGATAATGCTTCTACAGCTGCTACGGCTGGCACAGACAATGCCGACAATGAGCAACCTACCATGACATCCGAGAATGATAATACCCACGGCGCCGCCGACAGCACTACAGCCCCCACCACCGAAGATGGAGCGCCCAAGATCTCCAAGCGCGAGATGAAGCGCCAACGCCGCCGCGAACAATGGGACCAGCAGCGCGACCAGCGGCTCGCAAAGCGCAAAAAAACTGCACAGGCGCGCAAAGAGCGCCGGCGCGCAGCCTTCGAACAAGCGCGGCTGGACGGCACAGAAGCCGAACTCAAGAAGCAATACGAACGGACTCAGGAACGCTTCCGGAAGTCGACGCTGCTTCCGGTTACATTAGTGATTGACTGCGGATACGACGAATTGATGTTGGAGAAGGAGCGAATTTCACTGGGGTCGCAGATCACGCGGTCGTACTCGGACAACAGTCGGTCGGTGTATCGGTCGCACTTGGTGTTTTCGTCGTTCAATAAGAAGCTGAAGGAGCGGTTTGATACGAAGTTGAATAAGCATTATTTGAACTGGAAGGGGGTTAGGATCCTGCCGGATGATTTTGCCCAGGTGGCTGAGAAGGCGAAGGAGTGGATGGTTGTTCCTGACGGGGGTAAGATGGAGGGGATGTTTGCGGATAAAACGGATATGAAGCCTGAGGATGGGGAGGTGATTTATCTGAGCAGTGATAGTCCCAATACGTTGACGGAGTTGAAGCCGTTCAGTACGTATATTATTGGGGGCCTGGTGGATAAGAATCGGCACAAGGCGATTTGCTATAAGCAGGCTGTGGAGAAAGGAATCAAGACGGCCAAGTTGCCTATTGGGGACTATATACAGATGGCGTCCAGACAGGTGCTGGCTACGAATCATGTCGTGGAGATTATGCTCAAGTGGTTGGAGCTGGGAGATTGGGGCAAGGCGTTCCTTGCTGTTATTCCGCAGCGGAAGGGTGGTACGTTGAAGGAGTCGGGGGCTGAGGCCGACGGGTCTCAGCAGGAGGAGAATAATGCAGAGGAGGAAGAGGAGGAGGCGTTGGAGCAGGCTCAGGAGGTTACTGATGAGGCTGTTGAAGAAGCCCAGCAGGCTGCAGAGGAGCCTGATCAAGCTATGGCGGAGGCACCTGTGGAGGGCAAGTGAGAGGCCTGGTGCCGATTATAGTGTATATATGCAGCAGTGTAAGCTGTCATGCGCTGTCTACTAGAGAAGTGGCTGGCCAATCTACATGTCTTCCAATGACTAGCAAGGAAGTGATGCTTCATAGTTACCTAGTTTGTAGAGCTAACGAACTACTCCGTAGATGGAAGTGATGTGCGTAGTCAGTGCTGACATAAGTGCACCGCCACACGTGCAACGCCACATGGTTGCCACCGGGCGATGGATGACGGCAACCAAAACAACAACAACATCGCCGTTCCATCTTTTTTTCGTTTCCTCCTTCCAGAAGCTCCACAGAGACTCGCTTGCTCTTTGCTCTGCTTGCTGTCTGGGCCCTGGCTCTCTTCACTCTGCCCCGGACCAAGTCTCATCCTCCCCTATATACTTTCCGTCCCCCTCTCTTGTCTGGTGACCTGCCTCAATCCCTGCCCTAGCAACCCACTTTATTCCAAAGTTCAATAAACAAGGTTGCTGTTGCTGAGCAGCAAAGCTCCTCCAGCCATGTTTGTGCTCCGCAACGGTAAGTCCCTTCCCTTCCCGGATGTCTTCTCCTCAAGGACAGCTTTGCGTTCACTTTGGCTTTGCTACCCCGCCATCTGCCCCTCCTCCCCTCATCCTCCTTCCCTGCTTCCTCCCCTCCCGCCTTCATCACTTACCAGTTCCCTCTCATACTGACGTATCCTCTCGGGACCTATCCAGTGAGCAAGTACCTCTTCGGAGACTCTTCCAAGGAATCTATCATCGAGATCCCTCAGGGACAACTTTATCTCGTCCGCCCTCTGTCGCCCAAGGGCTACTCGGAACTCATCTTCAAGGACGCCGCCGCCTCCATCAGACGCACTGGCCAGGAATTCCAGTATCAGCTCGTCATCCAGCGCGCCTACGAGGAAGGCGAAGAGGAGCTTGGAGAAGAGGACGACGAGCAAGGCGGCAGTGACAGCCTCGATAAGGACGAAAAGGTCTTCCTGCTCGATCAGGCTCTGCACTTTCGCTCCGAGGTGCGCGAAGGAGGACAAAAGATCTTGGCCTGGAGAGACCTGAGTGGCGACATTGGTGACCTTTTTGAATTTGTCTGCGACCCCTCCGTACCTTCGGATAAGGTTTCCACCTTCGAGCTAGCCGCTCTTCAGTGCCAGTACGAGCGCGCATACCGCCGCAGCTCCCAGAACGTGAGCCGCGAAGATCTGCAGGAGTTCTCATTCCAGGAGGAGAAGCCTATCCCGTCTGCAAGCCCTATCTCTTCTTCAGCACGGTCTCCTGCTCGGTCGCCGACATCTGGAGAGTCCACCGCCGCCATGGTGAAGGACGTCGAATACTCGCGGTCCAAGGGACAAATTAAACCTGCAGCCTCAGAGGAAGCCACCGTTGCCCCCCCTTCTGCAGCGCAGCCTGAGGCTAGGGAGGTCCTTGCCAAGGAGAAGGCCGAGCTGCACCTGTTCGACTTTGTGAGCGGAACGTTCGTTCTGCAGGCGGCCAACGTAACTGCGACTGTTTCTGAGATTGGTGACTGGAAGTACTGGCTTCAGATTAGCGGAGAAGACAAGGAGTGGCTGGGACAGGCTGTCGTTGCTGACATCAACCCCGTTTTCAACTTCGAGTATCTGTCGTTCATCTTCAATGCCTACAGTGAAGATGGCTCGGCGTTCTCTTGGCTCTTGCGCTTCAAGGACCAGGAGACTGAGGAGAGGTTCCAGGAGGGTCTCATGCAGGCTCTGTGGGAACAGCTGAACGAGATGAAGTGGACAAAGGTCAAGGAGCAAGAACGAGAGTATGTGCTGGACGCCTTCCAGGATCTCACAATGGAAGATGCAGAGGAACGCGAAGCCGAGGCCGAAGAGGAAGAAGAAGAGGAAGACGAGGAGGAAGACCACTACGACGGTCAACGCAGCGAACACTACGACTCCGACGAGGAGCAAGATGATGTTGTTACGCGGGATGATGATGGAAACGTCAACTCCCAGCTTGCCGTCGGTTACAAGCATGACCGCTCCTTTGTTGTCCGTGGCTCCAAGATTGGCGTCTTCAAGCACACTCCCGACAACAACTTGGAGTTCTCTACCAACATCTCCAAGGTTGAGACCCCCAGGGGCAAGCTCTTCAGCCCCAAGAAGGTCATGTTGCACGCCGAGGACACCAACATGATCCTTCAGAACGGTGACGACCCGAACTCGCTTTACCGGATGGACTTGGAGTATGGTAAGATTGTGGATGAGTGGAAGGTCCACGATGACATTCCAGTTACTACATTTGCTCCTGAGAGTGTGAGTATCCTATTTACTTGTCTATTGCGTGAGATATTTGCTAACTTAGCTAGAAATTCTCCCAAATGACCTCTGCACAGCCCTTCATTGGTGCTTCTAAGAACGCCCTCTACCGCATCGACCCCCGTGTCGACGGAAACAAGTTGGTGGACACAGACCTGAAGCAGTATGCCAGCAAGAACGAGTTTTCTTCGGTGGCTACCACTGAGAAGGGTTACATCGCCGTCGCCTCCAACAAGGGTGATATCCGGATGTTTGACCGTCTTGGAATCAACGCTAAGACACATATTCCTGCTCTGGGAGAGCCGATCATCGGACTGGATGTGTCTGCGGACGGCCGCTGGGTGCTTGCAACCTGCCGGACATACCTCCTCCTTATCGACTCGCTACAGAAGGAGGGCAAGAACGAAGGCAAGCTAGGCTTCGAGCGCTCATTCGCCAAGGACTCCAAGCCTCAGCCTCGCCGTCTGGGTCTGCAGCCTGCCCATGTGGCCCAGTTCCAGCACGAGACGAAGAAGCCTATCAGCTTCACGCAAGCACGATTCAACACGGGTGTCGACAGTCAGGAGACTTCGATTGTCACGGCCACTGGTCCCTTCATCATCACCTGGAGCTTGAAGAAGGTCGTTGCCGGACGCAAGGACCCCTACACCATCAAGCGGTACGGCGAGGACGTGATGGCAGACAACTTCCGCTTTGGTTCGGACAAGAACGTCATTGTGGCCTTGCCCAACGAAGTCAACATGGTTGCCAAGCGGAGTTTGATGAAGCCCACTCGCGAGAGTATCGCCGGACCTCCTGTCACACCCCGTCGCAGGACCCAATGGGGCAGCCGGTTAGGAAGGGACGAGATTGTCAACTCGCCTTACTGATAGGTTGGCCTTTTTCGTGTTAAGTTTCTGCGCCGCTGCATACCCATCTTATGTTTTCGGTTCGTCATACTTTTTTATTTTCTTCTTGCACTCTGGTATTCTATGAAACGCTTTAATGTCCTTACACGGTGATATGAACGGCTGGCGAACGGTTGCACTGCGGAATTAAGCATTGATGTTTGTACTCTTACTAGTAGCTGATAATACATCTACGAATCACGACTGACGTTGCACGATGGTTAATGGATGACATTCTGGGCCGGCTGGCCACGTAGTATATAGTTGCGCTCGTCGTCGATGGGTATCCCGTACCTAAAGCGGCGCTGCCTCAATCCTCCTAGTAGCTAGCTCAACGTAGGCAATTCAAGCCAGCAATTGCACATCCAGTCCCAAAGCACCGCCAACCAACCACTTCATGATTATCGACCATTCTGCCAGCAGAGGATAGTCACGCATCACACTCCATTCCATTACGGTGCCAAGTTGGCACATATCTCAAGACCCGACATACCACACCTCCACACCAATGATATCGAACTTGACGCCCTCGTCCGAGAGCGGCTCATTGCCAAAAGTCTGGCACGACGCACTGACGCCTTTTTCGAGACTCGAGTCGACCCATAGGCCGTAGTGTCCATCACTGCTTCTATTAGCTCATTGCAAAAGAAAAGACCGAAGAATAGAGGAGGAAGACATACCCTCCACCCAAACTCAAAAACCCAGTCTCACAAAACATCATATAATCATTAACCCCACTATACGGAAACGCCTTGAAGCGGATCTGCTCCGGCGTGACCGTCCCACTCGTCCTCCCACTCCCAGCACCATTTCCAGAGGTCGGAGAAAGCCACTTCTCGCCCTCCCCACGGCGTAGAGTCGTCGAACGCCCCGCGTTCGTTGTATCCGCGCTCGGAGGCAACGGTAACCCGGCCTTCTCCAGCACATCAGCCTCTACCCCTTCCTCACCACCATTGTCCCCATTCGCGTTACTGAAATTGCTGAGCATAGCGGTGGCAGGCGGCAACACGCTCGCCCTCCAGAGGAAACACTCCCCGGTACCATAGTAATGCGAGTCCGGGTGCGGAGGATCAGTCATGTAGGCGCCGAAGACGGCGTTCGACGATGGCGAGGCGTCGCGGATGACGAGGATGTAGCCGGCGCGGGGGCTGCGGGTAGATGCGATATCGCGGCAGTTGTCGTATAGGGTGGAAAGGGAGGCGCCGTCGCGGTCCAGACTGTAGGCTAGGTGCCAGGTGTTGCAGAGCTGGAGGCGCGGGGGCACCAGGAGGCGGATTTCTTCGGCGAGGGAGCGTGTGAGCAGGGTGGAGGGGTCGGAGAGGGTGAGGGGGGTAAGAGGAGGGGGTTGGAAGGGGGAGGCGGTGCGGATGGGGGTGAAGACTGGGTTGTTGTTGGTGGTGGTGTCGGTGGTGGTGGTTTTGCGACGCATGTTGTTGGTGGTGTTGGTGGAGGGGTCGGTGAGGCGGCGATAAAGGCCGGAGACGACGTGGGTGACTGGGTAGGAGAAGTAGGAGGCGGCGGATTGTTGGAGAGAGGAGGGGGTGGTTGCGGTGGTGCTGGTGCTGGTTGTGGGGGGAGGTCGAGATCCAGATCTCGAGCTTGAGGAGGACGACATGCGGGCAATGACGTGGGTGTTAAGGGATTAAAGGAGGGAGAGGGGGAGATTAATAATGGGGAAAGGGGGAGATCATGCAATTGAGATGGACGGAGGAGGGGGTAGAATGGGATAGGGGAGGAGAGGATGAGGTGGTGGAGAGGAAGATAAGACGATGGGGAGATGCAAGAAGGAGGAGGAGATTGATTAATTAATTAATGTTCGTCACGCTTTGCGGATCGGCGGGTGAGCAGCTTCTATACGGAGGATTCCTGGCTACTTTCAGTAATCAGTCGTGCTTGTACATCTCACGGCACATGCCCAATTATCGTTCAATTTTGGAGACAGAAAATATTATAGATTGGACTACGGAGATACTACTATCTGATAACGTTAATTACTCATTTACTGTATCCCTACTTCTGCCACACCTGCTCGACAAACGCCGTTAGATCGGCCTTGAGCTCGCGTGGACGCTCCAATGCGGCAAAGTGTCCTCCCTGTCGATCAACGTCAGATTTTCAACACACGAACTCATAGCGGTATTATCTTACCTCTGAATGATCCTGGAAGAAGACTAGATCTCCTGTGGTAGCAATCCAGCTTCGAGGCACGGGGCAAAGGTCCTTGGGGAAGAACGAGAATCCGAATGGTTTGTGAATATATAATTCGTTCTGCAGCATCGTCGCTCCGTTGGGCACAGAGGCGGTGGGGGTAGTCTTCATTGTTAGCTACACGTATACTACTAGTATGACGATCGAGATTGCATTCTTCAAACATACCTCACGGTAGGAATAAATAGCCCGTGGAAAACTCTCAGTGAGCCAATACAGGCTTACCATCTCAAGAATGGTCGTAGAAGGGAGGGGTTCATCCACCCATTGGAGGTATTTCTCACCAACCCTGAATTAAATCGGTCAGGTACTTTAACATAGTTTTGTCGAAAAGAAGCAAACCCACCATGCAAGTAAAGCGATCGGACTGCTGGACAGTACATGGCCGATTGTACTGGGCCGAGTACTGTGCTCCAGGGCATAAGCTAGGCCATTGGTCATGAATTTCTCCATTCGCGCGACTCCCTCTTTCTCCGCCGCAGTCAAGCTCTCCGTTGACAGGCCTTCAGGGGGAGCTCTCATTGCGCATAGGTTCACTATACTCTTAGTGTCTAACAAATGTATGTGAGGGCTTATCACTTACAATGTACCGCTGGTGGAAGTTAGCAATGACTGCATCTTCGATGACGAGGTACACTAACCTTTGCAGGCGTCGAAGCTTACGCCCAGAACCCGCCCTACAAAACTACCAATATCACCTCCCTGGATAACATAGCCACTGCCGAACCCGAGGTCCTTCATCAACTGGTCTACGACCCGGGCGATGTCAACCAAGCCGAAATCCCTGTCCAGTGGGGGACCAGACGAGAAGGTGTACCCAGGAAGGGATGGAACAATTAGATGGAAAGGTAAGGTTTCAGGAGAGTACTCCTCGCTGAATAGCTGGAGGATTGGGTAGAATTCAACGAAGTTGCCTGTGTAACTTATTAGGGCAGGCTGACATGTATGCTTGCTTGGACAGAGTATATACTTACCGGGCCAACCATGGAGCAATGCGATGGGCACAGCATCCTCCCTCTGAGAAAATAAGGCAGCAAAGTGCACTGTGAGACCCTCAATCTCCGTAGTAAACTGGGGGAAAGAGTTCATTCGAGCTTCAAATGTTCGCCTGGATTGATCAGTGAGCATTGTACATCGATGGACTAGATAGGCAATCGAACCAGTCAAATTCCGAGACCCATTTCTCCCGCATGGATGACAGCCATTCGGAAGTGACGCCAAACCGGCCATCTGATTGCAGGTTCTCATAGGTGGGAGGGGCGATTTTGGATAGTCGGAGGAGGGTTTTCAGGTCATTCAGCTGCTCATCGGGGATGGAGACAGTGAAGGGAGTAGGAGAAATGCTGGCCGAGGAGGGAAGCTTGCCGAACGGAGCAGACATGATGAATTAATGCTAAAGAAAGTGAGGATACAGAGGAGATAGGAATCGAAAGAGAGGAGTAGTGAGAAATGAGGGGTTGCCCAGCAGAAGTATTCAAAGTGATTGATGCATGCTGGGCGGGGTCACGGCTGGTCCGAGGCTCACTTTCAATGCTAATGATTTCTCCTCCATTCAGCATCACGCAGATACGACAGTGTAAAGATTGGACAGAGCTACCGTGCTTATAAATCTTTCAGTAAGCCCTCTTGACAATTCATTTCGCATCTTCTGTCATTATTCACGTCAGCAGATACCAGCTCTTTTCCCAATGCGGATGGGTGCAGTTATTACCCGTCTAGAACATTAGTACTCCCACCATCTATATATTCGAGAAGATGTTTACTCCAGAACAAGCCGGAACTTAAAAAGCGCCTAGAAGTATCTGGGACCCAGATAATTCAAATGAGGCCAGGAAATAACTAACACTGAACACGCCCACCATCAGTCTGCGGAGCTGGTGAGGAATTGCGGCTGATTGGATTACCATCGGGGCTATCAGTAAGCTCAGCTCTAGTATGAAAGTTAAACTTGGGTTGCGCCTTTGTCACTGGCTTACCTCAATTAATTAGAGATAATCATCTGAGTTTATAGTTTCACATGCCTCCGGGACTTTATGCAACAAGCCTGGACAGTATAAAATTAACTATCAAGGCACCTCTGTACGCCTCCGCATGGCACCGAATATGGCAGCTGAGAAAATAAGGACAATAATAGAAACCCTTTATGAGAAAACAAAGACTACGTCTTTTCGGCCCCCTCTACATATAATCCTTCGTCCTCGCCTCACAAAACTCCCAAAACTCACACGCCCTCCCCGTCCCACCCTCCTCTTTCCTCTTCATCGCATCCAACAACGTCGGCGCCACAGCATCATGAAGTCTCCCCCAAGGAACAACATATGCACCATTATTTTCCAACCCCAGTTCCCCCGACAACCCCGCATACAGCACCGTATGAGCCGCCAAAGCCGGACTATGCAGCAGCGGCCAAGAGAGAAGCTTCATCCAGCGCGCATTCCTCAGAAGGTTCGTATTAGCTGCGCCTGGATTCTGCGCCACGCTGACGATACCCTTCTCGCCGTACCGCCGGGCCATTTCCGTAGACAGGAACCAGTTTCCAAGCTTGGAGGTGACATAGTTTCGCACAGCGTCCTTCGGTGGGTTGGTCAGCTCCGACATGATGATGCCTTCGGGTGGAGCGGAGAGTTCGGCGACCTGACTGCTTGTCCAGATGACGCGAACGGAGCCCGCAGTGGTAAGTTCAGACTCAGACGATGCCGCAGCTTCGAGCAAGGGAGTTAAGAGTTGGGTGAGGAGAAATGGGCCCAGACAGTTGGTTGCGAGTTGGAGCTCGATGCCTTGTTGGGAGACGCTGCCTAGTGGGGGTTGGGACACGCCGGCATTGTTGAAGAGGAGATCGAGCTTCAATTCTATGGCGCTGAAGGTAGATACGGTGGATTTGATAGTTGTAAGGTCGTCTAGATGAAGTTCGAGAAAATGTAGCTCGCCTGTGCTGGACTTGGCATTCTCCGGGACGGATTTCTGGATAGCCAGGATGGCTGCTTGAGCGGCGGACTCTGAACGTCCTGCTATGTAGACTTTGGCGCCTTTGCGGTAGAGGACCTTCGCTACTTCGAAGCCAATGCCTGATGCGCCGCCGGTGATGAGCACCACTTTGCCCGATTGCTGGGGGAGGTCATCGGGGGTGAAGGTTGGGCGGGGAGGGAAGAATTGAGAGAATTGGGCTCCCATTGTGGAGGCTGTTACTAGTACTAGGTGTGGTAGGCATTGAGAAGAGATGGTAATTCAGTCACATATTTATATGCTGATTGTTGTTGGGTGAGACCCCTGCAGGGTATCCTTAGTCTCGTTCATCGTTATACATGTTTAGACGAGCGGACCAACCGGCGCTACTATAGAACAGACCGGCTCGGTTGTTAGCGTTGACACCCAGCTAGCTCAGCCTGCTGGGAACTTCCCTTTGTTTGTCTTGTTCGCTAGGTCCCATGCTGACCACATTTTGTCGCACAGATAATGAGAAAGAGAAGATAGACAGGGTGACTGACACTCCTCTTTCCCTGAAAAATCATCCCTCAAAAAATGAGAATCGCTAGGTCCATTAATGCTGTGGCCTGCCACTGTGCTGGCGAAGTATGCGACGTGATTGTCGGAGATGTTTTGAACCCGTCAGGATGCAGCACCATGTATGAATAACTAGTTCACTTTCGCGACAAAGACCAGATCCGCCAGCTCCTCATGCAAGAGCCTCGGGGACGGCCGGTAATGTGTGTGAATTTCGTCTTGCCCCTTGCAATCCAAAGGCCGATTGCCGGGCTTTTGATCATGGTGACCGAGGAATACCCTGCCATGTCTGGAGGCAATGCCATTGCAACTACGACTGTCCTTCTGGAGACAGGCATGGTGGCCATGACTGAACCGATCACCAAGATAGTCCTGGAAACTCCAGCAGGTTTAGTGCCTATCACTGCGGACTGCGAGGGTGGGAAGTGCGAGGAGGTCGCGTTTAACACTGTCTCTTCCTTCGTTTTCGCCCTAGATTACAAGATCGATGTCCCTACACTGGGATTCGTCTCGGTGGATATTGCATGGGGAGGGATGATCAACGGCTTTGTCGATGCAACCTCACTCGGAATCAGTATCAACAACAAAAACGGGCCGAAGTTGATCGAATACGGAGAGGGAATCACAGATGCTCTCCAAAAAGCTCCGTTCGTGCCCGTCCATCCGGAGAACCCAGGCATCAGAGGCGTTAGTATCCTCCAGTTCACAGAACCACTTTATTGGGATACTATGATGGCTGTCAATACTGTTGTGGTTTCTCCCGGGCGGTTCGATCGGTGCCCGTGTGGCACAGGAAGCTGTGCAAGGATGGCAGTGCTCCATGCTCGTGGCCAGCTCGCAGTTGACGAAGAGATTCCAGCATCATAGCATCGTTGGGAGTACTTTTGACTGTTACATCCGCGGGACGCAGAAACCTGGAGACTATGACGCTATCTTGCCGACGGTCAAAGGAAGTGCTTGGATCAATTGTTTCAAGTAGATGGCGTTGGATCCTACTGATCCCTGGCCAGTGGGCTTCCGAGTTGGCGACCAATGGCATATAGCAGCGTCACAAATTATGTAGTATTAAAACGGAAAATGGAGCTGAGCATCGAAAACGAACAACATTGATGATGAGTTTATGTTCATAGACACCACTCTGACTAAGCATAGCGGGATGTGTTCCCGAAGCAGCATAAAACCCAAAACGGCAATGCAATTCAAATCCACTTGAATAGGATATAAAATATTGATATGGTATCATCCGTGACAACCATGGCTCAACACCCCTCCTCAGATACTACCATCTTCCTAGATCAGCCTCCAAGCTGTCTTCAATTCCACCCATCCTCCCCCAACCACTTCCTCGTAGGCACCTACCTGCTCTCAGAACACAAGGAAGATGACTCTGCACCAATCCAACAAACCAAAACTGGCAGTCTCCAACTATGGCACTTAGACCCTGCCACCAATCAACTGTACCCTCACCCCTAACACTAACCAAACATATAAAAAAGTGTCTGAAGCTGACAATGACGCAGAACCCTCCGCCACAAACACCCTCTCCCATATGCAGTCTTCGACCTGCATTTCCACCCCACTGACCCAACGCTAGCTGCCATTGCAACCAGCGCAGCTTCAGTGGTTTTCTTCCGTATTACTGTCCCAGAGGGAGAGGAAAATGACAGGACCCCTTTCATCAAAGAGATCCAATCTCACCAAGTCCATGAGGACCCCTCCATCCCAGCCCTCTATCTAGCCTGGTTACCGGCTGGATGGCATTCCACCACCACTTCCAATGCTGGAACTGAATATGGCTTCGCCGTAACCTTCTCTGACGGCCTGACCACCCTCTTCAACACCAAAGTCTCTCCATCTCCCAATTCCTTCTCTATAACAGAAGAATCATCCTACCCCGCAACCCAGCAAATAGAAGTCTGGTATGTAGCAGCAGCTACCTATCCCCAACCCCACTCCAATGGGGATAATATGCGCTACATCTTCACAGGCAGCGACTTCGGCTCGCTGCATACTCGCTATCTTCCAGCCCCCTCCAACACCAACAACTCCGACGAAGACAACGATGAAGCTAACATGCCCATTCTTTCCCACGACGACCGCGCCCGCCACCACACAGCAGGCGTGACGGCCATTCTGCCCCTCCCTGTGCCTATGACCGATGGGGCGCCGTGGCTTCTCACGGGGAGTTACGATGAGTCGTTGCGGGTGTACCATGCTTCCCGAAGGGGTGAGGTACTTGGGGAGATTGGGTTGGGGGGTGGGGTTTGGAGGTTGCAGATTCTTTCTACTCATTCTCGTCCCGTGGATGATTCGGAGGGGGATGTGGAGTGGACGTTCCTGGTGTTGGCGAGTTGTATGCATGCTGGTACGAGGGTGGTTAAGGTACGGGTTGTTCTTGGGGAGAGTGGGCAGGAGTGTGAAATGGAGGTGGTGGCGGAGTTTACGGAGCATGAGAGTATGAATTATGCGAGTGATGTGTGGAATTGGGGAGGGCATAAGGGAGGGGAAGGAAGGGAGTTGAAGGTTGTGTCGAGTAGTTTCTACGATCGGAGAGTTTGTGTGTGGCGGGTTAATGTTTGAGCATCAAAAGCATCTACTAATCTACACAAGTTTCGGAAATAAGGAGATAATAATGGTTTATGTTATGTTCGTAAAACGCTCGAGAGGTCATATGCAGAAGTGAACATCAACAACAGGTATACCAACGAAACACGCCCCGTCCCGAAACGAAACCCGAGAATGAAATGATTATAGATGAATCAAACGATCGTCTCCAGCTCGCGCGCATAGCCAATCGCATTCTCGATAATTGTACCGCTGGCCACGAGGATATCCTTCTCGGACCGAGCAGCCGCCTCGGGCTCGACGGGGAAATAGATGCGGCCATCACGGAGAACCCAGCCGCGCTGCTGGGCGAACTCGATCACGGCGCCCTCCGAATCGAGGAAGAGGAGGTTTTTGGCGTTGGAGATGGGGAGCGAGGGGTACGCCTTTTCGGAGCAGTCTGCGATTTCGCTGCGGATGGTTCCGACCAGGACCTGCATCATCATAACATTAGCTACCCGCCACCTCGAGACAGTACCAGGCAGGGTATACTCACATTCGAGAACAGCGCAAAGTCCTCCGACGGCACACGCTCTGAGTTCGTCTCCCGCCACACCTTATCGTAGCTTCCCTCCATCAGGTTCCTCTCCAGCTCAACGGGGTACTTGATGAACGGATCATCCTCAACGCTCTTGCCCTTCAGACTTGCCTCCTCGACCAGACCCTCCAACACCGTGTGGAAGCTCGTGCTGTCGCCCATGCTCAGGAGCAGCAGCAAATACAAGCCTGTGATCTTGCTGCGCTGGCTACTGCGGATGTCGACGTGGCCGGCATTCGTGCTGTCCCGCTCCAGGTCGTAGAACGGCTGCAGCTGCTGGTAGTATCTTGTGAAGGTGGGTGCGTCGGTCTGTCGGATGGAGGCGATGGCTCCGAGCTCAAGAACCTCACGGGCCTGGGCGACCAGCTCGGCGGGTGCTGACGGCGTGGGAATCAGGACATTCTGCAGGAGGAGGGCGCGCTTGCCGCGACTGAGGAGGTCGTTGACGGCTTCGAATTGTTGCCGGCCGAGGGCGCTGTGGAGCTCGGCCACGATGGCCTTGAGGTCGTTGGCCATTTTGGATTAGATGGAAATTATCGGCTGTCTAAAAGTATATGTATGAGGACTTAAGGACGGAGAAATAAGGAGGATAGTGTAGTTGAATTGGTGTGATGATTATGTGGTTTGGAGATGGAAGTGCTGGTCGTGACGTTGGCAGCCGCAGCTTCCAAGAGCTTCGGAGAAATCCGTCACGTGATGTCATCTTATGCAAAACTCCGGAATCGAGCTTATCTTGTTTACACCGGTCGATCTTTTCCTGTTCTAAACGCCCGCGGCCATTGGGTTCTTGCAAGTAATTATTCATTTTCATAATCCATTAGATATTGTCGCGTAAAAGGAACCCGCCATTCTGCAGCTTCTGAAAGACGCCCTCCGGGTCGTACTTGGCCGCCACCTCCTGCATCAGCTTGATATTCTCGGCTCCATAGCTGCCAAGGACCTTCTGAGAGCAAGTGTCAAAGGTCATGTACTTGAAGTCCAAGAGGGTACCTTTAGTCTTAGCTAGAGACTGCACTGTTTTGGATATGGTATCTACGGCCTTTTGCGCCGCGGCATCGTCACTACCGTCTTTGGGCCACTCATAGGCGAAACCTACCCTATTGATTGCGGGATATCCGTTAGTCCTGTGCCTGATCTTAGGAACAATGGGGAATTGAAGAAAGCTTGCAGCACTCTGGGACACTTTGAATGCTCATGATATTCCCTCCTTGATCTTTACCAGCCTGAATATCAGCCGTACCAATTGGATGAATAGTGTAATGCAGGGCAGCACCAGTCGGGAGGGTCTTGCAGACTTCGAGCCACGTCTTATACACTTGCTCATAAAGCTCCCTCCTGAAAAGCCTGGGTAGTAGCCGTGCAAATGGAACGCTTATGACCCCGCACCAGGTAAGTTTTGGAATGGACTAGTGATTGTCGCCTCCGTAGGATATGTACTCACTTCTGGGACGCTTGGGCAAATGACAGCAGCGTGCCGTTAGTGGATGGCAGCACCGTAGTCACCAGGCTTCTGAGGTTGTGAAACGGCTCAAAGGCCTTCGGTGGCTCGGCTGGGTGGTCCCGTAGAACATGACCACCGCGACAAATCCGTTGTTGAAGTTGGCAAACAGCGCAATCTTGGGATCCTCTTCCATGGCCTGGTGAACTGCCGCAGTGGTCTGGTTGGTGGCTACATGGTTCTCCGGATTACATACATTGATGTTTTATTGGATCTTGATCAGCAGGTGAGGTTCAAGGTCGAACAGTGTGACAATGCCTGTTTGGCATGTTAACAATTGATGGTATCCATGTGAGGAAAGGTGCTATACATACCGAAGTCGGAGCCGGAGCTCTCAAGGGCGCAATGAAGGTCGGAACTCCCCTTCGAGTTGGCGTTGATGAGGCTGCCATCGTCTATTAGGACCTGAGAAATAACTTGCTGTCAATTTCCTGTCCTTGAGAAAGGGAAAGACGGTAAGAAGCTTGCCTCAAAATTCTTCTTGCCATCACCACCAAGTCCATGGAGATTAGGCAAAGCCCCCATTCCCGCTTTGTGTAATAGTCAGCCAAGTATTGCCATCCCCTTCAGAAGCAAGCCTGTTCTGCTCCATCAGTCCCATTGAAGCACCCTGCAAAGCATGAAAGATGCAGCGTGCAGCCAGAAAGATACATACCTCCGAAAGAAATCCACCTAGTCTCCACCTGAGGCTCTCTACTCCCAGTAGCCGACAACCCCTGCTCCTCTAGCCAGGTATATATTTTGTTTCGGGTATTTCCTGACATAGGTTGTGCTATGTTCTGATCGGCCAATAGTTCCTTGGACTTGAGCTGTTAAATGTTTAGTACTATGGCAGTATCACTAGTACTACTGAACCGTATGTTTGAATTGTAGCCGGTGGTGCGGACGGCGAACTTAGTGCCTGTTCTTCGGATAATAGCTAAAGCCTTGGTCAGTTCCTGGACAGAGTTTAACTAGATGTACCCAGCTGCAGGGGTCCAGCAAGTGTGCGACCAGGGGGGGTAACGGCAGCTTGGTACCTGTCGGCAAATTCATTCTTGTTGTTGTTGTTGTTGTTCTTGTTGATGGGTGTTACTATACTGCCAGTGGTACCAGAAAAGAGAGACCGCAGCTGGTCCAAGGCAGCAACCGCCATGATGGAGGAAGAGAGTCTCACTGTTTTCCTGAGATTGTTGATGCTGATCATCACTATTGGGGCAGTTAGTTTCCGCAGGTTGTTTACCTCTCGCCATTGCTTAGAAAGCCAAGTCCCTCTAGCTGAGCAGCAGCCCCACGCAAAGTGCCAGCTGAGGCGAGGTGGGGAGGGTTTGCTTTACAAGTAGCGATGATAGATACGCCACACCCTAGCACTACTTTGTAGAAGCTAACTCGTCGTTGTAAGCAGAAAAGTCCAAGAAAGCGAGAGAAAGGGTACTCTATGGCCTACAGAACAGGTCGAACTTCTGCTGAAGCTGAACAGGAGCAGTTTCTTGCGGCTAGAAGATCATCATCGTGTCTATGTCCGACTCCTGAGGCAGGTCCAGCTTGATTCTAACGCCGCGTTTCCATCCGCCCACCACGATGCCATTCAGTCTGAAGCTGTAGCCATTGCTCATTCTTTTTGTCTGCTGGCTCTTCGGGGAAGGACAACGCTTTCATCCTGCGATGGCGTCGTCCCGCCTACAAAATCACTTCAGGGCAGCTGAATAGTCATCGACCTGGACCTCCACATATGTATCTGAGATACCAAGTTAACCACCATGCTTGAGTCGAGACTAGTACTAGTTGTGATGGTATTGAGCTGAGCGGTCAATCAATGCTAGTTCACTGATCATCCCGCTCTTTTATTTTTCAGCACCCACTTATGCATCCATATGACGGAGCTGAGAGGCTAGATAGTAGATCTCTCAGATTCTGGGATTGCGAGCTAAGCAATCTCTTTTCTTTTTGCTTGAGGGGCCAATGAGATGCACTGGGAGCCGCAGCCTCCATTTTCTGTGGCGCATGTCCCTCTTCAGCTAGCCTTCCTGTGAAATCTCGACATCAGGTCTGAAATCCGGCAGTTGTAACTGGGGTTTCCTGCTATTAAGTGTTGCGACTCAATCCTCCAAATAGAGGGTGACAGTGAAGAAAATAATAAAGAAATCCCAAGTCACATTCTCAACGTTACCTAATGGAGCCTATATCTGCCTTGAGCGTGGCATGCGCTGTTTTTCAGTTTGCCGACCTCGGCGCCAAAATTCTGACGAAAGGGCGTGAGCTCTACCAGTCTCACTCAGGGGCTTTAGACAGGCACGCTGAGCTCGAGAAATGCGCTGAGCAGTTGAGCGCCTTGGTCAATGAATATTCCAAGGGGGCAAATGCGCTTCCTGAAGCCCTGGGGAAAGGTATGGAGGATATCATCGATGAGTGCAATTTGACTGCTGGGTTATTGTCAAGTCTATTGAATGGCTTGAAAATTCCAGAGAAGTCTAAGGGTATTTTGAGGGTATTCAGAGCCGGGCGACAGGCGGTCCGAACGGCGGTCAGACAATCGCAAATCGATGAACTTAATGACAAGATGATGGATCTACGGGAGAAGTTACAAGCCTATATGTTGGCAGTACTACAGTAAGATTTACCCCTCCTACGAGCTTATATGTTGTATCTAGGCTGATGGGCCTTGTAAGAAATCAATCATCTGCGACACAAGAGACGCTCAAGAAGCTTTCTTCAGATAGCGCGCAAAGGGAAAACAATATTGCATCCCAGCTGAACGACATGAGAAGGGAGATGCTCAGTATTCTCCAAAAGCCAGATAGCTCGCTCTTTCTTGCCTCAGATCTTGAGAAGCTTGTCCCAGTCCTTTCCAACCTAGTGGACGAAAGCCGAGCAGTGACTTGCAAAACTGAGATCCTGTCGAGCCTTTACTTCCCGGAGATGAAGGAAAGATATGATCAAATCAGAGACTCAGAATACTCCTTTGAGTGGATTCTTGGGTCAGGCAGATGCAACGATACATCGGTACCCAGGGTGTACTTTGTGGATTGGTTACATAGCCAGAAGGCAAACGATAACACATACTGGATAAGTGGGAAACCAGGCTCTGGGAAATCGACTCTAATGAAGTTCTTATACAATCACGATCAGACACGAGCAATTCTCAAAGAGTGGGCTGGCCAGCAAAAGCTTGTCATCAGTGGGTTTTACTTCTGGATATCTGGCGGATCACGGCTACTGAAGTCCCAGCTAGGCCTTCTCCGATCACTCGTTTTCGAAGTGTTCTGGCATATGCCTGAGGTTATCGAGTACGCGTGTCCGGAAAGATACGCTAAGGGTCTCAAGCCGATGCAATATGGCTCGCTAGCATGGACACTCAATGAGCTACTAGAAGCTCTAAAAAGAGCCACAACAAATGCTCAGAGTAACACCCGCTTCTGCTTCTTCATTGATGGACTGGATGAGTGTGACGGTTATCCTCAGGCCATGGTTGACCTAATCCGAGACCGCTTTCCAAAGTCGCCGGACATAAAATTCTGCCTTGCCAGTCGAAAGTGGAATGCTTTCATCGACGAGTATGGTGACGTACTAGGAGAAAGGGAGATCCCCAGACATCTCTATCTAGAAGATTTGACACAAACAGATATCCGAAGATACGTTCAACGGCGACTCCAAGCCCAGCGGCGCTTCCAGCAATGGCATAGGGAGGACCCTGTTTCGAGCAAAAGGCTCATTGAAGACGTCGTTAAAAAGGCGGAAGGAGTGTTTCTTTGGGTCACTCTTGTGGTCGAGTCTCTTATAAGAGGAGTCCAGAACAAAGATCATCTGGCCACACTGCAAGACAGACTGGATAAAATCCCCAGTGAACTGCCGGATTACTTCGCCCACATGCTGCGTAACGTTGAGGACATATATAAGGTGGACGCAGCTAAGATATATCAAATCATGCTAAACACGACAGAGCAACCATATCTTCTCCTATTTTCGTACCTGTGGGAGCGTGATCCACAATTCGGGACTGTCATGGAAACCAAGCCATTCTCATTACGCGACATAAACGGGATGAATGATGATTTACGTGTTCGACTTAATGCACGCTGTACCGACTTGCTTGACATTGTCAAAGACTCCAGAGTCCACATCATGTGGGAATCCAAAGTGGCTTTCTTGCATCGGACAGTGCGTGATTACATGAGAAGTGCGGAAGCACAGGAAATTCTGGGAAAGTGGCTCAGCCAATCCAAGGCTCATACAAGCTTCAACCCAGATGCGTATATCTGCCAATCGGCTGTAGCGCATATCAAACGCGCCCCACGGAAACCGCAGTATCTCTCTGAACAGGGACGTGTCAGTCAGCTCGTGAATCAGTTCGCTTACGTCGCCAGAAGAATTCAAAAATCATTGGGAGACCCTCAGATCGAACTTATGAACTCATTAGAAACAACACTAAACGACTATCGTCAGTCACAGCGTCTCCATGCAACTACTTACCACACATCCTTCTGGTATAGCAAAGCGAGCTTCCTTCAATGGGCGGAGAAAGAACAATTAGACCTATATGTCTCGTATAGACTTAGCAAGGATCCGGCCGGAGAAGAGGATCTAAATGAACCAAGATTACTAAGACGAAGGCAGACCTTTGACGAGCCTGAACCAAAGAACAACCGAACAAAGTCTCAGCGGAGAATGTAATGTCGAATGAATGACAAGGGGGTTTAGGAAGCCAGATGGAAGGAAAACCTGTTGTGGAATGTATTGGTTGGCTTTAAGAGAGCAGTACAGTGTACCAAGTACATAGAATAATGAATCGTTGGATCGTATCTGGAGGAAAACCGGAGTTCGGTGGTATAGAAAGCAAGCCAGCAGAGAACGGCTCCAAGGCCTTAGCCTACTGTGAGAGCCTGGAACATGATATTCCACACTCGAGTTTCACTCGAACAATATTGGAGTCAATCTCATCGCCGGCTTATGCCATTGAATCCACGAGTATTCTACGAATGGCATGGCGCCTATGCTTTGGCTATGCTAACCCCTGCATGGAGTTTCTACAGCCATATCTGATATAGCACAAGACATCAATTAAATTCCCAAATAATCACACATTACAGAAACACATAAACAGTTCTATACATATTGCCCTCCAACATCCAAACTACCTCATCTCACTTTCAACACCATCCTCAGCATCAAGCCAAGATCCCCTTCTCATTCTCCTTCAAAAACGCATCCACGGAAGTAAGTCCCTCCGCCAAAGGCCCCAACTCCTCGCGACAGTTACTCACACCATCCCCACCGGGCACCTCATCAGCCCATCTTGACGAAGCAGCACCAAGATGCCCCTCCTTGATCATCCCATCCACGACCTCATCGTCCAAAAACTCCACCTTCACCTCTTCACCCACCACCTTCCCAATCTTCCCCGCCAACTGCTCCACCGTGACCACCTCCACCGCCACATCAACCGCCTTGCTCGAAAACCTCTCGGGTTCCTTAACCGCAGCCGCAACCACAATCCCCACATCCCGGGCATCCACTAACGGCAGCTCCGTCCCGGCCCGATACGCCACGCGCAAGACCCGCTCTTCCTTGAAGCCAGGGAACATGAAGTCCCGCACCGGCGGCAGGAGATTCTGAAGGAAGTGGCCCGGTCGGATAATCGTCCAGCGGCCCCCATTCTTCGCTGCCGCAGCCTCACGAACACGGTTCTCCAGCGCATGCTTTTGGAGCCAGTACTCCTTCATTGGGTGCGCACCGCCCTCCCACCCGGGGAATGACTCATGCTGGCCTGTCTTAAGCGCCGTAGAGAGAATAATATGCGAGATCGTGGACGATTCCTGCGCAGCGAGGATCACGTTCTCCATGCGCTTGAGATCGAGCTCACGGTTGCCGGTTTGCACTTCGGTGAAGAACACGGCGTCCACGTTTTGTGTCGCGCTGCGGAGGGATTCCAGGTCGTCGAGGTCTCCTGTGATAAGTGTCGCACCTTGTTCTGCGAGTTGGACTGCAGCGCTGCTGGCTGGGTTGCGCACGTAGGCGGAGACAGAGTGACCTGCCGATAGGCAGTGCTGGACGACGCCGCGGCCTTGGTTGCCGGTGGCGCTGAGGACGAGGATGCTTTTGGGAGACATTGTTTGTGTTTGGTTTGTGGAAGTGTTAAGCTGAGGTGTGAATTGTGATTGATAGGAGTGTGGTTGGCATTGAGGTGGGTGCAGAGGGTGTTTTATAGTTGTTGTGCTGCCTAAGCTGTTGCTTAGTGCTTACTCCGTGTATAGTAATCCTTTCGATCTTACGGACGGGTGAGGATGTCTCACCCGTAGTAAGTTGTTGTACTGCGAGGCTGTATGGGTCTCGGTCGGTAAGCTTATTTGTTTCAAGCTTGATCAGCTTATCTAGTATTTTCTAGATTACTACTGCGGTAGAATTAACGGGTAAAGTTGGTAGTTAGCTGGTGTGCTCGAGCACCCTGACGTGAGTACCACAACCATTAGCAAATTCTGGAGATCGACCTTCTGTCTCCAGCTTTGTACTCTAATTTCTGCATATTGTCCAGCTTCTGTTTTACGAAATCTAATCGCACTTGAGAAGAATTAATGGCGTTGACATTTAGGGGACAAAAACATCAACGACACAAAATAGGCCATCCCGCCGCAGTACTAAGCAGACTGCGCCAACTGCTCCAGAGTCTGATACAGAGGTGTCCCCAGCCCAGTAACCGGATCCCATCCCTTGGTGGCATTCCAACTGGCATACGGGACAAGAGCTCCTCCATTTGACCCGTCACAACCCACTGATCCGCCGTCTACAATATCCGTAAATCCTTGCTGGTCGAGTGAGTACAGCCAAGGATTCAGAAACCCTAGTGTAGGTTTACCCTGCTCGAGACGTGCAGCGTTCAGTCGAGAGATGACTGCTGCAAAGACAGGGGCGGCAGCACTGTAATATTATCAGCTCGTTTGATTTTCAATTGTTGACTTGGTAGGGCCACTAACCTTGTTCCCGCAGTTTGTAGCCATTGCCCATGGTCCCTGATTACATAGTTGCTAGCCTGGGCCGACACATCAGGAATACCCCGTCCGTCTGGATTATACAATCCATCCCATTTATCTCCTAAGCGGGCAAGGTATGCTTCCACACTCGCATTCTGGTACGACGGGCGAGCAAAGCGCTCGGAGAACCCTCCACTCGAAAAGTCCACAGCCTTTTCCGGCCCGACGCCCTCAGTCCCACCCACGGATGTAACAAACGGGCACGACGCCGGGAAGATAGGCTGAAAGCGGGTCCTCTGGCTTCCGTCGTTAGATACACACGATCCTCCGACGCCCGAGTCTCCGCTGCTGAAGATCACCGAGACCCCGCGTGCACCTAATTGGGCAAATAAATTGCACGTGGCTTCTGTGTATTCCTCCGGCAGACTTTGCTCATCCTCGCCGTAAGACGTGCTAAGCACTGCAGGAAGATCCTCGTCCGGAAGACCCACCAGATACTGGAGCTGTTCGAGATACGGCTCGTTGGTCGAGCCGTCGGTGCTCACCGTACCCGAGTCTGAGACGGATGGCGCACGTCCGGCGGTAGTGTAGAAAGTCGCGTTAGCGTCAAATGCCATGGAGAGGGCGTATTGGATGTCGAGACTGGCCTCTGTGCTTCCCTCTTGTGAGTTTTGTGGGTTTTGGCCTCCGTTGATCGATACTACGGAGAAGTCGGCGTCTACGCTGTTTGGAGAGTATACGGCTAGAAACTCGTCGAGGTCACTGTAGCGCGCGTACTGGTCCAGATAGCCGGAAATTCCGAGGACGTTTCTCGAGTCGGGGCTTGCCTTGGTGCTAGGTAAACCATAGAGCTGGCGAAGGCAAATGGGCGTCACGCCTGTCAAGCAGTCTTCGCTTATTTCATCAATGTTAACCGACACTGGCATGAGGCTCGGTAGGCTGGTTTGTGTCTTAGGTCGGCCGAAGCGAGTCGTTGGCTGGATCATTTGCAGATGAGCATCGACTTGCTCGGGAACGGAGTACTTGAGGGTCCTAATTTGGGTTGTGTTTGTTTCCAGGTGGTGGAAGTTGTAAAAATCGGTCTTCATCATTGATTGTGCTTGGGCCAACGGGACTGTGAAGGCGACCCAATCCCCGCGATCTTCGATGGCATTTGGTGGAACATGCTCCGACTCAAGCCAAGAGAAGATGATCTTTGAGACCTGATCGGATGGGCGCATAAAGGCCATGACATCGTTGCGTTTCATATGCCGTCCATAATCCCGGTGACCGGGTGTCGAGATATCGATGACTTTCTGCTCGAAGTCCGCCTTGTACTCGTGATGCATCGACAACCAGAACTTCATCGGAGTAAATGGCGGGGGAGCTGCGCCTTTTGTCCATCCGTCGGGGATGCTGTTCAGTTGGTCTACCACGACATAATCAGGAGCTGTGGCTACAGCGGTGTGTAAGAGGGACAGAAGTCCCAGGATATAGTTGACATATATCATCGTCGCTCGAATGTCGCATTAGTTTCGAGTTCTGGTACCTGCGCAGTTCCAAACAGAGGTGTCTTAGACCTTTGCTCGCCTGCGGATCAAATCGCCGCAGAAACCGTCCTCTGCGCTCCTAAAAAGTGTCGCGCCGCGGTCAACTGTATCTATGTCTCTCGATGCAAACCAAAGAGACCGACGTTTGTTGTCGAAAAAGGCTCTCTTCTCGCCCGCGATACTTTTTCAAAATGTCGGTTATGCCAATAATGCGGGGCCCTGTTGATAGTTTCATCAATCCGGTTGGAGAGACGCGGTAAAGTTATCGTGCAATCCAGAGGACATGAAGAATGTGACAGCGTGTTTACCAACACACAGAGCATGTAACTCTGCAGATCCACGGACACTAGACGCCAAGGTTGTTGAGAAGCGGTTCATGAATTGCCCGCCTATGACCATGAATTAGCATTCTACGATATGCGTATTGAGTGTCCTTTAAGCGGAACCAAAGTATGATAGTGGTCCGAAGCTTCTATGTCCTTGGCGGCTGCGAGACTCGCTTAGAAGGGCGGTCCGGTCGGGATCGAGTCTATTCAGAGCTCAATACGCGGTTATTCATTGACTCCCTCATCTAGCAAGGGGCGTCTGGAATGCGCCAGTCAAGGCATGCGGGAGGCTGCAGTTAGCTTTCCATGGAGGATAATTCTATGGTTCTCTGTCTAGAGTCATGGGGTAGATGAATGAAAAATTATAGGTATTGCAATTGATGGAAACCTTCAGTGTGAATACTCTGCGCTTGCTGGGAGTACGTCATAACATTTAATCACGTATTAATGAGCTCGCAGTGCTTGCTTGGTCCAAAGGACAAAGAATTGGGGACTGACACCTTTCAACAAGCAGTTGCTCATAGCAGTTGCTCTGGTCCGCCGCCTCCTTGTGATAAAGCCGTTGCTCGGACTAGTCCTGTTGCATTCCCATCATGCTGCCTAATTGACTCTGACAATTTGTTTATTAGAATAGGACTGCTGTGTTATGCGGACAAACATCCAGCATTATGGTTCCCAGTCATCGAACTAGTACTTTCACGAGGCTTATGCTGAAGCTGTTCGATGGTATCTTACTGGCGCTCTTTAATTAGGTTCTCTAACGTGGGGAAGAAAAGGGAATTCTTTCAGTATACTAAATTAAATAAGTAATAGGACAAAAATAAGAATACCACTTAATTTATGTTATATGTATTTCTGACCAGTTTGACTGCAGATGGTTAGTTTACCCCCGGCCAGGACACTCATAACCGATGTTGTAAAGAGTGTTGATCCTGAAAAGCTCACCATGGCATATGGAGCTTAGTTTAGCTCGTGGGAGGATCAGCACGAAGATAAGTATCTACCAGGCACAAGGATTAAGCTCCGTCACTAAATTGCAAAATGGGCTGTATCAGAAGGCGGAAGATGTATATTTTAGTTTCGCGTTGACCTGCCTTCCACATCGAAGAGCACCAGTAACGGACTCTCAGATAGCAACTTCTTCAGCCTCGTTCTGAGGCTCCAAATAATCCATGCTATCATGTCGGTGATCTGACCTATGATGTATCATCTTGAGAGTGATCGGAATATTGTCCGGAAGATCCCCGGGAAACCAGCATCTGGATAGTTTTAGCCTTGGACCAGCAGGGAAGGTCACGAACCGTTGTCGGAAACTTAACCAGGGGAAGAAGGCAAACTATTAGTTCGTCCCAACACTCGAACTCGTGTGAATGTGAATGCCGTCGTCCTTTTTGGATGCTGGCACCGAAGGGGGTCATGTGCTAAGCTAGCAATTTCTGTACTTCGAGTGACTAACTAATACAGCAATTGTTTGATTCATCGCCGAAAGAGGTTGGCCCATCCAGGCTGGTTAGGTCCGGGGATAAAGGGCAAGATATAGATACACCGTGGTAATTTTCATTGCCCACCATGTGCTAGTTTTCTACTGTTCGACCAGGCCCTCAAACAGCCGGACTCAAAGTCATGTTGGAGACGAAGGATGTCGCCGTGCAGAAAGGAAACGCATCTCCGCGGCAGGAAAGGTGCAAAGGAATGAGAAGAGCTAAATGGAACGAAGTTGAAGGCAAAAGAATCTACTAAAAGAAGAGACGTTGGTGTGGTACTTCAGGCAAAAGCCCCACCCAAACTCGGGATATGAACTATCAACTGGAAGAGACGGTTGGCTGGCATAGTTCTGGACAGGGGGCGCTTGGAGCTGATTATACATATTATGTATTTCATATCTACTGTTCTACATACCATAATTTTGACCTTCTTGCATCAAGCAGCCAGTCGTACTCGGTTCCAGGTTGGGAACCTGACCCTGCTTTTTCTTTGTTATTGTTGTGAATAGAGGCTTGATCATGTAGACAGTAGAGCTTCGTTTATGGAATTTATTCCATATACAATCAGGCTGATTGATAGTCAACTTTTATATAAGCCCTCATTTCTTCAGATGTGAACCATAATAATCATCGTTCCTCTGAATCACAACACTTCATGATGCGGATTCGTGCCAGCCTGCTGAAGTTCTTCCAAGTCGTACGTAAACTTTAATGAATCAGCCAGCAGGAGCCCACTCATCACACGTTCTCGCATGTCCGGCTCCATCCTGAAGAACCCATGCGGCCATAGCATTTGTGGTTGGAGTTCCCGCCACGAACCAGAAAGAGACAATTTATTTGGAACAATGATGTGCCGGTGGTTTGCTCCGATCATTTGGAAGCTAACTATTCGCCCTTCGTTCCTGCTTCTACCTTGTCCCTTCTCAGCACATCATCCATCGCTTCCTCGAGTGCTTCGGTAATCCTCCCAACTTCTCCGATAGAACCCTAACTTCGACACTATTCGCGGTCAGAGCACGCGTACAGTCCCGGACGTACGTCAAGAGATACCTAGGTATCGCGGTGACTGAGCCCTATGACAGGGATCGGGGACAGATAGATTCAAGGCAACTCGCCACTGTAAAGATTGGATTCTTAAGCTGAAAACACCGTTCAATCTGGCTATCACTCTCGATTAAGAAAGTGTCTCTTGCTCACGTATGCCCACCACTTCTGTGGCAAATCTCTCACAGAGAGGAGAATCTTCTATCGGAGAAAAAGTAATTTTCACTAACTGGAAGGTAGATGCATTATCTTCCTGGTAACAGAAGAATACTCGGGCTTTATATGCGTGCCGTAACCGAACGAGGCCCGCAGGACCACCAAGACTCCATTTTAGAGAAGGCTGTCGCCAAACGAGGACTGCAGGCTAGGAATGGGCCATATGCATTATTACTCTCTCACATAGGCCAGATCTGCGACTATTTCTCAAATCGTACAGAAATGCACGTGAATACCTTAACAGCAGCCGGAAGCTCAATAAGTAATAGAGATCTAACGTGTATCTGCAGAAGATTCGGGTTCAGGGAACATCAATTGTTCGAGTGTGACGGTAGATTCGAAAGCCAATAGCCTACCCCAAGTATCAAGACGATTAGGACTTTGAAAATGATACCAGGTTCGCCAAGTAGAGATGGTCATAGAGTAGCGAGATACAAGGGGGTGCAGAACAAAGCTTAAACGTACTCGTCGTTATCGAACGATCCGCCAGCTGACACTGGGGCAAAGGGACTCAACAGTGTCACGAAGGCGTCAAACATCTCCAAATCGTCCTGACGTGCATCATCTGGCAGCTCTGGGATAGAACCAATCGTAGAATCACGCGATGACTGAGGCATATAGTCCCTGGGAGCTGTCGCGGGGGCAAACGTCCGGTAGTATATCCAGTTCTTTGCCTTGGTGAACATTCTTGAGAGTATTTCGGCGCCAAAGTACACAGATTTGAGTTCTTCAATGACCATCATGCAAAACTCAAGGTTGTGGCGTCCCATACGTTGCACCATCTGCTTTTCAGACGTGGCGTCAAGCAGATGGATTTGCAATGCGGGAACCAAGGCAATGCAGCTGAAAATATTTAGCACCCTGTCTCTTAAATGCCATAATCATCCTTTGATAATGTACGTACACCATCGCTTGAGTGTTGCTGATCATGTCAGCACCGATCATGTTGCCAAGGATCCTGTTGGTGTTCGTTGCAGCATCTTTGGTCCTCCGCAGTACAGTTGATGTCCACTCGTCCGTAGAGAGATCAAGCGGCTTATCAAAAAGGAACGGCCGGTATAGGGTAAGCAGAACGGAACTATAGCTTCAGCGTCAGCCTGCCGAGGAACAAAATCATGGTTTCGCTTACTCTAGATACAGCTCTAGATGGTACATGTGTAAGGAGACGACGTGATTGTGTCCGTGAGCTATAGCGTGATCCTTGCGAAAAGAATACTGTCGGATGGTATCGTCCATGTGCTGTATTTCAGTCTTACCCGGTCGTGTCCGCTCCGCTCGATTTTGCCATGAAAGAATCTTCGCTAAGGATATCGTAAGTGTTAAGAGCTCCGTCCATAATTTGGACAAGTCCTTAGTGCCTTCTGGGAGGTACTTCTTCCGAATACACTCCGGAATCCCAGCGAGCAGATTATCGGAATCGTTGGCATCTGGCATTCGGGTACTGCAGTCAGCTAGATTGATTCGCATAGGCCTGCCCATGCCGGCAGAGAACCACGCTTCACGGTAAAAGCAGCTCCACCACAACTGCCTCCAGATGCTGCTGTCACTTGTCGGGATCGCTTTACTGTGTTTTCGACCTGTATCGGGATGCCGATGTAGCCCTATCGTTTGGCATAGACTGATAGCGATGCCGTTCCAATGCCAAGGGCCGGTTCTGTCTTCGGTGTCCGAATACCAGAAGCCTGTCAGAAGTACTGCCTGGATTAGAGTAATCTTCCTTCTCTCATACTCCGCATCATAAAGAGCCTATGTGACTTTGGTTAGCTAGTACTGTCTCTCCAAATCTTGCATTATCGAGCTACGACCTTAGCCCGGATATACATTGCACGCTTCATGTCTTTTCGAGACAAGAAATTGGCTGCTCTTAGGGTGTTGTCATCTGCGAACTATTTCTCATGTTAGGGTGCCAACGAGGGAAGTAATGGAGTGAGTGCTACCCATACATTTGCAGCAGCTAGGAACATGCTCCACAACAGGTGTACGCTTACTTCGCTGCGTTCATTTTCGAACGTATCAAGAAACGAATGGGCGTCAACAACGGGAAAAAAGGGATGCACATAGTAGAAGTATGTCCGGATCATCATTTCGCAGACAGCAGGAGTGGGGAAATCGAACACGCCCTTACGGCGCAAGTATTCAATCGTATCCTGGTCTATATGAGTGGGCCTGATTTGTGGGATAAGGAAGTGGCCACTCTTCTCCCCTGGCTCTGGCTCGCAGATGTCGACCACCAGACCAACGCCACGAGGGTCCCCTAAGTGCCCGAATCAGCATCATGGTAGACCAATCACTGGCGCCAGTATCTCTAGAGGACCAGCTGAATGTTTGATTCTCACCATATAACGGGGAACAGCGTTTATCCGTCGCATCTCCGTCTAGTTGCGACGCGCCCGTGTCACCTTCATAATGATGGCTGAAATGCTCGTTGAATGGACGATAAGGGGTTTCGATGCCATCACCAGTATCCCCTACCGCTGGAGATGTGGGACTCGGCCCGCTTGGACCAGATAGATCCTTCAACGCAACGAGGCGCTCGGGGCCGGGTGGAAAGCTGTCATCCCCCAGCGGAGTACTCTGTGTCGCGGGATCGCTATTCGACGGCGAAGACACCGTACTAAGATGGTAAGGTAGGCCACGTCTGCTACGGCAGCTCGTTAGCGGGTTTGCCGAGGAGTTTTTCGCACTGAGATTGCTATATCGCTTACTTTGATCTCCTGCTTTCCCGCGGCACACAGGAAAGATCATCTAACGAGCAGTTGGTACAAGGACTCCCCGTTTGTGGGAGACTGCACCTTACTTTACGGGCGTGGCATGACTGGCAAGCCACGGGCGCTCGTTTTCTGGACCGTCGCGTTCTGCCAGGACTCCGCGGGCTCTCCTTTGCAGTATTGGGCATCATGGAAATCGCAGTCTTGGACGTTGCGAATGAAGTAGCACCAATGCGGGAATGTTGCCGCGGATAAGGACACGGGGGTTCGGGAAGGTAAGTACTAAACTAGGTGGGCCTCGGCAACACGAAGCAGCCAGTAGATAGTTGGTGATTGTTCAATACCATCATACCGAGTTAATTGCCTCGGCTCCCCGCAGTTCCAGCTCGTGGTGCAGGTGTATGTCGTAGTAGCACGGTGACAAGACCAAACTCTGCATAGTACGTCGCGCTGGGGACCGGTTAACGCTACAGGCGACCAAGTTTCCCCCAAATACATGCACCAAGTTTCTGGAGGCAAATTATTGAGCTGTTGTCGCTACTACGGAAACGGAGGTTGCACATTGGGCCTCCGTCGGTGCTAGGGCCGCGAATGACACTCTCAAAGGCCAGAAACAAGAGAACGGTTTGAGCAGCCATGGACAAAGAGGCGAAGAAGGAAAAGACAGGGAGCAGAGCTTGGAACCGTATATTAGGCGAAGCGCAACGAAGTGCTGATGTATATTGTTGTGAATCGAGGCTCGACCAAGTACACAATAGAGCTTCGTACACGGAATTTATCTCGAATACAAACAGATTGTTTTCAAATCAATCTCATATCCATTTTGTATATTAAGCCCTCAGGTTTTCAGATGTGAATAAGCACAATAAATAATCGTCCTCTGAATCACAACGCATATGATGAAAGTAGTGTGCAGCGTAGAGCACAGTATGTACTCAGCAGAGTCAGAGCCGAGAAGCCTTGCTCTTGGACAGAGCCTCTCCCATCTTTGCCTGCGGGATACCCTGGCAGAAACGGTCGAGGCCACCAAACATCTCTAGAGGCGCTTGTTCGTCCTGCTCCCTAATCAAGCGACGACGCATCAAAGCCTTCGTCTCCAGGAGACTCGACTTCACCAAATGTTCGCCGAACGTCTGCTGCAGGTACCCCATCACTTGCTCACGGAAGTTGCCTTTGCTTTCGAAGACCTTGTTCACAAAACCGACCTGAGCCAACTCACTGACGGGAATTTTTCTGCCAAGAAGGAGTGCCTCGTTTGCTTTCCCTTGACCCATCCGCTGCACAAAGGCGACACTGGAGCCGCCTTCGGCAACAAGTCCGAGTGAGGTGAAAGGAGTCATCAGCCAAGCATCGGATACCGCGTAAATGAAATCCGAGTGCGATATCAACGCGGCAGAAAGCCCTATGACCGGTCCATTCAGCGCCGTGACTAGAACCTTCGAATGAGTGTAGAACGCTCTCGCCACGTCGATGTTGTTATTCACCAATTTCGGAAGCCAGTGAGGGCGAGACAACATCTCCTCCATAGATGGTGGCTTCCCCTTGAGGTCAGCCCCTCTAGAAGTCGACATCAACATCTCTTCACCAATTCCACCTTTCTTTGCGCAAACGGTGGAGAGGACTTACGCGGAGAAAAAGGCGCCCTCGCCAATCAAGACAGTCACATAAACGTCCGAATTATCTTCAGCCTCTCGGAGCAAGCTTGCAAGGCGATAATACAGACTCTGAGTCAAGGCGTTGAACTTTTGGGGGTTATTCAACGTGATGACGGCAAAGATGCCGTTGATATCGAGACGAACGAGATCCTCTTCAGCCATGTTTCGATAGAATCATTGAGTTGGGTCACTGATAATGAGAAGTTGGTAACAATGTCCTTTGTTCAATTTGGAATCTAGGACTCTCATTGACCCTTTTAAGTCTTCCCTTCCGCATATAGTATGGCTTGACACCCGCGGCTATGGGGTGGGTACCTTCAGTGCCGCGGAAAAGAATCGCAGAACAAGGTATAGTCGCTTGTCCGCAAGCCTCGGTATGGCGTATATAACCGATGTCCTTCTGCACATCTACGGTTATAGCAGCCTACATACAACTGTTTTGGCGCATGTACACCAGCTATAACGTCTGCCTTTCGACATGGGGATCTGGATTTGGTGCCTCGGCCTGGTACTAGGGCTGAGTCTCAAGAACCTACCTTTCATGTGGCATGTAAGCTCCGAATGGAAGCTCCTTTCTCCTCCACCGAGTCAACACTAACCTTCTAGTTTCGATTCTTTGGTGCCCTCGCAATGGGCTACTTTACCCGCAGAAGGTCAAGCCATGCGCTCCAACAACACCATGCCTTTCTCCCGGCAGTGGTCAGATCACGGTCACCAGCAACGGAAGGGGATTTCAACTTTCATAAATCCAATTCTACCTACATCACTGATCTCGATGTATCGAGAGCGTATCTCAGTGGGTTGCTCTTTGCGCCGATCTTCTTACAAATTAAATCTTCGACGCCTTGCAACCTGATCGTCAGCGCGGTTTCGTGCACGTTTCATCGAGAGATCAGGCTGTTCCAACAGTATGAAATTTGGACCAGGGTTGCGAGCTGGGATGATAAGTGGATTTATATGGTCACACATTTTGTTGATAATAGCAAGTTTTGGCCCAGATGCTGTGTCATGCAGGCCAATGCTTCGATCAACAGCAAGATGAGATTTCCGGTATCTCATGACAAAGAACGACAAAAAAGTGTGTTTGCATCTGCTGTGACCCGGATGGTGTTTAAAAGAGGCCGCTTGACTGTACCTCCGAAGCGTGCTTTGGAAATCTGCGGTCTCCTACCGGCTCCGACAAGCGAAACTCCGACGGTAGCATCCCGTCCAGATCCCGGGGCTGGGGTAACAGAGTCAGCTACCGGGTTCAATGAATGGACAGTAGAAGAGATGGCATTGTATAAAGACGCGAATCTCCCAATCGTGCGGCTCGAGAGGGGTTGGGATGCTGTCCGTGGGCTGTTCCGCGAAGAGGAGTTGGCGTTGGCAGAGCACAGGGAATTCATGTGGTGAACGTCGGATCTTCAACTCACGAAGGTCCGGTATTTAGGCATTTGATACACATCGGGCAGGTTTAGATGATCTGTCTAGAATGTGTGTTGTGACGAGCGATGTCATCGTACCCCTCGTATCGTCTTAAACGGCCGAGGATGAGGCAACAATCCGAGATACCAAAGAACCGCCCAGGGTTCGCGAAGCTCGCGGCAGTCAAACGAGAAAAGTTCTATGCTGAAGGACGAGTCTCGCAACCAATTAGATACCGGACCTGTGTTGCCAGATGAAGCTAGAGCAGGATTCGGGGAGTTAAAAGGATGCTTTTACAGGAGCACGCTTCTTAGGCATTTCAATTCAAACTTGATTAAATTAGAAACAGATGCGCCGGGATTCGCAATGAGCGCGGTAATATCCCAACTGCAGAGGGGTAACCGGTATTGGCGTTCTATCGCATTCTTTGCTAGAAAGATGACCTACCCAGAAAGGAACTAACTCTACCCATGATCAGGACACCTGACTATTGTTAGAAATTTTTAAAAGTGGCCAGTGTAGAAGAGAGCAGTGCCCCTGTAGTAGTGTGGACTGAAGACGCCAATTTTAATGCTTTTATGGTTAGGTCTTTCTCTAGCCATCTGGCTATCCTCCGCTCGTCGCATGTCTTTATGTAAATCCGTGACACGTCCCTTGGTAATGCGCGGGGTGGAACTGTAGACTTTTGTTGACTACACGGTTCAGCGGAGAGACGGGCTCGATGTAACTGTTGCCGATTCTTTGCGGAGAGATAGCCCGCTAGCTAGCATGGTGGGTGGGAGTGATAAGATCAAGCGTCAACTACCATGTTTTGATACTGTTACTCCAGATCTCGGCTCAGGGTGACTCATCCCGGTATCCTTCCAGATCTATATCATGGTCTTACTCGTGCGCGCCAATACCCGTGGGAGTAATATAATTCTTTAACTGCTTGGAAAGACAGCCCGCTTATTCTACTAAAAAGAATCAGAGTGATATCTAGGGTCATTTATAATCTTTCTGTAATACTGTTTTCTTTTAATAATGAAAGGAGTGCTCTCGGTCTTATCGAATTTTTATTATTAGGATTCTTATATGGGATAATAATATCGTGACAAACCGGATATTGTAGGAAATATCCTCTGTTCGCGAGGATGTCGAGGCTCTCCTTAAAATATATTAATAAAAGAGATTTTGGTAGCCCGAAAAGAGCTAGAACCACTTTCTTAGACCGGGAAGGTATAGTTACTTCTGATATTTAATAGAATACTCTGCAGCTAAGTGATATAATTACTTTCACTTTTTCTATTATCTAAAGTAGAGGTTTTTTACCTCTACTCCCCTTGATATCTCCCCAGTAGTCAATATATTTATCCTCATCAAAAACTTCAGATAATCAATCTCTATTTATAAAAAGCTGAAACATAAGAGTGTCGCACTTGCGGCGTGGAGCACAGCCGCAAGTGCGACACTTCCCCATCTGATGCAGTTGGTGGTTGAAAAGCTTCAAGTAGTGGTGGCTATGGCGGGTGATCCGCGGTTCGGTGGTTGATTACACTAAAATACTAACTATACTCTTACTAAGCTTAAACCCGGTGCCTAATTACCTGATCTCTGCTCGCAACCGCCCCTCATAGGATGCCCCTTTCACAAGGTATCCGTCAATGCTCGATGCAAACATTGCGAACAATCAGGCCATACCCTACTTGGTATACACGGAACGCTCAGAATGCAGCTCTCCTGGAAGCCAGGATATTCTCTCTCCAATAGGCCCGTGAGAAGGTCAGCAGCCCGTAGGATCAATAGGGGTCGGTTGGGAAACGCAGATGGACCTCAGCAATTTGTGTTCGTTGCAGAACATCCTATGAGAGACCGTAAGACCATACATTTTCAACCAGCCATCATTTATCCCTCCGGAGCGCCTGTTGAACCTATCACTAATCACGAGGCAAAAAGACCCAGAACCTGATGGTATTGTCCTGTCCTTTGTCTAGCTTCTAAAAATTAATAGTTATCTACGGTTGTTGGTTAACATGAAACTCGTTCTCAAGTCAACGTTTCCGAGGAAGCCAGCCTTTCCGTAGAGACGCCATTCGAGGTCTCGGGTGATGCATCGCCAACTAGTGCTGCTGATTCTCCCGGCCCCGAGACCGATCCTAGGACAGCTGAATTACAACCGCATGGCGATAACAGCGAAGACCAAGGCCAATCCCCGTGTTCATCTACACCGACAGACGACGGACAGCTACAATTAGCTGACCGAGACGCCTTCTATGACTGGTCGAGTCAAGTCGCTACTACTATAGAGTCAAGTCCCATGGCAGCTTCAGACCTCCCCAACACTACTACATCTATGCCACCGAGCGTACTGTACAATAACATCTGGCAGCAGTTTGGGCCTATCCTTGAGAGATGTTCGCTTATTCTGCTCCTAGTCGCTCCTGTCAATGCCCACTAACAAGTCATAGACAATATGGAATTCTGCACGATCCCATTAACGTTCGACTTACAGATGAATCCGTTTCGATATCGCAAAACCAACGTTCCGGAGCCTATGTTTCTGGTCCATGCGGTGATGGCTTTAGCGGGTCATCATGTTAAGAGCCCATCAACCGATGACCATCACTATACAGCATTGAAACTCCTCCGCGAGAGCATCAACGCATCCGGTAATGTGGAAGATGGCTGCTCTATGCTTGATGCGATTATGATCTTATTTTCCTTCGACGTTAGTTTGCACCTTTATCTTTGTTGCTTGGACCTAATCCAAGTTGATAACGAAAGTTAGGAAACTCAATCCACCCTCGGATACTGGAGTACACATCTCAAGGGAGCCTATGGCCTCATCGAAGCGTGCGGGGGAATCGAAGCATGGACTACGTCCGCTCGGGCAGACGCTCAAATAGGATTGCTGTTGTGGTATTTAACCCCCTTAACCCCCTTCTCTTCCCCCCAACCAAACATTTTACGCAAAATCAGCCGGGTCCTTCCAGCTAAACTATTTAGGTGGGATGCCATCACCAGTCTCTTATCCCGGGAAAATTGCGTGTTCCCGTACGCATACGTCGAAGCCATCCTATCGAACCCCGATGATCGGAAGTGGAATTTCTTTGACCTCTGCGGGTGCCCGCACAGCGTGGTCACGCTCCTCATGCAAGTTGTGCGTCTGAGTGCCGAAAAACGCCAATCGTCGTCCATGCGGTACGTGACCTTCGACACCACGATGGTTGCCCAAATCGAGCAAGCGCTCGAGTCCTGGCATCACATCTCCCCTGCCGCACTTGCCTTCGGTAGCGAAGAGGACATCCAAAAAGACCAAGATTGCATGCACTGCTCGGAGGCATGGAGACACGGCCTGCTTCTCTACATTTACCGCGTATTCCGATGGAAGCCGGGAAGTCCTATTCCAACGCATGTTGTCCGTTGGGCCCGGGTTGTTGTGGACCATGTGGTAGCGTGTCGCGACGAGAGCATGGTCGCCCGGCAGGCGTTACTGCCGCTCTTCTTCGCGGGCTGCGAACAACGCGATCGATCGATACGGCAGAAGATCGTGCAGTTCTGCTCGGTGTGGAATGACCGGACGCGGTATCAAATGTTTGGGAGTACCATTCCGTTGCTTGAAGAAGTATGGGCGGAGCAGGAGGCGAAGGGATTTGAGAACGTGTGGTGGGGTCACGTCGTGGATCGAAAACACACCGTGTCTTGTTATCCGTTGCAAATGCGGCTTTGCTTTGGATGATCTAAACTAAAAGTCAAGATACATTCGCGGTCAGCCTTTAATAAAGGTGGATCGGGCTGCTGGCTTACTGCCATGTCTCCGCAACCAAGCTTGCACCCTTGTCTTCCAGGCTCTCCATAGCAGCATGCACAAGCAGGCTCGCAACATCTTGTTGCTCCGCATAAAGAGGACCGAATCGATATCCAAGTTCGCACTTTCGAATAAGAACCCAGCCCGTAAGGGTTCGTGTTGATCCACGACTGCAAGGCCGTTTGCATCTTGACGGTGAAACAAAGCCTCAGTGGTCCATAAGCGAGGTCTTTCGAGTCCACAATGCGCGAAATCACTCTCCGCGAGTTTATCCAGGCTCAGCTTTTGCAAATACTCGATTCTTTCTCCCTCCATCAAGGACCCATTGGCAACAGGGATAGCTTTCACACTGGGCCGCTCACAAATCGCGATTAGATTAGTCTCTATAAAGCCACGCCGCTCGTAAGTCACACGTTGCTCAGCCACACTGTCAAGGCCAATGTATTCCGTGCCGTATTTGCGGAAGAAATCCTTGCCTGCACTAAATATCTCGCGACCGATACCATAACCGCGATATGTGGCGATTGTAAAGAATGATAACCACCCTGTTGAATTGGAGAAATTGTTCACAATACCAACTAATTAAAAATAGATGATATGGATTACTTGTAATACTGTATTTAAGAATATATTACTATTAGTATAACACTATTGTAAAGAGTCTGTAAAAATTACTACTTAATCTATAACTATTGATTTATCTACTACTATACCTGATCTTTCTAACCTGGAGTTAAGAATGGTTAATAGTTACTAAAATTATTTTTTAATCGTAACCTGATCTTAATTATACAGTTAGATTACGAGTTAAGGTATAATGGTCAGGTATAGCTACTCTAAATCTATTGTCTATATAAATATACTAGTAGCTGACGGGATAGCTAGACCTAATCAATAAATATATATCTATCGGTTAACTGGCCAATTCCGACTAACTAGCCAGTTTAGTGCGACAATTATTCCTATCGTAGGAATCTTTAAGAGAATTCACGTAATGAAATGTTTATAAATCTAAGAGGGGGCGCTGCGCAGAGCACAGCACCTGTAGGCCCTTGTTGTCTATACACCTGCGGCCGCGGCACTGTCTCTAGTCCGCTCTACAGTAGCCTCTTGCATGAATGGGCTGTAAGATCTGATCTCTTTGCCCCATTGGAGGACCACAAAAGGAGTCGCCACCAGGGCCAAGGACACAAATGCAAGCAGCGAGCTGGCCCACTGAAATCCAATGTTCGTGTACATGGCTGCTGCGGCCAGAGGGAGAAAGGCGATAGAGATGTTCTCGACGAAACCCACCGCCCCGAGGGCGCTCGCAGCATACTTGCTGTACGCGTCGATGAGATAGTTAGCATTGCCAACGATGACCGCCGTCGTCCCAAACCCCACCATCGCCAGGCCGACGGTGGGTGCCATCCAGTGTATGGAAGTGTATGATGCCCACCCATACACGAACATGCCGCTCGTGACACCAAAGAGTCCACCAATAATCGATGCATGAAGCCGAGCCTCCGGGATCGGCGTGCCCGGTGCCTCGGTATTGCGGGTCGCAGATGCATAGTACCAGGGATCGGTTAAGATGCAAAATCCACCGCCCAGAAGTTCCCCGATCACAATCGCAACTTGGACATATCCACACTGGATGGGATCCCACCTATATAGCTCCTTGTATACCTGCTCGACTGATTGCGTAAAAAGATAGATTGTTCCCAAGCTGAAGGCAGCCCACACCGTCGCAACGAACACGACCCCTTCAGTACATAGCATGTACAGAGGCCGTTGAACGCTCTGCAGGATAAGCTGAGGCAATGCTACCCGATCGATCTTCTCGGTCGTGTACGCGTTCGTCCCCTCGCGGCGCAGTCGTTTGGCCTTAGCGCGCAAGATCGCCGGCCCGCGGCTCTCTGGCAGACCGAAGATCAGAATCGGATATAGGGCAGCGGTCCAGATCAGTTCGATGTACGCAATCCAGCGCCATGACAGGAATTGCAGGATGGCAGAGCCAACCACCGGGCCCAGACTTGTCGCCGCCAGATAGATGGTCACGTACAGACAAATTGGGACACTCCGAGCTCGATCGCCGTGAAAGACATTCGATGTAATACCGGCAACGGCGTCGCTTATCAGCGGAACACATCCCCCGCTGAAGAATCGAACCACAATCAGGGTGGCAAAGTTTGGTGCCAGCCCCACAGGAATCAAAAAAGAAATAAAGCAAAAATAGGTGGTCAGAAGGACAGGTCGAACGCCAAAGTCCTCCATTACAGGAAACAGAAGAAGCGGGCAAAGCGCGGCCCCGATACCCCAAGATGTTGTTAGCCAGTAGGTATTGGGGAACGTCGCATCAGAAATGTGAAATTCGTCCCCAATGGCCGTGTGAGCCACCGTTAGGATGGTCCCATTCATCGAGCAGACAAAGCTCGCAAGCAAGCCAATGCCCGTGGCGCGCCATTTCTTCGAAAGGGGCCAGTTGTATGGATCTTTGGGGTCATCCTCTCCGTTCCACGTGACAATCACGCTCTCTTGAGTAGAGCTTGGGCCTGTGTGTCATGATGAGTGAGTGGATAGGTCTCAGTTAATAGGTTCAAGGACATATGCATATCAACCTTCGGTACGAGGGCACGATGCGAAGTAGGAATCGATTTCGAGCTCGTCTAGTGTGATCGGTACGTTTCCAAGATCGGCTCTACAGCCATCTGCTTTCGGTGCAATCTGTCGCCGCGAACAATCCGGGGGTGGCATCACGGCAGAGATGGTGGCGCGCGTCAAGCTCTCCTGGCGCGAGAAGGAGGTCCCCTAAAGATGTCCAGCTCCGTATAGCAGTGATATATTTGGTCTTTGTGGTATTAATCAGGGCAAGGTGGGTAGCATGCTCAACGGTCTTGGAAGTAGTAATCTGAGGGATAAATAGTTCAGAAATATGAGAGCGTGTCTTGGGGTATTCCATTTTCTCATTGTATGATTAGTTTAGATTAACTAAGATTAATCGATTACATACCTACATATATGTAGGTATGTCGGTAGGTAGTTAGTTGTGCAGTTTAGGAAATTCCACTAGTCCTAACAAGGTAATTATCTTAATTCGGTAGGAGGCCCAACTAGGAAGTCGGGCTGTATAGGATCAGCAACTTGGCCACCAGCCTCTCGTTAGAACTCATAGAATCATATGTAGATTGCTTGTGAACCTAAAGTCTCCACAGATCATACTTCGATCTATGTACAAGTCCAATGTTGTCCAGATTGGATGGTCTCAAGGTAGTGTGTGAAATCTGGTGATGGTGCGTTGTGCTCGATGGCGGAGATAAAGATGCGTAGGGCTTCTATTTCCAGTGTTGCTGTTGCTACTATCCTGAGTGCTGACAAAATGCGGATTAGGAGTGTCCTCTGCACTGTGTTCAAGTATCTCAGGTGCGTCTTGTCTCGAAGCGGGTCGTGCCAGACTGTTGACGCTAGACTTTGGCAAAACCCATCGATGGGTCCAACTGTTAGACCCATTATCTAACCTATATAGGTAGTGGACCTTTCAGGGAATGATCTGCGGGCCCCACACTTCGAGCGGCCCGTTCTGGTCTTAAGGGCAAAGAGTGAGCTGTAATATCTAATTCAGGACTAGTTCCTGTGTTTTATATTTTGTTCAGCCGCGTATTTAAGGAGACATGCATTAAATAAGAACAGGAATGAAAGCCAAAAAGAAGAGATGAAAGGAGAAGGTAGGCGTGGAACGACAGGTGCCTACATGCGATCTAACCTTAGATCCAGCATTGCCAGCCTTTGCGAGATTTCTAGCAGAAATGAGACCATATGTGTTGCCCGTCTCAGTTGCAAGCTCACCATAGTTGCACCACGAACGCAGCTAGGTGGCAAGTACCAATCAGGTAAGAGGAAACAGCCAGATTTTGCAGCTGCCGGATAAGAGAACGGTTAGGAAGCGAATCCCGGCACAAATGCCTCCTTTTGCCTCGCTGATGCTAAAAGTTGGCCCTGTTGAAGAGGTACATGTAAGGTCTAGAAAACCGATATAACGATAGTAGATACCCGAATATTGCCATTAGACACAATATGTCAACGCATGTATTCAGACAAACAGCCAATTAATTGGGTTATGTCGACACAAGGCCATAGGTTTCTGTTAAAGTAACTTTGAACCAGAACACGGCTTCCAACTTGGAGCCACGTATACACCGGGCATCCTCCCGCACCGTCTATAAAGTCTGTGAGAATGAAAAATTAACGGAATGAAGATTCACCGCGTCTACTCTGATTATACTTATCTTGCGTAATAAATATTAATAGCTTGTCCGAAACAAAGGCCCGGAACTGGTACTAGAAGCGATGACCAAGTGACATACATCGAACTGCAAATCATCCTCCAACGTACTCCAAAAGGTCTTCCTTTCGACAGGCCATTGATAAAAAAAAAATTGAAAGTAACTGGGGACCTTTCAATTGAGAGGGACTGACCGAAACTCAGGGCACTCAGTCTTCCGCTCACTCCGTGCTCAGTGATCGCCCCACGCTGCTCAGGGCGTGCTCAGGTCTACTAAGTGGGCACTGAAACGGAAAGGGAAAGCAGTCGACCTTGCTAGAACATCAAGTACGTATATCTCGTCAAGCCTAACTAATTTTGGCCCGGAAAATATTATCATCTTCAACACTTAATGTAAAATTATCCTACTCTGGCACCAGCCTCTAACCAACATACTCCGCATGTTTGATGAAGACGACATCAGACCGGAGCTCTTCTATATCTTCATCCCGTAGGTATATTGCAACTATGACCTCGCCTTCACGTGTCTTGGGCAATAGAAAAGTCAACCCCTCGACCTCATTGCATCTTGGCTTTCGTACAGCCTCAGGCAATCCTAAACCAAGGTTGAAGTCAAAGCGATAGCTCTCCAGTTTTGCCCACGAACTGAAAATGAGATCCGTGGTTGTATCGATTGATGCGCCAAAGGAGAAAATATTCTTGTCCGGCGTACGACTCAGGAAGGTTGCAATAACACGCGTGTGGTGTTCTAAGCGCGATTCGTCGCTTAGAGCTAGCCGAAGTTGCAAAGCAATGTTACCCAACGGCTCCTCAATGAGTCTCATGATCGAAGATTCGGTATAGACATTGCTCTGTATAGGTCCCGGGTAGAGCGGAGAAATATCGAGAAGTCCCCGTACATCCACGGCGCGCATGATGGTTGAGTGAGTCGAGGGACCCAGTCGGCGCAGACGGGCCCGAGTAACAGATTGCCAGATGAAGGCCGTGAGTGCATCATCAGTAGAGACGAAGGATGGCGGTGGGAGGGATGCCATAGCAACAGATTTCAGCTCCTCTAGCGAGCGAGGTGAGATTTTGAAAGACGTCCATGAGCATTTCGGCATACGAGTCCCTGGCAAGTTAGTTGAATGCTTATATGGAGCGGTTTTGACAATATAACGATTGAGCTCGGCATCTGTCGCATGGCTGTCTTCGAGCAATGGAACAATATCTCGGCGTGGAAGATTACCGTCCCGGAGCTCCTCATATGTGAATTCTTCGTTTCGACAAGCCTTAGAAAAAAGGTGAATAATATTAACTAGGCCGGTGGCATCCATAGCATTGTGTTGAGCGACGAAGGTGAGAAGGAGGCCTCCCGTGATAAAAGTCGCTTGGATAAGGAAAACAGGCTTCGAGTCATCCTGGTTCTCCGGGAAAATCTTGCGGGGCGCCAGAATGTTTTGATCCAGCATGCCTATGGGGTAATTAGCACGCTGTAAATCTTTCATTGTCGCGACTGAGAGGTCATTCTGCAGATCTCGCACAACCAGCTGAGCTTCATTTTCCAGCGGCCTGATCATGAAGTAACCCGTGTCGCCATCGCTCGAACCCTCATTGACAACTTGACCTGCTAACCACGGAAAGCTTGTACGGAGTCTTTCGAGACCTTTGGTGAGAGTGCCGACAATTTCCGGGCATGCGGAGTTGTCTGGGAGGGGAAAGCAAAAACATGACTGAATATTGATAGTGAAGGTCTGTTGGCCGAAGACATCAAGATAATCATCCATAATGGTTTAGAATATGCAATTGCAAGCGGACTCGGTGAGGGTAAACCTGACGAATAATTGTTCAATTTATAGGTAGCACCATGGTGCCATTATTTCGCGGATTATATGTATAGATCATGATTCATAATGAGTTGACACCAGACTATTCCGAATTGGGTCGCCGACTGAAACCTTTTTTTTTTTTTTTTTTTTTTTTTTTTTTTTTTTTTTCCTTTTCACCTCCCTCGCGCTGTAGCAATACAACCATCTAATAAACCCTCCGCTAATAATTGTCACGCTACAAATGGGCCTCTACATGAAGAATATCGCGCCTCCTAAGTTGCTTGTTGGCTGGAGTTGCACCACAGGAGCTTGCGATTGGAAAGTATAGCTACGGCGTCACAGTCGAGTACGTCGACGCCCGTCGAGAGCTACTTGGTGGAAATCTGGCATTTACTTCCTCCACCTCGTATCTGATATTGTTATGCGACGGCGAGTGTTACATACAATGATCGCCTGGGATGGGTCCTTAACATTATTGAATTTGTCTGCATGATAGCCTCAGGGAGATTGCTCCTCGTATCCTCGCAGTAATATAATTATTATAGCGATATGTAGCCAACCAAGGCAAGTGGCTCAGCATTTTACAGATTCATGAGCCGCGCGAGCACTCCCCCATACCGATCACCGTGGACCGGGATTTCCTTCAGGATAGCAGCAATCTCCTTCAGCTCGGACTCCGACAACTCTACATCGGCCATATTCTCCTCCACCCTCTCGACTGTAGTGCATCCGGGGATGGGAATAATCACGGGATTGCCGGGTAGCTTATTCTGAGCCCTTACCCAGGAAATAGCCGTCTGCGCTAAAGTAGCCTTCTTCTTCCTAGCAATCTGCTCCAACTGCTCCACCAACTTTAAATTCAAGTGGAACACATCTGGCTGGAATCGAGGATAGTTGCGCCGAGAGTCATCGGCAGGCAGATCATCCAACGAGCGTAGTTGTCCTGTCAACCATCCTCTGGACAAAGGGGAGTATGCTACCAGAGGAATATTGAGCTCCTTACAGGCAGCAGCAACTCCGTTCTCCAAAGGATCTGTGGAAAATAAGGACAACTCAACCTCCACAGCAGCCAAAGGATGTATGGCATGAGCCCGACCCACTGTCTGCTCACTACATTCACTGATGCCGATGCCGCCGATCTTCCCGGCCTTAACGTAGTCGGCTATTGCGCTGATGGTGGTTTCAATAGGAGTGTTGGGATCGACCCGCGCCGGCTCAAAGATACTAATAAACACTTTGCCGTTGAGAAGCTTCAGGCAGTTATCAATACTGGCGCGGATGCCTTCGGTGGTGCCGTCGGGACCTTTGGGGCCCAGACCGCCCTTGACACTGAGGACTACTTTGCTGCTATCTTCGGGATATTTGGTGAAGTAGTAGTCCAATAGCTGCAGGGAGTTGGCATGGGGAGGACCGTAGAATTCCCCGGCATTCCAGAAATTAGCCCCGAGGTCGAGAGCGCGCTTCATGACTTTGACGGCCTCGTCGTATGGGGTGGGGTTGGCACGCCAGGTAAGGCCTGTCGGTTAGCTTAGAAGGGCTGCTGTAAGAGATGGGGTGGGAGGAAGCATGAGCATACCCATAAGACCAAACCCGATCGGGCCGATGGCTTTATTGACGAGAGTGACAGTCATGGTGGGTAATGAGGGGAAAGAAAAACAGGTGAGGAAAGTGGATTATTATTCCTGGAAACTTGTCTGTACACAAATGAAGCCAAGGAAGAGGAATAGAAAGTGGTGAGAAGGACGAGAGAAATTCAGACGGTTGTACCTAATGATAATCAATCCCGCCACCACTCTTTGGGGGGAGGGGTAAATCCATAATTCTATTAGCATCAGCGAAGTGGCTCAATGGCATCGGAGGTACGATTTAATGTCCGCCAAACTCCGTGATAATCCCTGCCACGGACTTGTCCGTCTGAGAGCCCCTAATTGAATGTTCTTTGAAAGTTAAAATCATCTGAGAAACTCCGATCATTTACAGCTGAAATACCCAAGCCCCTTCCCCGGCCTATACGCACTGACACTATTACCCCATACTAGTGCTTACTGGTACCCAGCACACTCTCCAAGGATACAAATACTAGTATACTGGCTAATAGATCAATCTAACCTTGACCTCGAATCCTCTTTCCCCAAGGATCTGGTCCTGGCAGACTTCAAAGTCGTCTCCTTCGGCCGATTGACCGACTAGATTGATACACAGCGATTCTGCCACCCCAGCGGCCCATCGGTGTTGCTAAATATACCAGTTGGTCCATCCTTATCCAAGCTCGCGAGACGAACCGTTTGCAGCGCACCACTCAACGGGGACCCCGAGCCACGGAAGCCGTTGAAATTGGTCGCATAATTTCCCGGGTCGCTCGCATTGACTTTCCACCCCTTAGGCCCCTATAGATTGGCATAGTGACAGGCGACCATGTTGAGCGCCACCTTGGTGCTGCGGTAGGCGGGGAATCGGAAGGCAGCAAATTGGTCGTTGGGGTCCAACCGGCCAGGACATGATCCTAGAGCTGAGGACACAAAGACCACTAGCGGCAGAGCGGCCTTCTCCAAGAGCGGCACAAAGGCTTCTGGAGTGATGACGTGGGCCGTGATGTTGATGTCGAAGCCAGTCTGCCAGGTATGGCGGAGGGAGGTGCCTTCGGGTGAGCGTCCCTCGGAGATCACTCCGGCGTTGTTGATGAGGACGTCTAGCCGACCGAACTGGGCTGAAGCCTGTTCGGCGGCCCTCTACATGGAGGTGTCGTCGGTCACGTCGATCATCACTCCCTCGACGGTCAGTCCTCGGCTTTTTAGCTTGGCAATGGCCTCTTCGCCCTTAGTAGCATCGCGGTAGCCCATGAGCACATGGTATCCCGGGTGATCGGTGGCTAGCTTTTTGGCGACCGCAAAGCCTAGACCCTGGTTGGCGCCGGTAATAGGGACGATTGTGCTATTGAGAGAAGCCATTTCGCGCTGTCTGTATGAAACAAGTACTGAAATTATGTGGGACAGTCTTCTGAGAGCAAGAAAGGAGAGAAAGCGGCGTATTGAAGCCAGAAAAAGAAAGATGAAAGGGGGGAGCGAAGGGGTCTTTTGATAAAGCCCTAATAGATAGGGCAGGCAGATCCCACTCCACTCGGTGAAGGGGGTAAGGGCGTCAGCGAGAACGGAGCTATCGGTGATAGAGACAAGCTATACCTAGAGCCTGGTACTTCTGCCATCAGCCACTTCTTGATGCGATCAAAGCCCCCAGGCTCCAATGGACCGACTGCCCGACTGATGCGCCGATCACCCAAACGACACCTTTAATCGTCCAAATCACTATTAAAACAGATCAGTGCGCATCAATATATCCGCCATGGAAGAGGTTTTCACGCTGACAAGTAGATCCTCTCACAAAATGTAATTAATTATGGTACTTAGGATTAGTAGCTATCTATATAACAGAGTCAAGTACATTATTTAGTGATGTTCATACAGCTTTATATAGATAGGTATATAGATAAGATACAAGTTAATCAGATTTTGTAGTTATTCTGCTGGCAATAGATACTGAGAGATTTTTATTGCCCGATGGCCGCTATTGTCCGGCCCGCCGTACTCGGCCAGTGGGACTCCATGGAAACAAGCTTCGAAGTCCCCACTCGTAGGGAGTATAGCCCTAAAAATAGAGACGTCCGCGTCACAGAGTAGTACGGAGTATCTACCCTGTATGGAGTAGTACAGACTACACTGTACAGCAGCAATAGTAGAATTCATTAGTACTAGTCTGCCCCATGACACTGCCGCTGCAATTATGTACTTAGTAGTGGAATTACAATTTAGATCACCATGGGGCAACCCCCGGTTCATCCGTCCGTGATCTGCCCCAACTGACGCGCGTCGCATCCTCGCTGGATCCTGTCCAGGGTCTTGCTGTCAGTCTTAAAATGCCTCCCGATCTTCTTGCTGTTCTCTTGTAGGCTATGCTGCTTGTCTGTTTTGGATTCCTCCCGCCTCTTCCTGTCTCTTTCTTTCCCACTCGCCTCCCCTTAGCCCTCCCCTATCATGGCTGCTAAGCAAATGTACTTGTCCTTATCTCTGCCGTGTTTTTGGAAATAGAGTGCTGACTCGTCTTCCCAGCAATGTCGATGTGTTGGTGATCGGTGCAGGACCAACCGGTTTGGGCGCCGCCAAACGTCTCCAGCAGCTGGTAAGTCGGAGCAATTAGATCACGATGGAACGAATTCTTCTGGTAACGCTAATAAAGCATGGGAGTCTAGAACAGTGCCACGTGGATGATCATTGACGCAAACGAAACCCCCGGTGGACTGGCCTCCACAGACATTACCCCCGAAGGCTTTGTATGTCGTTCTGCCGCGAGGGATCGTGCCCAACATGATGATTAGGTACTAATTTCCGTGCAGCTGTCTGATGTCGGTGGGCATGTTATATTCTCCCACTACAAGTATTTCGACGACTGCCTCCACGAAGCCCTCCCCAAGACAGAGGACTGGTACGAGCACCAACGGGTCTCCTATGTCCGCTACCAGGACCGCTGGGTCCCCTACCCTTTCCAGAACAATATCTCCGTCTTGCCCAAGGAGGAGCAGGTGCAATGCATCGAGAGTCTAATTGACGCCGCCTTGGAGGTCCGCACCCGCCCTGCGTCGGACAAGCCCCAGAACTTCGACATCTGGAACACCCGGAATGTCGGTCAGCAACTGAACGAGATTTTCATGCGCCCGTACAACTTCAAAGTCTGGGCGATGCCCCCGAGCAAGATGAACGCCACCTGGGTTGGCGAGCGGGTGGCTGCCCCCAACCTCAAGCTGCTGACCAGCAATGTCATCCTTAACAAGGTGGCTGGCAACTGGGGACCCAATGCCACTTTCAAGTTCCCTGCCAACGGCGGTACCGGTGGCATCTGGATTGCTGTAGCCAACACGATTGCCCAGGAGAAGACCCGCTTCGGTGAGCACGGCACCGTGGTCAAGGTTGACGCCGAGGCGAAGAAGGTCTACCTGAAGGACGGTCTGTTGCTCTACCGATGGGCTGACTGGCGATTAAGCTGATCAAATCTGCCAGGTACCATTGTCACTACGGATCGCTTATTTCGACCATGGCGGTTGACTACCTCGCCGAGGCCATGGCGGACACCGCACTGCAGCAGCATTGCGAACCCCTCTTCTACTCCTCCACCAACGTGATCGGTGTCGGTATCCGTGGGACGCGCCCTGAGCGCATCGGAGATAAGTGCTGGGTATGTTCTCTCTGGATTCAGACCAAGGAAAAATACAATCTAACAGCCGTAGCTTTACTTCCCCGAGGACAACTGCCCCTTCTACCGTGCTACTATCTTCTCCAACTATTCCCCCAATAACCAACCTCAGCAAAAGGTCAAGTTGCCTACCAAGCAACTTGCCAACAGCCAGAAGTCTGCTTCTTCCGACGCCCAGGAGGGACTATACTGGTCTATTATGTTGGAAGTTTCTGAGTCGCAGTATAAGCCGGTCAACCACGACATTCTGTTAGATGACTGCATCCAGGGTCTCATCAACACCACGTTGCTTCAGCCCGAGGACGAGATCGTAAGCACCTACGTGCGGCATTTCGACCACGGATACCCCACTCCCAGTTTAGAGCGCAACGGCGCTCTGAACAAGATTCTCCTTTATCTACAGCAAAAGGACATCCTCTCCCGTGGCCGTTTCGGTTCATGAAAGTACGAAGTCGGTAACCAGGACCACAGGTGATTTCCTATGAAAATTAGGGCCCGTGTACGCGTGCTAATGAAATCTAAGTTTTATACTAGATATTGAAGCAGTTGACCACATTATTTCTGGTGCAGTCGAGCTTACTTTGGCCTACCCGGACTTTGTCAACGGTCGTGCCAACACTGAGCGCCGCCTGAGCAGCATGAAGACTGTTACCCAATGAGGAGGTAGATAGCATTATTTACTGGGTAACTGAAGTAGCGTATTATGCCCGGTGTTCAGTAGATAAAGCTGCTTCCTAAATTGGAGAATAACTGTTTGGCCATACATATAATCAATGCCTTTACTGCCAGGTCTCCGACGCCAGTGCAGCTGCCGTTGTGACCAGCAGCAGAGACAATTCCACCGCTAGTACTCGTATATTGTATCGTCCGGGCAGAATAGAACGTCAGCAGGACAGATCGTCAGCAAAAATCCAACCGTTATTCTAGTCGTTCCTAACTGCATCATCACTTAGGAAATATAGTGGTTTTATTTGCTAGAAAACCATAAGACGGTAGTAGCTCAATAGAGTCTCCTACTTTAGGAAAGACCAGTCAATTTAGCTAAAATTGTTCTATTCCTACTTTAGCGAGCATACTAGCGCCACTAATAACTACTATATATTAGGACACACCTCCGTATACCAGGCAACCAAGTTAAAGCAGAAAAGCTAACTGCAATAGGAACATTACAGGTGCCCATACTAGGATAGTTTTGATTTAGCTCGGCCTACTTGCTATATCTAGACACCTTGCACAAGCACTTGGCATATAAGGGCGTGTGTTCCCCTTAGATAGCCCAGATCATAGCTTATCTTCTTCTGTACACCCCACCTGTTATCCCAGTGCAACCTGCTTTTACTGGAACCTTCAACCAAGAAATCAGTAACTATGACCGATCCTTTAGAGCCATTTCGAAAGTTTTCCAAGGCAGACCGACAGTATGGACGCCTCCTATAATTGCAAACATCAGATAGATACTAACACAACGGAGCCAAAGCCCACATACTCCAGCGTTGGAGGTAACCCTCACTGAGTATCGAACTTTCTATACCGAGAACCCGGATGGAAATTTCATAAAAGTCACTATTGCGCGATCCAAGGAGCAGCAGGAACCCAAGCCATGCTACTTCTACTGGTCCCCCAGCACCGATGAAGGATTTAGGGTCTTCCGTGACAGGCCCGGTGAGGGCATAGAGGTGGAGGTACAGTCCAATTGCTCCTTACCAGTAACGCAGCAATCGGGCTCCCCCCACCTTTGGTACCTGGGTGCAAAAGATAAATCCGTGTCGTGGGATATCCCTCTCGGAGAGAATATACCCCGAGCGATTGAGAAAGATAAATGGATCATATATGATCTCTTCTGGCCCGGGGGCGAGGTGTATCTCTGGGATTGGGGACCGAAGGATACCAATAAGGAAAAGTTGGAAAGCGCGGAGCTGAAGCCGAAATCGACCCCGATAATACTGCCTGGGGGTGTATGGTGCAGATTCTGCTTAATCGAAGGTAGTCCGCCGCCGCCGCCACCAAGGCCATTGACTCCTCCAATCCTCGAACTAGATCCCAGTACCCTGTGAGTACCTCTTCTTCGCCCATTTATCTGCTGATATTAGGACGCTAACAACAGCTAAGCACCCCAGGCGTGCCCATTTTCAGCCTCGAGATTGAAGGCCCGCCGACATGGAGAACCCAAGAAAGGTGGCCGTTGACCTGGAAGCTTACCTACCACGGGGTATCAGGAGACGAGACCCCTCGACCAATTACTTTCTCGGTGAGTGACTTGTATGATTGGGAGGCATCTTGTTTCTACCGGCGTAGCCAGGATACTGGAGAGTGGGAATCCTGGCGCGGCGATGGTGTGTGTGGATACGCCTTGTTCGAGGATGAAGACGTCCCACGCGCAGTGGGTTCAAGTACAGGGTTTATATCTCTCCAGCCCAACGAGACCTGGTGTAAAGTGCAGGGACTTGGAATGATGGCTGATCTACCTGAAGATGCTCGAGGTGGGGAGGTCATGCGACACCGATTTAAAGGATGCAAATGGACTTGGTGGGATTGGGGAACGAAAGGGGATCATTTGGATACCATTGTAATGGTAGTCGGATTCGGGGTGATCACTAAGCCAGCTGACAATGACGGACGGCCGGAGGTGGTGGTACCGGCTTCGAATATGGTGGAGTTTACAGTTATAGAACAAGAGAGGGAAACATAAAGTTATATTGGCAACGACTGGATTATTCATGATTAGCCAGTAACGGCTCCGTCTCCGCCCCCTCAGCTAACCGCCAGTACTTCATATTTCTGCAAGCCATCCACAGCAGAATAGCCTGGACCAGCGCAAAGATCGCACAGTCCACAGCCGTCCAACCAACAGTCACATACCAGCTATACAGCGTAAACCACGATGCAAAAATATCCCAATCGGGATTGATATTGACAAACCGGAACGGCCAACTCAAAGCAAGTACCGAGAACACGCCTGCCTGGATCGCAAGTCCTCGAAGACTTAAAGCCGCCGGCGGCGGCACACTTTTTCGCAGTTTCGGCGCCTGACAGAACACAGCACTGAATGCGAGAAGTGTCATGGCCGGGTTGACAAATATGAGATGGACACCACTCCAAAGAGCGAACACCCACTCATTCTCGCTGGTCGGGGGATCCTCGCCTCTATCGGTTGTGAGGACCACGCATACTGACGGAATGACGGCTATGAGAAGGTAGATGATATATGACAAGGCCGCGGAGAGCTTGTTTCGGAAGGATGAGTCGGAGGGATATCGCAAGCTTAGCGTAAATCTTTTGGAGCGTTGGTATGAGTATATGATTCCCTTATGGGGATAGATGCATATGTAAAACTCACGTAAGGCTGAAAAGTATCCAGATAACCGTGATTCGAATCAGGTTCAACCAGTCTCCTAAGGATCCGGGACTCTCCACAAACATATTCGGCTCTGCCTCCGGGTTGTTGTTGTATAAGAATGCAAGTAGGAACTGTTCTGTCGCACAGATGAGGTTGAAAAGTAGATAGCACAGTGAAAGACCTGAGCTATTCTTGGTTGTCCAGAGGAGTTGCAGCTGCGGTAGGAATGAAATGATGCTCAGACCCAGGAGGAGGCTGTTAAAAAGGGTCAACATCAAGAGCTCTGCGCGGTATCGCAAATTGCTCAAGTTTTTACGTACATTCGGACCCAGGAGGGGAGGAGTGTTCGGTTGATCATCGCGCTTTGGTATAGTAGGTGGTCACAATTCTACACTTCGAAACTTGTAGCATGGGCAGCCAGATGGGGACTGGAGAAAACGCCTTGGAGATAACTATGTAGTTACACTACTGTGGGAAGAGTGACAGATGGGGTGTGGGCATATAAACTATAGCAGTAGTAAACACGGCGGAATTGCATTTGCCCGCCGTTGGCAAGTGTGGAATTCCTTTTAATCTTTTCTCAATCGTTGTCGACCATGCCAGAGTGCATACTGGCTAACTAACCATCTTTTCAGCCGGGTTAGTTACATGCTTATCTATCTATCGTCTGAATACAGCCGGTACATCACCACCCGGACGACCAAGGAGAATAAAAATTCTGCCTTCAAGCCACAGCCAGAGGCTCCTCACTTCCTTGTGTATAGGCCGTAGGAGTGATAAGGGAGAGCTAACCCGTCGTTATCTAGAACACAGTGATCCCATGGAGCCTCGTGCACGGTCTTATAGTGGGACCCTGTCAAGAGAGGAGCCACCACTCCTGTATACCCAGTGCATATATATATCCAGCATTAGGTTCGGTGTGCCTCGGTCTAGCCCAGCAATGTACAAACATGCTTTAGCGTCAGTTCTGTCGTGAATGGCAACATGCTATGACACAAGCACTGGGGTCGAAACAGTCGGTCTTGCATGGGCGGTAGACCGCATGCATGTCAGACTGAGGGGTAGAAAAAGGAAAAAAAAAGAAAAAAAAAAAAAAAGAGGAGCAGGTTCCTGGGTTTTCTAATCCTTGTGGTTGGTAAGCACGAGGGGGAAGAAATCCGACCGCGGCAGACAGACAAGAGAGACAGCTGAGACAGACAGCTGCTGCTGCTGCTGGATTGGGCGGAGATTGACCATCGGTGGTTGCCGCTAATTGTACATAGGCGAGACGGACGGGCCGTGGGGTCCAAAAACTATTCTAACGGCGGTACTACCTGGACCAGCCTAGTCAGTAACCAAATCAGTTAGCAGGGAGTTAAGAATATGAAATTAATATGTCAGCGATGAATAAAGACGGACGGATGGAGGAGAGGAGAGACTCCTACCAGAAATGGTGCCTGGAAAGAGACAGGGATGAAGAGAGACAATGGCGGGGTAACGAGCTACTAGTGAAAACAATTAGTTTACTATTAGATACACAATAGAAGTGACTACAGCAATTAGTCCAATGTTCTAGCTTAGTTTAGGCTATTTGGCCCCTCCTCGTTGTGCCGCCCATCCCTCCAGGCACCGTAAGCATTCTATGCATCCAAGTCGGTCATTATCACCATGCATCTCACCTGCCAGGATCATTGGAGGAGGCATCAATAAAGTCATGGTTTGTGAAACATGCACTGAAGCTTCCCTCAGCAACCGGGTCAAGCGAAGGAGCCCTAAAGTGAGCCAGATCCCTTCCAGGGCAATGATCGTGAAGAGGAGAACCAGGGACACCAACTAGTCGCTCCGTCTAGTTGCAGCCTGGGGCCGGTACCTTACTGCTTTGGTTCGCTCCTCCTCCCGCAATCCCTGTTCCCCGTCTCCCATCGCCGGCCAGGAATCAATGATCTTCTCCGTTTCCACTTCTTGCGCACACACTGCTATTCCTAATTTCCTATCCCTCCTGCTTTGCTCTGCTTCGGTCACATTCGATCCAGCCCGGACCATCGCCCATCAAGTCCTAAATGGGTCCTCCAAGCTATGACAGTTCCCACAGTTAGCCTCTCCAATCGCAATTCCCCATTCTTGCACTGTTGTTGGTTCTCCGATGGCTAACACCACCACTGCATTACTAGTAGCAAGGAGTTACGAGGTACTTCTTAACTTATCATCAACCGGCGAGGCTGGGGCGTCTGCAACCCCTCCCGTGTCCATTAGCGGGCCGGATGACTGGGTGACGGGCAGCAAATCAGCAAACCGTGTAAGACAGACACGCAGCCTCGCATAAGCTGGCCGAAAAAAAAAAATTCGAGGAGGGCTGCAGGTCACCGACATAAGGCATTTTCGTCCTAGTACGGCATGGTTGCGTTCCCCCCCAATCAGTCGGGGTCACCTGGCAGCAGGTGGGCACGGCGCCTCAACCTGCTTTCTTCCTTCTCCTCTTACTCTGAAACAACATCATTCTTTGTCGCTGCGGCTCTCTGTCGATGATCGGATCTCCTTGTCGTGCCCCCCAAACCAGTCATCTGGTGATCGAACTTTAGTCCTGCTCGCTCTTATGTCCGTGGCCTGCCATCCCGGTTTTCCCCATGTCACATCCGCTGGTGGCAGCCGTGTGGGAACAGCTGGGCCGCCGTGATCTCGCCCACATCCTACGTGAAATCATCGGAGAGCATGCGCTGGACATCGCGCTCTACCAACAGGATGCCAAGGCATCGGTTGAGCCTCTCACTCGGTCCGTCTTCTGGATCAAGACCATCTTCGACGCCCAGCGAACCTATCTCCAGGGTTTGAGCCATGTTCGCGACTGTCATCCTTACTTCCTACCCTATCTTCTCCCCACGGAGACGATCTTCTCGGCTTTGATGTACCTGGTTAAAGTCAAAGTCGAGCTCTTTCCCTCCCATAAAACGACCGACGGCGACTTTATTCGATACAGGCTTCTCATCGCGCATACGCTACTCACGGGTATTCGAGTGCTCCTGCTGCGCGGGGAGGCGATTGATACCGACCGGAAGTTTCAATTTGAGCGAGCCATGAGAGCGGCATGGAGGAACCCGGACCTTTCAAATGTCGAGCGCTTCCTGATTAGTGATTTCCTGCCCAAGGCCCTAACTAGTATTGGATCCCCAGATCTGTCAACGAGCCAGGCCTTCCTGTTGGACTGTGGAAAGCCCTATCTTCCTCCGTTCGCAACGGGTCTTGTAAGTGTTGTTGAGAAAATATGCTGTGATGGGGACAGGAACTTACTATGTCTTAGTATCCACTTTCGGGCGCTCCAGAGAGACTTATCACTGATCTTCTGACGAACGTAATGAAAAACGGTGCGGATCAGTTGGTGTCCTTCTGTCTTCTATACGATATGCTTTGGGCGGTGGACTCCGCAATCATCCAGTGTCATATCGATCGCCGTCGAATATCCCAAGAACAGGGCTACACCAGTCCAGCAGCATACAAAGTTGACGAATCCTTTAATCAAGCACAGGAAATCAAGAAGAAGCTCACGAGGACGGTCCTGGCTGCCTTCGATGATGAGTTCAACACCGCGCCTCTTCGCATTTTCGCGACGATCATCTTGAGTCAGACTGCCGACGAACACCCGCCACTACAGACCCGGAGGATTCGGGATACTTGGCACCAAATGTCTCCCATACGGACCTCGTGGGAGAAAGCTTCAGGGCAGTTCGTGCGGTGGCTTATCAATCGCAGAGTACAAATGTGGGACTGCAACGGGGAATTAGAAGCCTTTTCCCATGATTACCAACAACACCTCACGCAGTGGTTACAGAGCTCTTCTGCTGCCGAAGCAGATCCGAAACCTCAACCAAAGACTTCCCGTGTCAGCGCTGTCTACGTCGTCAACTGTCCTGCGGTGCATCCGGTACCTGGACCACTACTGGAGGAGAGCCTAAAAGCCCATGACAAAAGTGCTTACGAGGTAGGGAGCGGAATCATTGCAATGCTAGTTGTGCTTGTGGCAAGATGTTGACGGTGATTAGCAATTACAAGGAAGCCCCGAGTTTCTGACGATGGACATCGACTGCCCCCTATGTCCAGGCAATAAGAGGGTTCAGCATGCTCGGATGATCGAGCCCCTGGAGCAATTATCAGATGCCCTGCATTTCTTCTCGGACTCGGAGGCAGAGCGGCGCCATTCTCTTCTTGATTCAACCTCGAGGGACACCACGTCCTGTTCCAGCTCCCTCAGTCACTCCACCAGTCAGTCCTCGCGGCTCGAGTCTGACCCGGCAAAACGCCCGATTTCACCTGCCTCGAACCCAGCCCCGTTATCGAAGGTGACGAGCAAGCAGGCTATTGCCACCACCACCGAAGTCTTCAGCCCGGTCCTATCACGAAGTAGGACGGACCAGTCGTTTGACAGGCAAGCAATCAAAACCCTTTCCCGCGACCTCAGAAATGTCAAGCTGCCTTTTGGGGGAGGGGCATCGCTCTTCAGGAGAAACTCGGCCAGAGGACATCAGTTACCTCGTCAACCCCGGTTCTGCTTCTCGACCTCGGGAAGCTGCCTGCTGTTCTGGGGCGCAGGCAGCAACTGGGTGATGAGGTTCGAAACCAGCGTAGGGGATGGTAAAAAGCCCAAGGGTCATAAATATGATATTCCTGGCGTACAACAAGCCGCGGCAGGAGATCAGCGATGCGCCGTCCTGGCTTCTGTTGGACAAGTATGTAATCTTTTTATCTATCACAATTTGATTTGTGAAGCGACACTGACAGACACAGCACTACGAGCTCGTCGTGTTTGAGAACGACAGCGACGTTCCCCAAGCTTACCTCACCATCGAAACGGAAAACCAAACCTTCCCCGTTACCTGCATGGTAATGTCACGTAACGATCGATATGTCGCGTTTACCCTCCAAGATCAAGTTCGAGTATACGAGATATGCACGCGGACTATCCAGAGAGTCTCACTCGGTAGTGGCATGGATCGGTCATCGGACTTTGGTCACCGGTCTGTGATGGGCGCGTCTCCCAATGCCAAGGGGACGGCATATCAGGGAAAGAGACAGGAAGCTATCATCGAGAGGAAGTTGCAGTTTTCTCCAGATGGGAAGCACTTTGCCATTGCCACCCATCTTGGAGACCATTATGCCTACGTCGACGTGTGGAACTGCACCTTTCAGCAATGGAGCATTGTCCCTGACAAGTCCAAGTCGTTCAAGCTTCCATCGGTATGTATATCCGTCCTTCCATCTACCAGAATCGTACAATTAACATTTTCTTCTAGTGGACCAGCAACGACGGGGACTTTACGGGGGTATTCTATGATGGGACACAGCATGCGGTTCTCCTTACGGCCTTCTTTGCGAAAGAATACCCCGCGTTTTTCTCGATGTTGGACGACAAGACAACAAATGATTCCTTTAGTACGCGAGTGGTGCACGCGGCGCAGTCACCCTCCGGGACGCGATTCATTATAGCGAACGGGATGTGCGAGGTATACGTGGGGGATTCCAAGGCCAACGGGCGTCTTCAGCTCTCGCGGGTGAGGAAGGCTTCATCCAAGATTAGCCCATCTGTCTTCCGACCGGGACAACTGGCATTGTCCTTCCCTCAGGAAACCGAAGTCCTTGCCTTCTGGGTAAAGGCAGGCAAATTGGTGCTGAGGTCGGTGCGCATGCAAGACGGCATTGAGACGACCAGCGACTGTGATCTGCGATCCGATTTCGACCGACTAGTAGTCGAACGGCCACTGGCAGCTGATTTCCATAGCCAACGTCGACGGCATTCGTTGCTCTCGACCGAACTTCTGGCAGAGATCGATGGCCTTCCCTCTCTTCCGCGACCCGATTTGCCAGAGCTATCGTCGACGTGATTCTTGAAGGGAAGGTGGATGTGGAGTCTGGCGGCTGACATTGGGCGTTGGCGCTTTTGGAATAAAAGGCTACAATGCATTCTGGCTGTATGTGTGATGAGATACTATATATTCTGATTTAATGTGCAATGAATGTATGAATTGTATGCTATCTATCCACAATATCCTTTACTATTGATTTGAATATTTATCTTTCCATGACCTTTTGTTTGTCACGGCATTTCGGGAGTGGCCGCTGTCGTGGCCCGAAAGGGACTAGTGCGGGGACGTCAACACAACGCGGAGGTGAGAATCGCCGAGTTCCGAACGGCCCGATTAGTCGACGTCACCACCAAAGTTGGAGTCAATTTACTCTCGCGTAGCTAAAACTGGCCCAGTCAGTGAATTCAGGTCTCGTGCCACCACGAGCTGGACACGCTGCTTGTGCATGTCGTCCTAACCTACTGGGGTGGGTAAATGCTGGATTCCCTTTGCTTGAATTCCGGGGAGTCCGGAGGTGGACCGGCGGGTGATCGACTCGGCATTGGCCATCGAGACGCCGCTTGCCCCTCTCGGTCTCTTCCCCCCCTATCGCTGATGTGGACTGATGCCCTGTCGTGCATTGGACGTGAATAGCTAATCCTTCGTGTGTCTGGGACTTGCTAGCATCCTGCTCTCTTTCGCAAGGCAATATTCACCACCTCCTGCCTCTCCTGTCCCGAAAATCAAGCTCCAAACTTCTGGTGTTTCGACTGCCAAAAAAAAGTGAAGCGAGCTCGGGTCGACGTCATCAATACATCTCATCCGCTCCGTTTTTCCAAACCCCAGGACGCCGTCGACTTGCATCTTCTCGTCCTTTCCCTTCCCTCTTATACTTTCTACCATCATCTAAACCATCGCCAATATGTCGATGCCTGAGTTTGACCCGGCTCGTCGGCCCTCTCAGTCCGAGAACCAAACCATTCTCAAGTCCGAAATCCCGTTGAAGGAACGGTTCTTCCGCTATTTTCAGCATGAGATCACTGGTATGATTGAGCTGGTCCAGCTGATTACCTATGCTCTTTCCTCTTTTCAGAAGAGAGGAGTCTGACGCCTGTTCTTCCTGTAGCGCTCCAGGAACAGATGGATCGGCTGGCAGACACCTCGTTAGTGGGAGGAGAACGAACGGACGCAACCGATCACTGTCTGGCCGGCATTGCGCGCTTGTCCAACGAGGTCAAGGACGCGGCCAGCTATATCCCAACCTACGACCAGCGGATATATGCTGAGGTACACACTCTCGCGCCTGAGTACCGCTTGACATATTGACTTTTGCAGGCCATCAAAGCTCTGCAGGATAAACTCGTCGAAACCCGAGCTGCAGTCGAGCCACGACCCAAGTTTAGCTTCAAGACCAAGAAGAATGCCTCCGCCATATCGTTGTCCGATGCAGCGCATCTTGCCGCTCAGGGGCGACGCAGTATACCTGGGTTCCCCTCCCCTGACACATCTTCGGTCAGCTCGTCCGCGACACAAACCCCCATGTATCCGTCAACGCCTCTGAACGAGCCCGACAACCGCCTTCATCTACAAAGACCGGAGCTTGCCCCGACCTCTATCCCTGCCTTTACAATGGACGAAGATGAGGACAAGCCCAAGTCAGACGTAGGGGCTGGATTCGCCGCGACGGCGGTATCCTCAGTGTCCGTGAACAACCACCATAACCTGCACATCATGCTGCCGTCCTCAGGCTCGACCGCAACTGTGCCCGCGTCCATCACCCATCTCCGTCACTGTGTAGTCGACATGTCCATTCCCACTGCCAACGGAAAGCCATACACCAGTCTTACTATCAAGAGCGTCAAAGAAAGTCTGCTCGTTTGTGGCCAGATCAACGGCCCAGCCCATATCACTGGGGTAGAGAACAGCATTCTTGTGATTGACTGTCGGCAGTTCCGGATGCACGACTGCTCCAATGTGGACGTCTACCTCAGCTGCTCCAGCAACCCGATCATCGAGGATTGCAGCAATGTCCGATTCGGTCGGAAACCCCGTATTTACGTAGGTGGACACCCTGCAAATATATTTCGCTCTTACTAACTAAAAACAAAACCTAGACGCTCGATCACGATCGTCCCGATGACGAAGACCACTGGAGCCAGGTCGAAGACTTTAAATGGATCAAGCCGGAACCCAGTCCCAACTGGAGCCTGCTGGATGCCGAAGACGCCGTGCCGGAAGAAGTCTGGGCGGAGATTGTTCCGGGTGGACCAGGCTGGTCGCTGGATGATATTCTGCGAGCGATCAATATTTCATCTCATTAACCGATCGCTTTGTTGGTCACGAGCTGGTGGGGTTGGCGTCCGGTTTAACGAGTGTCAGTCGTGATTACTGTGCATTTAAATGCGAGGGGGACAAGCTAGGTAAACATATCTTATGTACCGGACTGGATTCCGCGACGCTGGTGTTGCTTCTGAAGTACTACTCTCTTCTCTTGAGTGGTGGTCGATTTATGGCAACTGGGTGCTATACCTGGTGAAGTCGCACACCACGGGTTTATCTATTAGGATTTCTTAGTATCCACCTCTCATATCTCAATTTAACTATTCAGTTTATTTGGTAGTAGTACAATTGTTTTTTAAAAGCACTGAAGGTGATGGCTGTAATCTAGTTGTAGTAGTGATGATACTAACTGCTGAAGTACTGTGTCCGTCATCGTCATTTACCCGCAAATATATATTCATAGGAAATAGTATGACCACCACTCACCGTCCCACAACTTTTGTAGAACTTTAGAATCTAGAAACGAACTCTAAACGCCAACACCTGGTTATCAAGATTATACCCCGAGCCGTCTGCATACCTGAACCGACCGAAATTCATGTGCCCTAGACGCTACTTGTTAGCCACCTTAAACCAACTCAGAAGACCAGCAAAGTAAACCAAGAAAAAGAGAGAGGGCCGACTCACCATCCTGCGTAATAAAATCATTATCACTAATACTGAACAAGAAATAGTCCTTCTCCCCATTACCACCACTACTATCCTCCGTATCGGGATTCACCGGAACAAGGGCCAAACTCTCCCACTTCTCATTCAACAGCCACCGATCCTGCTCTCCACCATTATGCAAACCAAACTTCGCCAATTGCCCGGGGACATTATAATCCAAAAAGGAGCAGTACTCTGCGGGTGGGATACCATCATGTAGGATACCTTTATCAGAGGCGATGGTTCCATTAGGGGCATCCACACCCCTCAGGTTCTTCAGGTCCGTCGTAGTATTAGTTGAGATGTGAAAGATATCAGCATGTCGATACACGGACAGAGAATCACTCTGTCCGTGCCCGAACCCAGAGTCTCTCGCTAATATGAGGAAGTCACCTGTCGGGAGGAGATGGATCTCCGATTGTGCGGCGACGATATCATGACCTTTCTCGGGATTATAGTATTTCGGGAGGGTTACCACATACTCCGCTTCATAGACGGCGTCTACTCCGGAGGAATTCGAAATATCATACTGCAGTAACCGAGCTTGATCGCGGTATTTCTTCTTCAGCCCCCCTTCCTGGTTCAGCGCGGATTGGAGCAAAGTATACAACTTCTTCCCATCGGATGAGATCGTCAATCCCTCGAATCCCTGATTATTATCCCTCCCTGTTGAGGGATCTTCAGGGATGGGTACAAGCTCCGCATCATAGATAGGCGGACTATCCGCGCTGAAGCTGAGTGTGTTATTCCTCCGAGGGAGATACGCCTGGGGCGGTTGAATGGCGTAGACCATGCGGCCGGTCCGCTTGTCGAATTTGTATACGTAGGGTCCGTATTCATCTGACACCCAGATGTGCGCTGGGTCGTGGGCTGGTAAGGCGAGCCCTTCGGCGTCGAGGGGGATGCGGTGTCCGCCTGGGCCCGGGCCGCCGAAGCCGTCGCCGGGGTAGGTGGCTATTGGGAGAGGGGGGAAGTTGGGGTACTTGGTGGTTGTGGTAGTTGTGTTGGTGGTGGTGGTGATAGCGTCGAGGCCGGTGAGGGGTGCGTTGTCGGGGCCGGTGAGGAGGAGGGTGTCGAGGTAGTGCAGGTGGATGTTGGGTGGGGATGGGTGGGTGGCGGATGCATTGGGGGATAGTTGGAGGGTGAGGTTGAACGTGTGGATGCGTGGTTGGAAGTTGAGGGTGCCGTTGGTGTTCCTGGTGTGGGAGACGTTAGTGAGGTGTGTTATGAGAGGGGAGGGGTGAGAGGATGTACCAGCCGCGATCTGGGAGACAGTAGATGATGCCGGTGTAAGTATCGGGGCTGGTTCGTTGCCAGGTGGAGAGGTCAAAGGCAGCGGAACTGCCAAAGCCGCCCATTGTGTCGCCATATTTGTCTGTGGCGTTGGAGGGCACGAAGCCGTAGCCTTCGAGGCCCGTGTAGCTGTACGTAGTGCTGCCGCAGGTGGTTTGGTTGACGATGTTGGAGAAAGAAGCAAAAGAGGAAGAGGGAAGGGCTGCCACTGCAGAGGGCAGCATGGGGAGGAGAGAGTGGACTCGCATATTGCGGATGGATGAATTGTGTTTAGATCCAATCATGAAGTGGTGGGGGAGATGCAAGAATTAATACTTTACCGTGCTATGTGTGCAAGTGAGATGAGATCAATGGACACCGGCCGGAAAACGCTGTGACAGGCACCATCTGATACCAATGCCCTGAAAATACATTCCGATGATCAGCAAGGGTTATCAGATTGAGACAACTCGAGCTGCAGGAACGTGGGCGCATCGATGCATGCGATTTGCTCTACAGACGGACTAGCCGAACCCGAGGGATTTAGCAGTATCCAGCGCCAGCCAATACCAGCTTCTCTACGGGCTTTACAGTCAGGATGGCTACTCAAACCCGAGTCATGTCATTTCATTTCATCTATCATATCCTGGTAGGCATACTTTGTTTGCGTTCGTCAAGACATTTTAGCTTTTCATTCGCTGTTCCAGGTCGTCGGCACTTTGGGATAGTTCTTCGCATCCAATCCTAGATCTTCATAGATGGTGTCGTCGCCTAAACACAAGTTAGTCATCCGACCACAACACAGGCTTGACAACTTACCCCGTAGAGCTTCAATCCGCTCTTCATTCTCCTGCCCCAGCTTCTCCAATTCTTCTCCGGGCTGTGCTTCGTTGGCCTGCTTACCGCCCTCTTCGGCTGTCGCGGCCTTGCCCAGGTCGTCGGTGGCCTCACCAATCATCAGGAACTGCGCGTTGGGGTAGTCAATGAATTCTGGCTGCAACGGGACCCAACGGTAGTCGCCGAACTTCTCGCGTATACTATGTTAATTAGCAGTGCTTTTCAGCATGAAATGCGGTGGTGGCTATCATGTACCTTTCAGGATACTCGGGGTCCTTTTGAATTTGAGCATAGGATGGGCCAGGGTATTTAGGATTCTTCGACTGTATAACCCAGCTGCCCCGAGAATGCAAACCAAAGTCTTCCTGAATAGATCCAATAGTCTCCGGAATGGTCAAAATATAAGCCAAGTGAGACGCCCGAGTTGTAGATGTGATCGCGTAGACGCCCTCGGCAAACGGTCTGGCTTCGGGAACAGTTCGTTCGCCACGGGTAGACGTTTCGTACGTATCGCCAGCGATGAAGCTCTCTTGAAGCGACTTCATACTGTGTCCAGCCTTTTCGACGAATCCCATGTCCCGTTCTTTGCCAGAGGTGGGAAACTTCTTCTTGGGCAGCATCAGTAGCCGGCACTTTGCGCCAGGCTCCACAGAGCCCTGCTGTTGGTTCAATGTGGCGCCAATGGGTGTTGGTCTCAGCACCAGGAAGCTGCGGGCAACATCGCTAACGCTTTGCGGGTCTGTCACATTTACGCGCGGTCGGTAGAAGAAATAGACAATTCCCTTTTCGAGTACATTTGATGCGACCTTCTCCTCCCGCTCCTGTGACGTCTTGACGCCGGTTTCGGCGCCGTCAGCAGCAGGAGCGGGTTTCTCCTCGGATTTCTCCTCTGGCTTGGTGTCTGGCTCTGCATCGCGCTTCTCCTCACTCTTTTCCTCCGGCTTCTGCTCTACATTCTGCTCTGGCTTCTCCTCGGGCTCGTTCGGCTTTTGTTTATCCTCGGCTTTGTCGGCGGGCTCAGATGGCGCCGCTGCGGGCTCTTCGTCCGTCTTCTGCGGTTCTTCCTTCTCCGCAGGCTTCTCAGGCGCTTCCTCTGGCTTTGACTCTGGCTTTTCCGGCTCCTCCGCACGTTCTGATTTCGTCAGCATCGAACCTCGATACATTGACTGTGCGCCATACCTTCTGTGGTCTTCACTTCGTCCTCTGTTGCGGGCTGCTGATCCTTCTCGGGCTTTACCTTGTCATCCTCCTTTTTCCCTTTCTTCGGTGCCGGACCCTTGTCAGTGGTTTCCTTGCGCTTTGCGCCAGCAGGACCTCGGCTCTTGACATCAGGAGCAGCCGCAATGGCTTCCTTTGCCTTCTGAGCAGCTTGACGGGTGGACGTTCTAGTAGCGGCCATTGTAGCAATATTTGTCAATTTTTTGAATACTCAATAGGCCAATTGAGAAGAAATGCACACAGGGACCGCGAGCAGAAATGAATGGGCGAGGGGCATGAACGATCGACTCGTGGTCGCCAATGGAAGTCGTTGAGATTCGCCGGATATGGCGATGAGAACCGCGTGACGTCATACAGGGTCCAGCCCGTTCTGGCTAGCGCCGCGTCAACTACGTCACGTGTTGCATATAGATTCGGAGAATTGAAGACGAAAAGGATGAGGTGCGATGTCAATCTCCCGTAGGAATATCACTCATTCATCTAGATCCATTGCATCGGCATCGGTGTGACTGGAAGGCTGAGTTCCACTGTCATCCGTAGACGGAGACCTTGAACTGTAACCCCCCGACGATCCGGTCTCACTGCTGTCATGCTGCCAAAACATCCCTGGGGACAAATGATCCTTCGTGCATCTGCCTTTTCGGCGCCTCCTCTTGGGACCATCATTGGACTCGTCACGTTGAGCATTGGGTATAGAGCCGGAAGATGACTGTCGCGATGGTCGAGATGTACCTGTTGCCGTCGTGGAAGGCTTTCTTTTCTTCCCTCTCGTCTGGCTAGCGCTTTGGTCTGAGTCGCACTGGAGCCCCTCCATCGAGTCCACCAGCTCTCCCTGCCACATCTCCGACTCATCTCCAACAAGTAAGCGTATCACCGGCTTGCCCGTCGTCCGTCCTGCAGTCTCGGCAGGTTCGTCGTCTGGCTCCTCGATAGAATACGGTAGAACTACATCCGTATTCGCCTCATGTCTATGAGTGGACGGTGAATCCCCTTCCAGAGGAACTGTACCTGCTCCAGACGAGTTCCCTGAAATGCTCTGGGTGTTGCGTGGCTGAGATGTAGATGCCCCTGGCCCATCGTGCGGTCGAAGAAACGTAGGGGGGCTTTCACTTTCGAGAATCTCTGTCATCCTGTCTCAGCCAAAATCCAAAAGAGCGAATCTTGTATGGACAAATTCGCCCTGCTGAAGGTTAGCTGCTGCTCTGTAGAGCGTTTCGCAAACCACGCATGCGCTGCGGGATAGAAACGACGATGATTCAATAGTGTATAGAGTCACAAGTTGACGCTTTTCCATTGATATAAATGTACGAACATATGAGGGAAACGGAAATTCACAATAACAGCTTCAAACGCTTGTTGTAACAGACAAAAACATGACCAAGATAAGAGGAATCGTGTCGGATTCCATTCTGAGGGGACCAGAGGAGGGACGGACCCGACGGGGGAGATCCCGAAGAACCATCGAGAAGGGGAGAGTGAGATCACACTCGAATAACCTCCGGTGAACTCCACTCGAACCGGGGTGAAGGAGGGAGAAATGCAGCTTGACTAAGTCCCCCAAGTAAACTAACTAGTCAACCATAATCGCCTCCCCAGAATGTAAGAGAGGGTCTAAAAGAAGTGCCTGGCAAGCTGTTCACCGCCGGGCCCATCATTGGCCCGCGGGACTCGCTTATTGGCTGCGACACAATAAGTCCACGTTTACCGCCATCCAAGACGGAACCACCAGCTGCCCAGAGTGACTGAGTCCAGACACTCCGAACTCCCCCGTCTTCCCCCCTTTGCCCATTCTCTCCCGCCGTTGTTGTGGATGCGGTGGTCGCCTTTCTGACCTCTTTTAATACCTGTGTGCGGAGCTTGCTTCTCTATGGTGCGGCTCCGGCCAACCCTCCTTCAACATGCAGTCCTCCCCAAACATGCTCACCAAGGTCCGCTATCCCCTCCCCATTGCCAGCCCCCCCTATCGCCGCGGAGCTGTTGCTCCTCTCACGAACAGGAACTAATCGTCATCCTCTTTAATAGTTTGAATCCAAATCCTCCCGCGCGAAGGGAATTGCCTTCCATCCCAAGCGGTTAGTGGACAATTGTCCCGTTCAACGCGTCGCAAACGAAGCCCGGCTGACCCTCGAACAGGCCATGGATCCTAGTATCCCTTCATTCATCAACCATCCAATTATGGGATTACCGCATGGGAACCCTCATTGATCGCTTCGAAGAACACGATGGCCCCGTTCGTGGCATTGACTTCCACCCGACACAGCCCCTCTTCGTCTCCGGAGGTGACGACTACAAGATCAAGGTCTGGAACTACCAGACCCGCCGTTGCATGTTCACACTGAATGGCCATCTGGACTACGTGCGGACGGTATTCTTCCACCATGAGCTGCCATGGATTCTTTCGTGTTCGGACGATCAGACCATCAGAATCTGGAACTGGCAGAACCGCTCCTTGAGTAAGTAGGAATCTGGCCACCTGTCCCGAGGGGTGCTGACAATGGCTTTACAGTCTGCACCATGACCGGCCACAACCACTATGTGATGTGCGCGCAGTTCCATCCTACCGAAGATCTCATCGCCTCCGCCTCCTTGGACCAGTCGGTTCGCATTTGGGATATTTCGGGTTTGCGGAAGAAGCACTCGGCCCCGACGTCCATGTCCTTCGAAGATCAGATGGCCCGCGCCAACCCCGCCCAGGCAGATATGTTCGGAAACACTGATGCGGTGGTGAAGTTTGTTTTGGAGGGTCACGACCGGGGTGTCAACTGGGTGTCTTTCCACCCGACTCTGCCCCTGATTGTCTCCGCGGGTGACGATCGTCTTATCAAGCTGTGGAGGATGAGTGGTACGTCAAGATACTTGTTGGAAAATTGGTATATCAGGCTGACATGGATGTATAGACACAAAGGCATGGGAAGTTGACACTTGCCGTGGACATTTCCAGAATGCGTCTGCTTGTCTGTTCCACCCACACCAGGACCTGATCCTATCTGTCGGTGAGGACAAGACTATCCGGTGCTGGGATCTGAACAAGCGCACGTCCGTCCAATCGTTCAAGCGCGATCTGGACCGCTTCTGGGTTATTGCTGCTCACCCGGAAATCAACCTGTTCGCCGCTGGTCACGACACCGGTGTCATGGTGTTCAAGCTGGAACGTGAGCGTCCTGCCTCGGCCGTCTACCAGAACCAGCTCTTCTATATCACCAAGGAGAAGCACGTCAAGTCGTATGACTTCGCCAAGAACGTCGAGACCCCTCCTATGCTGTCCTTGCGCAAGCTCGGCTCCCCCTGGGTGCCGCCTCGTACCCTCTCGTACAACCCCGCTGAGCGTGCCATCCTGGTCACCTCTCCTACTGATGGTGGTGTGTACGAGCTGATCCATCTCCCGCGGGATGCTACTGGTGCCGTTGAACCCACGGATGTCAAGCGCGGCCAGGGCTCTTCTGCTGTCTTTGTTGCGCGCAACCGATTCGCCGTCTTCAGCCAAGGCAACCAGCAGGTGGACATCAAGGACCTAAGCAACTCGACCACGAAATCGATCAAGCCTCCGGCTGGCACAACCGACATCTACTTTGGCGGTACTGGTTGCCTGCTCTTCATCACGCCCACCAACGTCGTTCTCTTTGACATCCAGCAGAAGAAGCAACTGGCGGAGCTGGCTGTGAGCGGTGTCAAGTACGTTGTCTGGTCTAACGACGGCCTTTACGCTGCCCTGCTCAGCAAGCACAACGTCACCATCGTGACCAAGTCCCTCGAGCAGGTGAGCAGCTTGCACGAAACCATCCGGATCAAGAGCGCAGCCTGGGATGACGCTGGCGTCCTTCTCTACTCCACCTTGAACCACGTTAAATACTCCCTTCTGAACGGGTTTGTCTCCTTTCTTCATGATTAAAATGGGTTGCATACTGACAATGTCACAGTGACAATGGTATCATTCGCACTTTGGATCAGACAGTCTACCTCGTCAAAGTCAAGGGCCGCAATGTCTACTGCCTGGATCGTAATGCCAAGCCTCGCGTTCTGGAGATTGACCCTACCGAGTACCGCTTCAAGCTTGCTCTTGTCAAGAGGAACTACGATGAAATGCTACAGATTATCAAGACCTCAAGCTTGGTCGGTCAGAGTATCATTTCCTACCTGCAAAAGAAGGGGTACCCGGAGATTGCGCTGCAGTTCGTACAAGACCCTCAGACCCGCTTCGAGCTTGCGCTGGAGTGCGGCAACCTGGAGGTGGCTATTGAGATGGCTAGGGAACTCGACCGTCCTAAGTTGTGGAGCAGACTCGGAGCCGAGGCTCTGGCTCACGGTAACCACCAGACGGTTGAGATGTCCTACCAGAAGCAAAGAAACTTTGACAAGCTGTCTTTCTTGTACCTCGCCACTGGTGACCAGGAGAAGCTGTCGAGAATGGCCAAGATCGCCGAACACCGTGGTGATTTCACCTCGCGCTTCCAGAACGCCATCTACCGCGGCGACGTTGAAGATCGGATTCAGATGTTCAAGGAAGTTGACCAATGTAAGTTTTCTCCAAAGCATTATGATGATTTCTTGCTAAAAAGTGAAAGACCCCCTCGCATACCTCACCGCCAAGTCTCACGGTCTGACGGAAGAGGCTGAGTCAATCCTTGAAGCCTGCGGGCTCACAGAGGACCAGATCACCCTTCCCTCTGTCGACGAACCTGCGCGGGTCCCCCATCCGATCGTTCCTACCTTCAAGTCGAACTGGCCCGTCAAGGCTGCTGGCCATTCCTCTTTCGAGAAGGCCCTGCTTGGAGAGGTTGGTGCCGGCGACGAGGAGGCTGCGGCGATCGAGTTTGAGCCCGAGGAGGAGGACGAGGCTATTACTGCGCGCGATACCCTCGAGGATGAGGAAGAGGATGTCGCTGGCTGGGATATGGGAGATGAGATCAATGTCGAGGAGGACGTTGACTTCGTGAACGTGGACAGCGCAGAGGCCGGTGCGGGCAGTACCGAGGCCGACCTGTGGGCTCGCAATTCCCCTCTGGCAGCCGACCATGTCGCCGCTGGCTCTTTCGAGACTGCTATGCAACTGCTTAACCGTCAGGTGGGTGCGGTCAACTTTGCCCCTCTCAAGCCGCGGTTCTTGGAGGTGTACAAGGCCTCCAAGACTTTCCTCCCGGCCTCCGCTGGCCTGCCCCCGTTGGTCAACTATGTCCGCCGCACCGTCGACGAGACGGATAGCCGCAAGGTCCTGCCTATCATCCCCAAGGACCTGGAGACGATCGCCAACGTGGATCTGCAGGAGGGTTACGCCGCCATGCGGGCCAACAAGCTGGAAGATGGCGTGCGGATTTTCCGCAACATCCTGAACTCCGTTCTGGTCAACACTGTCTCGTCCGAGGCGGAGGTTGAGCAGGCGAAGAAGATCGTTGAGACCGCTCGGGAATACATCCTGGCCATGTCCATTGAATTGGAGCGCCGTTCCATCCCCACCGATACCCCCGACAACCTCAAGCGAAGCCTCGAGCTTTCCGCTTACTTCACGATCCCCAAGCTGGAGGTTGCACACCGGCAATTGGCGCTTATGGCTGCTATGAAGCTGGCGTTTGCTAACAAGAACTACTCTTCGGCCCTCAGCTTTGCCAACCGCATGCTGGCTAACGGTGGCTCGCCCAAGCTCCTGGAACAGGTAAGCCATATGCATTTGCTCCCCTTTAATGAACTTCCATACTAACCCACCAAACAGGCTAGGAAGATCAAGGCGCAGTGCGAGCGCAGCCCGCAAGACAAGATCGACATCGAATTCGATCAATTTGCCGAGTTCGATATCTGCGCTGCCTCGTTCACACCGATCTACGGCGGCTCGCCGAGCGTGTCGGACCCGTTCACGGGCGCCAAGTACCACGAGCAGTACAAGGGCACTGTGTGCCGGATCTCGCAGGTGACGGAAATCGGTGCGCCGGCCAGCGGGCTGCGGCTGTTCGTCCCGGGTCAGTACTGAGGATGATGACGAGATGTGACGGCTTTCCTTTTTCTTTCTTCACGCTTGTAATTCCCCGTCTCAATAGAAATGGGCTTTCTCTGGTGGGGAAAAGGGAGGATGGATTCTGGTTGGGGAGGCAGGTTGGCGCCATGGCTGGAGGAAGCTCCTGCTTTGGATTGTCCCGATGTGTGAAATTCATAATTCCAGCGACGTTAGTATATTCATTCATCTATTTATTGTTATTGATGTTGTTTTGAGATATTTCTATTATTTTCTTCTCATTCTTCATTTCTATTGCAAAACTGTTCTTGTACAGATAAAGAGGTGAGATAGTATTATCATATCATATCAAATCATGATCGGAGATGAGATGAGACAGACACAGAGTAGAGATGTCCATCACCCCAGCAGTTAGTAGTCAGTATAATATACAGTAGTAGACCCCTCCCACCCATTCCACCATATCGCCATATCCAAAGGTAGCAGTAGTCTATATCTATCATCTATTCATACACACCGCACACATGCAACAAAATAAATCACTCACACCTTCCATCCCCCCACCCCTTCCTCCACCTCTCCTCCCAAAACCGACAATCAAACTCACTCTTCCCCAACTTGCGATTCACCTCATTATGCGCCCTACACATCCAATCCCCGAATTCCTTCCGTCCACCCAACCTCGGCTGGTTCTCCCCACTCGGCTCCGCCATCCAAGCCCGGAAGTCCTCCGCACACACCCAGCATGGATACAGCTTCGAGAATATCCCCAGGAACTGGCGCATCTCGGATTGTTGTTCGCTTGACGCTTGCGCGGGGTACGAGGCTGTCAACGAGTGCAGGAAGGTCCAGGTGGAGCGGCCGAGGGCTTCCGAGTCTGGTGGGCAGTCAGTGTAGCCTGGAGTGGTGGCGAGGGTCTTCGGGATGGTGCTGGCGGTGCTTGTGGTGGTGGAGGGGGTGGATTTGGCTTGTTTGGTGAGGGCGCGCCACGAAGCGGCGGAGGTGCAGAGGCGACATCTGTTGTTGGTAATTCCGTTAGTAAGGGGGATATGGAGTATGGGGAGTGGAGAGGAGGTCGTACGGCTTCCCGTCTTTGTCGAGGATGACTCCGTTGGGGAGTTTGGTCATGCCTGCGGGGACGGAGTCATCTTTTGCCGCTGTCGCTGTTGCTGGGGCTTGTTGTTGGGTAGAGGAGGAAGGTGTAGCGGGTTGTTGCTGTTGTTGGTGAATGAAGAGATGTTTTGGCATTTCTGGTGGTGTCGTTGTGTCTGCCATTGTGGTCTATGTAGGTGGTGATTGATGCTGGTGGAGGATGAGGATATTCAGACCCGTTGCGGAGAAGAAGTAGGAAGTAGGGCAGAGTAGTATCAAGTCAATTCGGAAGAGTAGTATGTACACGGAATGGTCTGATCTCTGAGCCGAGCAAAGATACGAGAGAGCAATGTCTGCGACAGAGCTTAAGAGCCAAATCCTGGGGAATTGAAAAGTAGTTGATTGGTAATGCAGCAAAAGAATGTCTCCGTCGAATCCCTCCGGCTTCTAGAATTGCCATGTGCCTGCTTTGTCAGCCGAGTTATCTCCGCTCCGCCTGTGCCTTGCCTCGAACAGTGGAATGATGGGGACATCCAAGCTTCGTGAATCCGTACACTCTGATTGATCGACAGATTATCTTGTTCTTTTCGCGTCAGCACGCGTTTCAGCTTGATTTTTCAAGTTCTAATAATTAAGCTTCTGTGCCTGACGAAATTATCAAAGTGCTGCTAGAACGCGATCGGTAAGTTATCGAGCTAGCTAATTAACTAGCGCCGCGTCCCCTCCTGCTAGGTACCACGCGACAGTTGACGTTATCGCACCGGAACCCCATCCACCCCATACACATATACAAGCACAATGGCGCCACGATACGCCCTTTCGAGCTCCGAGCCCGAGTCGGAAGCTGAATCAGCGTCCGGTCGGCCTGCCGATGATGCCTTGGAGCAGGCACTGCGTGATGCGGTTACAAAAGTGTACAAGTCGGGCAAGATGGAGGAATTGACAGTGAAGCGGGTGCGGCTGGCTGCGGAGAAGGCGCTGGAGCTAGAAGAGGGCTTTTACAAGACTCAGGGGGATTGGAAGACAAGGAGTGAGCAAATTATTAAGGACCAGGTGGTGAGTTGGCAGCTTTTCTATTCTGTCATAGTGTGCGATGGCTAAGGTGTATGATGTTTGTGGAGATCATCTACTGACTTGCTGATGTATACAGGAGGAGGAAGAGAAAGCTACACAGGAACCCGTGTCGGATGACCAGGAAGATGCCGCGTCATCTGCTTCCGAAGACGCAAAGCCTGCCAAACGAACGAGACCAGAGAAGCCATCTGCATCGCGCAAGCGCCAGAAGAAGAGCGCTTCGGTATCTGATGGTGGAGATGCAGCCAACGGGTCACCATACGAGGAGGAAGACAAGGTAGAAAAGCTCCCGAAGAAACAAACCAAAGCAGCACCAAAGAAGCAGCCATCGCCCAAGGCTTCAGAGGACTACGTTCATGATTCCGACGAGGAGGAAGTAGAAAAGCCGAAGAATGCTGAAGAAACACCAAAGGATGACTCAGAGAGCGAACTTTCAGTTGTCCTGGACGAGGAGCCCAAACCGAAGCCGAACCGCAAGCGGCAGAAAAGCGCCGAGGGACCCCCACGCAAAGGCAGGAAACAGACAACGGCAAAGGGAAAGGATTCGGATATGGACCCGAACCAGGCGGAGATTAAGCGGTTGCAAGGTTGGCTGTTGAAGTGCGGGATCCGCAAGATGTGGGCACGGGAGCTGGCTCCCTACGATACGCCCAAAGCGAAGATCAATCATCTCAAGGGCATGTTGAAGGACGCGGGCATGGAGGGGCGCTATTCGGTTGAGAAAGCCAATCGAATCCGCGAGGAGCGTGAACTCAAAGCTGATCTGGAGATGGTCCAAGAAGGAGCCAAGCGATGGGGTAAAGAAAGCGCCAGCGAGAACAGTGATGATGGTCAACCAAAGCGGCGGCTGAATCGCGGGCGGAAGAGTCTGGCCTTTTTAGAGAGCGAGGGAGAGGAAACGGACTGAGATGGTGAATAACGATCGATGTGCGGGTTGCTGCATGATTTAACTGTCGCAGTATCTGCCTGGCGCAGGCTGTGGGTCGTAATGATACTCGAGATAATCGAATAATCCGTGTTGGCAATCGCGCCTCATTTCCCAGATTTTGTCCCGCCCATACGTTGAGCCACCAGACTGAAAACGGCGACGGAAGAGATGAAGAGGACAAGGTTGTAGAACTGTATAGCATCCCAGTCAATAAATGGGGATCACTGTAAAGCGACAGCTAGCGAGAGCTTACCGCTGTTCTGGAGTACTCGTTCTCTTCCGCCTCTGTCCTAGCCTCGACAAAGAGGCGTCGGAGATTAGGGAGATTGGCCTAGAATATAGCTATTAGCAGTAGGCTCTTGAAAAGTAAATCTAAGTGACTTACCATAGCACTTGGAGCAAATAACGGTGCTGTGACAGGAGATTGAAAGAAAGACGGGAGGCGGTGGTGGTGATGGGGGGAACCCAACCTGGGGAAGAAAGAGAGCGGCTCAGGTTAGTGTTGGGTCCAGACACTCGCTCGCTCAACTCCCTGATTGTATCTGTCCTCCTTCCACTTCCTGCCCGGCCCTCCAGCTCCCCTCCCATCAACCTCCCTCTTCCCTCCCTTAGGGTCTGTTTTCTTTACTTCCTTTCTTCTCTTCTTTCGACCTTGTCTTGTTTCTTTTTACTCGTCCGACCATCCTCTGCCGGATTGCTGCCGTGTCCGGTTCTCCCTGAAGCTCTCGCCGCCTCGCATTAATTCCCCGCAGTCTCCTGCATTTCCACTTCCGATCCCATCTGGTTCTGCGGAGGCGCGACCCCGTCGTCGCTGAAGCCCGGTTTCGCTCAGCATGGCTATGAATAGGATAAGGGGGGCCTTTGCGGTCCCCAGAAAAGGAGAGACCTTCGAATTGCGAGCTGGTCTTGTGTATGGTGTCCCCCGTACCCGATCGGTGACCGACATGGTGCTGACCTCCCGACAGATCTCAGTATGCATATGAACGGTACGTCGACATAGCTCTGCTTATGCGGAGACGCCGTTAGCCCATAATACATTATCTGATGCGCGCACAGGAAGGAGTCTATCCAAAAGACCATCATGGCCATGACGTTGGGCAAGGATGTTTCCGCTCTGTTCCCGGATGTCCTCAAGAACATTGCGACCAATGATCTCGAGCAGAAGAAACTAGTATACCTCTATCTCATGTGCGTATTCGCTCGTTATCTTATTATTCGATCTCTACTGAACACTCGCTGCGTAATAGGAACTACGCCAAATCTCACCCGGACCTTTGCATTCTCGCCGTCAACACCTTCGTTCAAGACTCCGAAGACCCGAACCCCCTGATCAGGGCCCTTGCGATCCGGACAATGGGATGTATCCGTGTGGACAAGATGGTGGATTATATGGAGGAGCCCCTTCGCAAGACCCTCCGCGATGAGTCGCCGTATGTCCGCAAGACTGCCGCGATCTGTGTAGCGAAGCTCTTCGACCTGAACCCCGCGATGTGCCTGGAAAATGGCTTCCTTGAGATGCTGCAAGAGATGATTGGGGATCCTAACCCCATGGTGGTCGCCAACTCCGTTACCGCACTGTCAGAAATCTACCATGCTGCCCCTGAAACGCAAGCCCTCAAGGTGACCTCCAACACACTGCGCAAGCTTCTCATGGCCTTGAACGAGTGCACGGAATGGGGTCGGGTCACTATTTTGACTACTCTGGCCGAGTACAGAACCAATGAAGTGACTGAATCTGAACACATTTGCGAAAGGGTTTCTCCCCAGTTCCAACATGCCAACCCAAGTGTTGTCCTGGCGGCAGTTAAGGTGGTTTTCCTTCACATGAGGAACGTCAACTATGAGCTGGCGAAAACCTATCTGAAGAAGATGGCTCCCCCGCTAGGTAAGATAATCTTTGATTCTGCTGACTGACTGGCTCGCTGATGTATTATGTTCAGTCACGCTGGTGTCGTCCGCGCCCGAAGTCCAATATGTGGCTCTACGGAACATTGATTTATTGCTACAGAAGCAACCGGATATTCTTAACAAGGAACTCCGGGTCTTCTTCTGCAAGTACAATGACCCGCCGTACGTCAAGTTCCAGAAGCTAGAGATCATGGTCCGCATAGCGAATGACCGCAACGTCGACCAGCTCCTGGCCGAGCTGAAGGAGTACGCGCTGGAGGTGGACATGGACTTTGTGCGCCGTGCTGTCAAAGCGATCGGTCAGGTTGCCATCAAGATCGAGAGCGCCAGCGAAAAGTGTGTCAACACCTTGCTGGACCTCATTAATACCAAGGTAAATTATGTGGTGCAGGAGGCGATCGTGGTCATCAAGGACATCTTCCGCAAATATCCCGGCTACGAAGGAATTATCCCCACACTGTGCAAGTGCATCGACGAACTGGATGAGCCCAATGCACGAGCTGCGCTTATCTGGATTGTTGGTCAGTATGCGGAGAAGATCAGCAACGCGGGTGACATTCTTGCTGGTTTCGTGGAAGGCTTCAATGAAGAGTTCTCTCAGGTTCGTTTATTGTTCTCTGTAAGCCTCTCGGCCAATTGCTAATTCATTGTGCAGACCCAGCTGCAGATCTTGACCGCCGTTGTCAAGCTCTTCCTCAAGCGGCCCGAGAAGGCTCAGGGGCTTGTCCAGAAAGTGCTGCAGGCGGCCACGGCTGAAAATGACAACCCCGATGTCCGCGATAGGGCTTACGTCTATTGGCGCTTGCTGTCTAACACGAGCGACCCCAATGCTACTAAGAACATCGTGCTCTCTGACAAACCGCCGATCGTCACCACAATCCAGTCTCTTCCCCCGAATCTGCTCGATCAGCTACTGGGTGAACTGTCCACCCTCGCATCTGTCTACCACAAGCCCCCGGAGCAATTCGTCGGACAGGGCAGATTCGGTGCAGATGCAGTACAAAGAGCTGCTATCGAGTATGTCCCATCCTCGCTTCACAATGCTGGTGTCTCGGAATCCGCGCTAATGAACATCCTAGGGAACAAATCCAAAACGCTCGGGAGAATCCGTTGGCAGCTGCGGCGGCAGCAGCTGCGGTTACTGGCAGTGCTCCACCTCCGCAGTCCCAGAGCAATGTCGAGAATTTGCTGGATATCGACTTCGATGGCACTGCGCCGGCATCCGCTCAGAAAGAACCGGGTGGTGGGATGTCAGGTCTCGAAGGTCTGGCCGGAACGCCCGTCCGGGTGGAATCTCCGGCCGCAGGGGCACCTTCTGGAAGCAACAACCTGGACGACCTGCTCGGAGTGTTTGGCGATGGCGCTGCAGCCGCTCCGGCCAGCGGGAGCGGCGCTCCCAATGGTGGTGCAGCAGACTTGATGAATGGCTTTGAGGGGCTGGACCTGTCTGGAGGTGGCATGGCCTCACCACCCCCTGGAGGAAGCCAACCGAAGAAGACAAATGAGGATATCATGTCGTTATTCTAAGCGCGATGAGCCATGCCTGTATGATGGCGCACGAGTTCGTATAGCTGAATCAGAGGTGCGGGAAGGTTGAGCCAAAAGCACACATAATTCTGTTGATGCATGCCGAATATAGATCTATTTTCGTTCTTCAAACTTTGGGTCTATTTTGAAACTAGTCTTGTCATTCTGCTCTCTTCACTGTTTGTTATTTTTGGTGTTTCCGCCTACCTGTATATCCATCCCATCTCCGAGCTTGATGAGCATCGATCTATTCTACGTATCCCTTACTTAATTTCCATTCTCTTTTCCCGGTCAACGCATTCCTGGAAACTTTTACCACCTTTAGGGGACTTGCTAACTTTGCATCCATTCAGTCTAGCGGGGATTTAGCGATGGTAGTTGGTCGGAACCGAAATCCTCCCTTGTCCGGGTGAGTCACAGCAGCTCACCTCGCCTGGACTTCTGGCTGATTGTGAGCCACCATAAATAGTCCGGCCATTCTCATGGCTTTCATCGCTATTCTCAGACTGTAATTCGTTGACCTCCTTTCACTACCGTGCAATGGATCAAATAAAGAAAACTTTCGCCCGGTGCGCGCAGGAGGGCCGCCCAGCCCTGGTGACTTATGTCACGGCTGGCTTCCCCACAGCAGCAGAGACTCCAGATATTATGCTTGCGATGCAGGCTGGAGGAGCAGGTATGCAATAATCTTTAGCCCGTAGAAGCGACAACATTCACCGGTGTACTAACGATGTGGTAGATGTCATTGAACTCGGTCTCCCCTTCACGGACCCTATTGCCGACGGCCCAACCATCCAGATGTCGAACCTTAAGGCACTCGACAATGGTGTCACCATATCCTCCATGTTCCAGATGGTCCAAGCTGCTCGTCAGAGAGGCCTTCATGTTCCTGTTCTCTTTATGGGTTACTATAACCCGATTATGCGTTACGGGGAATCCGAACTGCTCGCTGCGAGCAGGACAGCCGGGGTGGATGGTTTCATCATTGTCGATCTACCTCCTGAGGAAGCTGTTCGGTTCCGGAACCAGTGTAGGGCTGCTGGGTTAGTGTCACCTCTTTGACATCAATCCTTAACGCAACCCGGCGTTGTTCAATCATCTACTGACATGTATTCCTCGGAGCAGTCTGTCCTACGTCCCATTGATAGCCCCGTCGACCACAGAGGAACGCATGAGAACACTCTGCGGAATTGCCGACTCTTTCATATATCTCGTGTCCAGGATGGGTGTTACAGGTGCTACTGGCACTTTAAGCCACGAGCTCCCGGAATTGATGAAGCGCGTGAAGCATCTCTCCGGCGGAGTACCGGTGGCTGTCGGCTTTGGCGTTAGCACCCGTGAACATTTTCTCGGCGTCACATCTATCGCAGACGGTGCCGTCATCGGTAGTGAGATAATCACCCAGCTGGCGAACGCCCCTGCAGGCCAGGGTGCCGCTGTCATCCAAGACTACTGCTCTCAGATTACCTGTCGGACGGTCGAGCCAATCGAACCTCACTCTGTCCCAACTAATGCTGAACCATCTTCGTCATCGGCAACCCTTCCTACCTCAGAGCAGTCAACAGAAGCATCCAAGCCCGGCCGCTTCGGCACCTTTGGCGGCCAATACGTGCCAGAAGCCCTAACGACATGTCTCAACGAACTAGAAGCCGGGTTTAATGCCGCCATCGACGACCCAACCTTCTGGGCTGAATACCGTTCCTACTACCCTTATATCGGGCGGCCCTCATCCCTACACCAAGCCCCACGCCTCACCTCCCACGCCGGAGGCGCCACCATCTGGCTGAAGCGCGAAGACCTCAACCACACAGGCTCGCACAAGATCAACAACGCCCTAGGCCAGATCCTCCTCGCCCGCCGACTCGGAAAGACTGAAATCATCGCTGAAACAGGAGCCGGCCAACATGGCGTAGCAACCGCCACCGTATGCGCCAAATTCGGCATGAAATGCACTGTATACATGGGCTCCGAAGACGTCCGCCGCCAGGCTCTCAACGTCTTCCGGATGCGCCTTCTCGGCGCCACCGTCATCCCCGTAGAATCTGGGTCCCGCACGCTTCGCGACGCCGTCAACGAATCCTTTCGCGCGTGGATCACCCGCCTCAATACAACCCACTACATCATCGGCTCTGCCATCGGGCCACATCCCTTCCCCACGATCGTCCGCACCTTCCAATCCATCATCGGCGAGGAAACTAAAGCCCAGCTGGCGCAAGAAATTAATCGTCTCCCTGACGCAGTCGTCGCCTGTGTGGGCGGCGGCTCTAACGCCGTCGGCATGTTCTACCCTTTCTCTGAAGATCCCTCCGTCCAGTTGATCGGTGTAGAAGCCGGCGGCGACGGCGACGGTAGCCCCGAACACCACTGCGCTACCTTATCCTCTGGGTCTGGTTCGGTGGGCGTGTTCCACGGAGTGCGGACGTACGTACTTCAGAACGAACATGGGCAGATCTCCGGTACGCATTCTGTGTCTGCGGGGCTGGATTACCCCGGAGTTGGACCAGAACTGGCACACTGGAAGGAGGTGGGCAGGGCAAAGTTCATCTCGGCGACGGATGAGGAGGCGCTGGAGGGGTTGCGGTTGTTGTGTCGGTTGGAAGGGATCTTACCGGCGTTGGAGACGTCGCATGCAATTGCGAAGGTGGTGGATGTGGCGAGGGAGGTTGGGGTCGGTGGACATGTTGTCTTGTGTGTGAGTGGGAGAGGGGATAAAGATGTTGATACGGTCATGGGGGTGGAGGGGTTTGCTTAGTGAAGTATAACTAGCAGTTAACTACTTCATTCTTCTTTAATTTTTCGGGGTCGGTTTTAATTTATCGATCTGTCTTTTCATTTGGACTTGACTAAATGAGTGAAGAGATATCCCGAGTATGATTGAAGCATCATGGAGATATTTCTCAAATGATGTTAATTACTGCTCACAGTCCTTTTATTGACATCTTCCTCACTATTACATGAAGATGGGCAGATAGCAGAAAGATACTTAACAGAGGAACTAGAATGACTGATCCTTTTAATTTCTCTCCAGTTTACAAAGCTCAATGCAACGCACAGGACAGGCCACTATTAGTATTAGTACTAGTAGTATAGATAACGCCATACCACCCTCCGATGACTGATAGATACTAGACCACTAGTACTAGTTATAGTAGCGGTCAATCGAATTACCGACATAATTCCGAGAATAGTACTACGGAATTATAGTTAACATCCACGACGTTATTCTAAGCTTAACGAATTGTCTTTGGTATCCTTGTTTCAGTTAATTATGAGTCTGGAATGTCAGCCCGGAAATATTACATCAAGATTGACAGCACACTCAAATAGGAAAGTTATCGCTATCAATAATCTGGATCAAAGATAAAAAAAAGATACCGAATCGGACCCTAGTCGGAACGGAATCGATTTGATTGATTGATTGAGATTCCCGATAAGATCCGATTCCTGCAAGGTTTCCGTCTTTTCTTAACTTTCAGTTTATCGGGCCGTGAAGAATGAGACGCGGATAGATCACACCACGCTTGCCATTCATGTTACTGGGGTATAATGAAAGGTTGAGGAATTAGTTAACTAATATTGGACATAGTTAATTGAACCATTTAAGACGTTTAGGGCTGTTTAGAGGAATTCCCAACTTTCCTTCTTATTTGTCAGTGGGGGCTTTTTTTTCCCGTCCACATTCTTAGTCTCATCGTCTGGCTTTGGAGAAGGAAATTGGAGAAATTGGAGAAAGTCAATACTGTTGTTCGATTTCAAACAATAACTCAACCTACTCGACTATATTCAGGATAATAGCTCAGATGCTGAATTCTGTAAAATAGAGTAAGTCTACAGTTAACATGTTGTAAGCATTAATAATGCTCCCAAAGAATCCGACGGATCAAGACAAGAGACTCCGCCAAATGTCTATCGGAAAGTCTCTATTTAGACCAAAAGTAGTCCTTTCAGTGGGCTAATGGGCCAACGATGGAATATCCACATTGCCCGTGCCCCTTCTTCCTCTTCTTCTCCCTTCTTGGCTATTCTGTCTCTGGCCAGAAAGTGGGCCAGCTGCCGATCCAACCGATGAGTGACCCATGGATTAGCAGTTGCCCCTCTGCAGTGGTCCCTGGTGTATAAATTATAAAAGATTTGAGGTTGTCTCCTTATTAGTACTATTCCCTCAATTGTATCTGTCCTACTCCATACTAGACGTACATCTGTCCGACCACTGACTCATTCGCCATGGCTCAAGATTACAAGTTTGAAGGATGGATGGGTCTCGATAAGGACTCTGCCGACGGAAAGATGGTCTGGCAGGAGTTTGAGCCCAAGCCGTGGGAGGAGACCGATGTTGACATCAAGATCACTCACTGCGGTATCTGCGGTTCCGATTTGCACACTCTCCGCAGTGGCTGGGTAAGGCATCCATTACCATATTTCGGTTGATAGACCGTTTTCAAATCCTAGATACTAACCTCAACAGAGACCAACTCTGTACCCCTGCTGCGTGGGCCATGAAATCGTCGGCACTGCCGTGCGTGTTGGATCCAAGGCTGTCGGCGGCATCAAGGTTGGTGACCGCGTGGGTGTCGGCGCGCAGAGCGATTCCTGCCTTGGTCGTCTGGGAGACTGCCCCGAATGTGCGATGGGTGATGAGCAGTACTGCTCGCACAAGATCGTCGGTACCTACAACAATGTCCACCTGAACGGCGGCAAGTCTTACGGTGGATATGCTTTGTACAACCGCACTCCATCCCACTTCGTTGTCAAGATCCCCGACAGCATTCCCTCGGCACAGGCCGCCCCTATGTTGTGCGGTGGTGTCACCCTGTTCAGCCCCCTGAAGCACCACAACTGTGGCCCCGGCAAGCGCGTGGGTATCATTGGTGTTGGCGGACTGGGTCACTTTGGTGTGCTTCTGGCCAAGGCCATGGGTGCTGATAAGGTGGTTGCTATCTCCCGTAAGACTGGCAAGGCCAATGATGCGCTGGCTATGGGTGCGGATCTCTATATTGCTACGGATGATGAGCCGGACTGGGCTACCAAGTATGCCCGGTCTCTGGATTTGATTGTCTGCACTGTTTCTTCGACCAAGGTATGTTCTGACCCCGTAGACCGTTCCTCAATATTGAGAGGGGGCTCGAATACTAATGGGGGGAATAGATGCCCATGACCGAATACCTGGGCCTGCTTGCGACGGGCGGCGCCCTGGTTCAGGTCGGACTTCCGGATGACGGAGTTCTTCTGGCCCCTGTCGGCAAGCTGCAGCGTCGCCTAAAGGCTACCAGCTCCTTTATCGGCAGTCCCAACGAGATCCGTGAGATGTTCCAGCTCGTTGCTGAGAAGGGAGTCAAGGCCTGGATCGAAGAGATCCCGATGAAGGATGCCAACCAGGCCATTGTGGATATGCACGCGGGCAAGGCGCGATACCGTTACGTGCTGGTGAATGAGCAGTGATGTGATGATTATGATTTACGATGTATGGAGTTGGGTGATGTGAAGTGGAGTTAGTTGGAGAAGAGGACAGCGATGTGCATTAGAGATCATTAGAGATAGACAGAAATGATACCATTTTTCTTTCGACCGAAAAAGGAAGGTGGCGGCACGTGGCTACGAGGGGCGCCGCAGTCGGAGGCGCTAAACTCAAAATGGATTTTTCCCCGCGGCGAAGGCCGAGGGGATTCTTTCCCGAATTGCCTCTTTGACTCAGACATACCCAATTCCAGTTCGTGTACTCTTTCACACTCTTTCCCTTATTTCTCCTGCTTTACTCCTTGTTCTTCTCGTTCATTGCCATTCACAATGTCGCCTACTCTCTCTCAAAGATTCCTGAGCACGCGGGGTGGCTCCTACGGCGTAAGTGACATCTCCTGCCTTGATTACCTCTCTCGTCGCTATTAAAGATCCTATCCTCTTCCCAGCGGAGTCAATTGCTAACTGGCTATCTCCAACAATAGCTTTCCTTCGAGGAGGTCGTTCTCAAGGGTCTCGCTTCCGATGGTGGTCTCTTCATCCCCGAGGAAATCCCTACCCTCCCCGCCGGTTGGGAGTCGGAATGGCGCGACCTGAGCTTCGAGGAATTGGCCTTCCGTATCATGTCTCTCTACATCTCCGAGTCCGAAATTCCCAGTGAAGATCTCAAAGATATCATCAAGCGCTCCTATGCCACCTTCCGCCACCCTGAACGCACCCCCATCGTTGAACTCGACGGCAAGCGCAACCTCTACCTCCTCGAACTCTTCCACGGCCCGACCTTCGCTTTCAAGGATGTCGCGCTGCAAAAGTAGGTCTACTGGAAACTGTGCATAAGTGTGAGGAAGTATATCTGGTGCTAATCTTAATCCCACTCAAGTCTCGGAAACCTGTTCGAATACTTCCTGGTGCGCAAGAACCAGGGCAAGGAGGGCAAGGACAGACACCACCTGACCGTTGTTGGTGCGACAAGCGGTGACACTGGCTCTGCTGCCATCTACGGCCTCCGTGGCAAGAAGGATGTCTCCGTCTTCATCCTGTTCCCCAAGGGCAAGGTTTCGCCCATCCAGCAGGCTCAGATGACTACCATCCTCGATGCCAACGTTCACAACCTCACCGTCGAGGGTACCTTTGATGACTGCCAGGACTTCGTCAAGGCCCTGTTTGCCGACCCCGACATGAACTCCACCCACAACCTCGCCGCCATCAACAGCATCAACTTTGCCCGTATCCTGGCCCAGATCACCTACTACTTCTACTCCTACCTCGCCCTGACCAAGACCCCCGGCTACAACAACAAGATGAGATTCGTCGTCCCGTCCGGCAACTTCGGTGACATCCTGGCCGGTTGGTTCGCCAAGCGCATGGGTCTCCCGGCCGAAAAGCTGGTCATCGCTACCAACGAGAACGACATCTTGGACCGTTTCTTCCGCACCGGCGGTACCTACAGCAAGAGCGACAGCAAGGGTGCCGGCGTCAAGGAAACTCACAGCCCTGCCATGGACATCCTGGTCAGCAGCAACTTCGAGCGTCTCCTGTGGTTCTTGGCCTACCAGACCAGCGAGGCCAGCACGGCCGACGAGCGTCGCAAGCAGGCTTGCGAGAACGTTAGCAACTGGCTCAACCAGCTCAAGACCGAGGGCGGCTTCAGCGTCCCCTCTGCCCTCTTCGAGGCCGCCCAGGCTGAATTTGAGAGCGAGCGCGTCAGCAACGACGAGACCATCGCTCAGATCCGCTCCACCTACCAGTCCTGCTTCCCGTCCAACCTGGGCCCCGGCAGCGCCAAGAGCTCCAAGACGGGCGGTTACATCCTGGACCCTCACTCCGCCATTGGTGTCGCCGCATCCCTGCGCTCCATCGAGCGTAACTCTGGCGTCAGCCACATCTCCCTGTCCACGGCCCACCCGGCCAAGTTCGCCAGCGCCGTCGACCTCGCCCTCCGCGGCCAGGACGGCTACGATTTCACTGAGGTCCTGCCTCAGGAGTTCATCGGCCTCGAGGACCGCGAAAGCCGCGTCACTGCCGTCGGCCCCGGTGCTGGCTGGCAGCAGGTGCGCGAGATCGTCAAGGCTGAGGTCGAGCAGGAGTTGGAGGGTAAGCGGTAGGCACGTAATCCCTTAATCTGCCTGCCGCAACTAGTTATCTTCTCCTTTCTTCAATGTTCGTTTCACTAAAAAGCCAAGCTACGTCGATGATATCTCACGATCTTCATGTTCTTTTTTATACTTCTCTCGTGCCTACATTTCTTGCATCTTTGGCTTCTTCTTTCGCCACCCATAGATCAGATTATCTCATACCATACAAATAAGATAGACGTTTCACGAGATGTTTGTATTGGTCACTCGCTCGTATTGTAGAAATCATTAGAAACAGAAAACAGAGTGGAGATTCCTATTATTAGTACAGTACAAGACGTCAAACGCACACGCCCTTCCGGTAATTGAGACGTTCTATGTTGTAAAAACTTTTAGCTTGGCGATTGACGTGATTCCGGAAGCGCAGGAGGCAAGGGAAATAAGAGAATCACGACATATGTAGGTGTCATTGACTGCATTGACTCCTCGTGGTAGTCACTGTTACTATTATGGGTAAAATGCCCTCACGAGACTGATACGACCCCCAATCCCATGACCACTGAACAACACGAACATGGATGTCTACTTTTATCTCTGGATTCTGCCCACACGTACAAATTATGCATTATTATGTATTAGAGCATTATCTGACACAAAAGCCAATACATGACTTCCAACTAAAGCCCTTGGGAACATTCCAGACCCGTGTAGGATATACACATTGGCACTGGTATGCGTAGGAACTTAACAAGCAAGGAGCCAAGGAGGAAATCACGAACGAGATCAAGAAAGTAATGGACAACAAACAAGAAAGCAGAATTTTTCTAAAATGGGACCGTACCGTAACACCGGAGATAATATGAGTTATCTTAGTTGGGTGATCGCGAACAATTGTAGCTTGATCGTCAGATCACACACACCGGACTGAGCCAATTTAGAGGAGAGCCATGATACCCATGACGGCGGCCAGGAAGCCAGCCGCGGGTTGCATGTTGGAGGAGGCGGCGCCAGTGAAGGCTGGGGAGACGCCCGTCGCGCCCGCACTGGTCTCGCCAGGTGTAACGGGAGAGACACCAGAGGGACCAGCAGTTTCTCCAGGAGTGACGGGAGACACTCCAGAGGGAGCAGTCTCTCCAGGGGAGACTGGCGAGACGCCAGAGGGAGCGGTTTCTCCAGGGGAGACGGGCGAGACACCAGAGGGACCAGCAGTTTCTCCAGGAGTGACGGGAGACACTCCAGAGGGAGCAGTCTCTCCAGGGGAGACTGGCGAGACGCCAGAGGGAGCGGTTTCTCCAGGGGAGACGGGCGAGACACCAGAGGGACC